TCGAATCCTGGCCGGGTCAAAGAGTTCTTAGTGATATATGGCTTGCGCGTTCATGCAGCTTTCTCACACATGTTAGACTCAGTGCGGCCCGTGCATGCGTCAGAATTTGATGAAAAACTGTACCCAAATGGATCCATGAGTGTCGTCGGGGGTTGGTCAGTCAGGGAGCTTAGTTAATAAGCGCCAAGACTGACCAATCCTTATAGACGATCATTGGTGCGGTGGTCACGGTACTGTGTACGTTTAGGGGTGATCCTGGACGGCATGGGTTCGAATCCTGGCCGGGTCAAAGAGTTCTTAGTGATATATGGCTTGCGCGTTCATGCAGCTTTCTCACACATGTTAGACTCAGTGCGGCCCGTGCATGCGTCAGAATTTGATGAAAAACTGTACCCAAATGGATCCATGAGTGTCGTCGGGGGTTGGTCAGTCAGGGAGCTTAGTTAATAAGCGCCAAGACTGACCAATCCTTATAGACGATCATTGGTGCGGTGGTCACGGTACTGTGTACGTTTAGGGGTGATCCTGGACGGCATGGGTTCGAATCCTGGCCGGGTCAAAGAGTTCTTAGTGATATATGGCTTGCGCGTTCATGCAGCTTTCTCACACATGTTAGACTCAGTGCGGCCCGTGCATGCGTCAGAATTTGATGAAAAACTGTACCCAAATGGATCCATGAGTGTCGTCGGGGGTTGGTCAGTCAGGGAGCTTAGTTAATAAGCGCCAAGACTGACCAATCCTTATAGACGATCATTGGTGCGGTGGTCACGGTACTGTGTACGTTTAGGGGTGATCCTGGACGGCATGGGTTCGAATCCTGGCCGGGTCAAAGAGTTCTTAGTGATATATGGCTTGCGCGTTCATGCAGCTTTCTCACACATGTTAGACTCAGTGCGGCCCGTGCATGCGTCAGAATTTGATGAAAAACTGTACCCAAATGGATCCATGAGTGTCGTCGGGGGTTGGTCAGTCAGGGAGCTTAGTTAATAAGCGCCAAGACTGACCAATCCTTATAGACGATCATTGGTGCGGTGGTCACGGTACTGTGTACGTTTAGGGGTGATCCTGGACGGCATGGGTTCGAATCCTGGCCGGGTCAAAGAGTTCTTAGTGATATATGGCTTGCGCGTTCATGCAGCTTTCTCACACATGTTAGACTCAGTGCGGCCCGTGCATGCGTCAGAATTTGATGAAAAACTGTACCCAAATGGATCCATGAGTGTCGCCGGGGGTTGGTCAGTCAGGGAGCTTAGTTAATAAGCGCCAAGACTGACCAATCCTTATAGACGATCATTGGTGCGGTGGTCACGGTACTGTGTACGTTTAGGGGTGATCCTGGACGGCATGGGTTCGAATCCTGGCCGGGTCAAAGAGTTCTTAGTGATATATGGCTTGCGCGTTCATGCAGCTTTCTCACACATGTTAGACTCAGTGCGGCCCGTGCATGCGTCAGAATTTGATGAAAAACTGTACCCAAATGGATCCATGAGTGTCGTCGGGGGTTGGTCAGTCAGGGAGCTTAGTTAATAAGCGCCAAGACTGACCAATCCTTATAGACGATCATTGGTGCGGTGGTCACGGTACTGTGTACGTTTAGGGGTGATCCTGGACGGCATGGGTTCGAATCCTGGCCGGGTCAAAGAGTTCTTAGTGATATATATATATATATATATATATATATATATATATATATATATATATATATATATATATATATATATATATATATATTATATATATATATATAATACTTTCATTGGTACCTCTGATCACCTAGCAGTAATTGGCACCTGGAAGTTAGACAGCTGCTACAGGATCCATTCTGTGGACATGTGTGTGTGTGTGTGTGTGTTTGCTAGAGATAAATATATGGAACAGAATACATATGATCGAGGATAACTGATTGAGATTCAATACATTTAGACAACCTACAGCTAGGACATGTGCAGACATGTGCAGACATGGGCTGCAACCATGTGCAGTCACTGTGTATATTTGCTAATATTGCATAATAATAACCCAGGAAGCAGCACAGTACACCGTGATAAAGCTTGTATCAAGATTATACCAGAACATGATCCCTGGACCTTGTCATAACAGCAGCGCCCAATTGTCTGGTCGGCAATTGAGTGGGCAGGACCCGTGTTGTGCAGCTCTCTATCTTCCCCACGTAACTCCCTTCTCTTAGAGGGGCAGGAGGTGGAGGGCAATGCCCCTCCAGTTATACACGTCACAGCTTGTAGATTGCTTAGTACAATCATATATATATATATATATATATATATATATATATATATATATATATATATATATATATATATATATATATATATATATTATATTATATTATATTATATTATATTAGTATATTTTGGTAGCAGTCTTTCTTGTTAACATATGTTGTTAAATATAACCGAAAAAGTAAGATTAATAATTCTAACACGAATTTTCTCAATATTTCTTATGTTTCTTTTTACTGTCGATGGTAATTGAAAAATCAATTCTCCAAAATTCATTTTTATTTCTAGTCTGATGCGACGCTTGAATGCGTTTCATAATAACGTATTACATTTTCAAAGACTTATGAAAATGTAATACGTTTTTACGAAACGCGTTCAAGCGTCGCGTCAGACTAGAAATAAAAATGAATTTTGGAGAATTGATTTTTCAATTACCATCGACAGTAAAAAGAAACACAAACATATGGCGGGCGGGCCATAGTGTACCTGTCCTGGACCAGTATTATTCACGAGTGAGATGAGCTTGTCAGTAGTACCAGCTGTGTGTGTGTGTGTTACTTATATAACTATTGTTTTCAGTATGAGAGGCATACTTATTTGAGATGTTGTTCCAAGGTGCCTATACTCATGTTTAGAAGTGTTTGAGTGTGATTATCTCAGCATGAAAGTGTGGCTGTTGAGTTGTTATTTTAGTCGTGCTTGGCTATTGTGGGCCTGGTCGATCTCGCCCGCAGTCCTCTTACAAATTACGTCGGCTTACGCTAGTATACTCATTCAGCCTAAAAAAAAGGACGTAATTCAAAATGGAATTGGCTCACGAAAGTGACGTACTATCCCGTTTTCTGTTTTGGGTCCTCTGGCTTATTCTGTTAGGTTAGGAGACGAAACTTTCAATTAACGGTTTTTGTGACATTTTGAAACCTTAGGAGATCTTCCTGCCCGCCTAACCTACCAGAGGACTTGTTGTTTTGGAAAACAAAAATCCAAAATTTATTTTCAATTATTTTTCATTTTCAAATTGCGGCCTTTTGGAAGATTAACATGCAACTGCATGCTCCGCCGTGCAGCTGCAGGTAGCTGATTGGCTAAATCTAAAACAACAACAACGATGGCTGGAGTCGTATATTGTAATTTTCGTCGCGTTCTGGAAGATGGCAGATTGTAATTTGGTGTTGTGTGTTGTGTTATTTTGTCAGCTTTTGATAGATAGCGTGGTTTGTTTGATGTAAAATGTCTCGCCAATGTGTAGTCTTCTATTGTTCCTGTGTTTGTCGACTATTTTGGTGTTCTGTCAAGATATCTCCGGTGATTATCTGGTTATGTACAGAGACTATATGGTCTTTGACATGGCCATAGATTGTTGGAAAGGTTTGTAAAGCAAGTTTGTGCCTTGTTAGGTTCCTTGAAAGGGATGTTGTCTTGCTTATATAATGAGTTCGTTGGAGGTGACAGTCCCTAAGTGGGCATGCGAACGCATAGACAACATTTGTCTCTTTCAATGGGTTTTGTGTGGTGTGTTTTTAAGGAGCAAAGAAAACTTGCATAAGATTACTAGTTCTGGAGCTTTTCAAGGAATGCGTGTCCGATCACATTGCATGGACTTGGTGCTTTACCTGAGGGTCGCACCTGTCTAGTGGCCTCGAAGTGGACAGTCAGCAGCCGGTTTGTCAAAGGTTCCCCCATTTTCCTGGGATAATTTTCCTACTGGATTTTGAACTGCAGCAATGTCTTGGTATTTACGGCTTCGGCGGATAGGCAGTACCATGGATTTATGCGTGAAAAAGCATTACCTGTTTTCTGTCCTACTTTATGGCTTATTGAGTTTTGATCTGTTTCCTCCTTGTTTGTATTACATTTGACCTTTCAAAAAAGTGGTTTGAATTATTATCCTCCAACTTGTTCAGTATTTTAAGGGTTTTGATAAGATCAGCCTTGTCGTGTCTGGTTTGAAGTGTTGTTGGTCCTTTGCCCCCCAAACCGTTTCTGGTATGAGACTCGACTAAGTTCTAGGATGATTTTTGTCGCTCTGTGTTGTACTTTATCCAAAGTAGATATGTCCTTATGAAGATGAGATCTCCATGCTTGTATACAGTACTTTAAATGAGGGCGCAGCAAAGAATTGAACAGTTGAATAATCACTTTATCTTTCAGTATGTTAAAGGTTCGTTTAAATATCCCTAGAGTTTGTTATTTTTAACTGCAACTCCCGCTTGTTGCGCAACTTTTCTTCATCAATCTGCAGCACGGAAATGTTCTTAATCTGATAGTTGTGATGTGCACTGTTATGCCCTACATGCAAGGCCTTGCATTTTTCAACATTTAAGAGCATTTGCCAGTCTTTCGACCGTTTGCAGTGTTCATGTAGATATTTTTTGAAAGGCTTCCTTATCATTTTCGTTTTCATTTTTACCATAGATCTTAGTGTTATCTACAAACTTGATACTGTGGTTTGTAATATTACAAACGACCCATTACTTTCTTTGTTTTAACCATTGCTTTATCCATTATTTTACTATACCATTTATTCTATGAGCTTGTAATTTCCTTGCCAGTCTTTCACGTGGTACCTTATAAAAACAGATGCATCACGTTCTTGTGATTTCATTGAGCATGACAATAATTTAGTTTTCGCGCCGACAGGATTCTACCAGAGTCTCCCCGCTGGCTGCTATCCCGTGATCGCATCGAGCAGTGTACAGAGCTGATGAAGACCATCGCCAAGCGCAATGGTAAGGCGGTACCAGAGAAGCTGACAGACACTCTGAAGGCCGAGTCTCTCATCCACAACACTGTGAGAAACTACGGCGTTCTCCAACTCTTCAAATATCCCACTGTTCGTCTTCGTACTTTTCTCCTCACAGTTTGCTAGTGAGTATTGTTATGCATATGGTTCTTATGAAGAGTTAGTACTTGCTAGCAAGAAATGAGGAATATATATAGGACGTGCCCCTTCTCTCTAGGATATCTAGTACAGCTCTTCTCGCTATTTATCAAGATTTTATACATTTTGCTTTTTAAGTTAATGTTTAATGTGGGCCATTCCGTCCTCATAATGCACAGCCCTTCCTCCAATAACTTGGGCTGGACGATAGTTCGACTGTCTCACGTCATGCAGGTCGGCGTTCAATCCCCGACCGTCTTAAGTGGTTAGGCATCTTTCCTTTTCCCCCGTGCCATCCCAGATCCTTATCCTGACCCCTTCCAAGTGCTATATAGTCGTAAGGACTTGGCGCTTTCTCCTGATAGATCCCTTCCCCTTCCCTACATGGCATTTAGGAGAACGTACACTTGATAATTAAAGGTTGAGAGGCAGGACGTGGTAGCTGAAGCTCAACCCCAAATGCTCAGACAGCAGATTATACACCAATTTGTCTTAGGGGCTCAGTCTATGCTCTGGCACAGCTTGTACAAGCGGTGCCCCACCCCAAAGACGCATTCATCATTCATCACTTTGAATCCATTTAAATAGAGTATGCTTCTACTTCTGTATAGTTATACTTCACTTCATCACTACCCTATTATACTACAATACTATCCCATTACCCTATTATACTACACTACTATTCCACTGCCCTATTATTTAATACCTTTAAAAGTACACACAGAAATCACAATAACGTGATATATCAAATGAACAAATGCACAAGGGCCGTGATATTCACGACCCTTGTGGATTGTTGTGGATTGTGATATATGTTGTTATATATATATCACGTCCCGTGTGGATTTGTTCACATTTAAAAGTGCCTGGTGAGATGAGATTCGTGTTATGTCTGCCCTCGAGCCAGTTTTTCTTCCTGGCTCTGATATTTTCTTTCCCAGCTGATAGTTGTGTCTGGCCTTTTGTTCCAGCACCTATCTCTTCCAGCACCTATCTCTTCCAGCACCTATCTCTTCCAGCACCTATCTGTTCCAGCAACTATCTTTTCCAGCCCCTATCTCTTCCAGCCCCTATCTCTTCCAGCCCCTATCTCTTCCAGCACCTATCTCTTCCAGCCCCTATCTCTTCCAGCCCCTATCTCTTCCAGCCCCTATCTCTTCCAGCACCTATCTCTTCCAGCACCTATCTCTTCCAGCCCCTATCTCTTCCAGCCCCTATCTCTTCCAGCCCCTATCTCTTCCAGCCCCTATCTCTTCCAGCCCCTATCTCTTCCAGCCCCTATCTCTTCCAGCACCTATCTCTTCCAGCACCTATCTTTGTTGCTTTGACTACATCTTCATTTTTAGCAACTGCTTGATAAGCCATTCCTGCAATTTGTCTAAGTGTCAAACAAATTCCTAATTTTCTTCCATGTTTCATCTTATTATTATTTTGTTATAAATCAGGAATAAGAAGAGTCTTAATACCGATCTGTTTGGGACCCTATTATGTCTTGCTCTATTGTGAATATCTATTGGATTTATATATTAAGTTCCTAACACATTATTTTCGTTAAATGTTACTAACAGTATATTATTTGTAGATGCAGGTCGAGAGCAATGCTCATAATGTCCAGCTATTGTTTATACTGAATTTAATAATTTATAGAAAACTTCCAAGTAGTTATTTTTATTTATTTAAAATTTAAATCTAAATGGTTACCAAGTTGTAAATACAAAACTATACAAAAATGTCACACTTTCGATTGACTAAATGAAATTATTCCTTATCGCCAGCACGAGCAACAACCTGTTCTACTACGGCCTGGCCTACAACACTGCTAACATGAGTGGCAATGAATTTCTCAACTTCTTTCTGCTGTCTGTGACAGAGCTGCCCGCGAACCTCCTTGGGTGGTGGAGTGCGGATTTCCTGGGCAGACGCTGGACGGCTGCCGGCGCCATGTTGCTAGCTGCTGTGTTCTCTTTGGTTAATGTTTTTTTCCTCGGTAAGTCTTAACAGTATGTTTTGCCAACGGTATCAAAGTCTTCGTGACACCATGGTATAACACAGCATGACAGTGGCTCAAACTAATTTGGCAATTCAGTGAGGTCAATATACAATTATAATAATCAGCTTGGCTGTTTTCTCTATTCAGATAAATGACAGCATTAATATCACGAAAGCAAAAAATTAAACTACCACAAACTGAGGGAAAATTTACACCATAAATATTTTACTTCTGAATAAGGCGTAAAGATAAACAGATGAGAAAAGATAAAACGACAAATTGGTAAAGAGATAAATAACCTTTTCCAATGACTGAACAGATGCATCACAGTGGGTGACCATCTCCCTGATGGTGGTGAGCAAAATGTTCATTACAATAAGCTTCATGGTGGTATACGTGCAGTGTGCTGAGGTTTACCCAACCACCCACCGCTCCTGCGGGACTGGTCTCTCATCCCTCATCTCCTCCATATTCGGCACTGCTGCACCCTATATTGCCTACTCTGTAAGTAAATACCATGATATAATCACAGTATCAAGCTCGTTTTCACCGTACTGCCTTGTGAATTCATATTTACTTTTAGTATATTTCTGGAATAGATAACTAAAATTGACTTAGACAACTGCTTTCATTGGTTTATGACTTTTTCTAATGATTTTTAAAGAAATTATATTTAGCGTATAAGTTTCTTAGGTTTTTATTACCTAATAAAATAATTGTATACATAAATTCACTAATTATTTTAGAGCATGTGGCTCTATGGTCCAATTTTTTTTTAATATTTAAAAAAAAAATTTACCCATATATATTTTCGTTTTCTTGAATTTTACAGGAAACGCAAATTGAAATTCAGCAAATCTTATCAGGATTAATTAAACTAATTTTAAGTTCTATATATCCATGGATGTATATGGAAGTTTTTTGTAATATTAGCAACAGAGGTAACAAATGGCATCAAAACAATGAAAACTGTAAACATTAACTTATTATCTAGTGATTGCTGGACACACAAAAAAACGTTATTGACAAAAACCCATTTTCAGCAATAAGCCGCATATATTTTGTTCTTCCAAAGAATTCAAATTAGTTTAAAACAATGGAAGGCGAGAAACAATTATTCAGGATGCTCATACTTTAATCTAAATTGTCTACACACTAATCTAATTTCTACAATTAATCTAAATTTAATTACATAATTAACTGTCTCGTATGTGTAAATATCTTGCATAAAATATCATTGCTGCAGATATCAACTGGAATAATTTAACAGTAATAATTAAAAACTCGTTAACAAATGAGCTTACAAAAATACTCTAGTTCAGTTTATCTAATTACAGTATGTTAGCTATGCTAATAACAAATGTAGAATTAATTTACTAAACAATTTATTTGACAAACTAAATACTTTCAGAATGTTTATGGAGCCTGGCTACCCTACCTCATCATCTTTTTCATTGGGTGTTTTGGCTGTTTAAATGCTTCACTCCTGCCAGAGACACTGAATGTCGACCTTCCTCAGTCACTGATCGATGCTGAGAGCTTCCTCACCTCAGAGAAGTTTTGGTCTTACAAGGGTAAACGCCTCTGGTCTCGTAAGGTTCAAGTGAAGCAAAACAATGTAGCTCAGGGCCATGTGAACCTTGCTAACTCTGAGTCAACATTGACAATATAGATACTCCAAAGTACAGTCAATAATTTAAAACACAGTGAATAATGGAGAGGGATACCTTTGACAAACCACTGGCTACCTGTCCCCATCAAGGTCACTAGGGATGGTGGCCCCTTGTGTAAATTTAATCAGGAAAATGTAGAGTACTTACTGTATATTTGCAATTTAAAAATCACTCAAGCATGCATAAACAATACACTTACAATGTTTACATAAGTATTTTTATTTATTTTTATAATCTTGTTTTAAGCTTTGCAATTCCTAAAGTTCAAGTATTGTAATGAATTAAGAATATATACAATTTAAAATCTAAATAAAAATAAGAAATGATCAGTTTATTTGCATAGCATCAAGTACAATAGGATAACATGTAACAATGTTAACTTAAGTAATACATTGTAACTACAAAATTCATACACACGTAGCTTTTATTTCTGTTCCCATTTGCAATGTACACTACTCGTCAAAAGCATGAGGCTCCGTTCTCCCGCACAATAAACAACACGTAAGGAAATGTATAGTAAATTAATCATTACCTTTTAAATGCTTGGAAGGGTGGTCTTTTCTCTTCATGGCTTGGAGACAAGAAAGAGCTATGTTAAGTGTTCAGGTGAGATGTTGGCCTGGGACTGATGTATGGCCTCCTTGTGTTTGGATTTGGAGCCGACATATTTTCCCTGCAGATCGTCTTTTACATGAGCCAGAGGTTCTCAACTGGGTTGAGATCTGGGCTGTTACCTGGGCAATCATATACGAAGGGTGGCATGTTGCCATCAAGCTACAAGGTGACAGACTTGGCGGTGTGAGCAGCAGTACCGCTCTGTTTTAACATGCTGGCATGTGTGAGCTTAAACGAATCTGGTAAATATCCACAAAACCACTCCAGATAAACAGCTTAATTCACTTTAAGTTTTTTTAGGACGCACAAGAAGCTTGCCAAAACCCTTGCTTGAGAAAAATACCCACACCGTAAGAGAACCAAGCAGCTTGATGACTGCATGGTACCCTTCATAAAGTGTTGGCCAGGTAACAGTCCAGATCTCAACCCAACTGAGAACCTCTGGCACTTGGTAAAAGAAGATCTGCAGAGGAAAGACGATGGCTTCAAACCCAAGCTCAAGAAAGATATCAGTCAGTCCTGGACAAACATCTCGGCCGAAGAACCTATGAAACATAGCTCTTTCTTGTATCCAAGCCATGAAGAAGAGAAGACCACCCAACAAAGTATTAAAAGGTAATTATAATACATTATTTATTTCCATTATGTATTGTTTGGTGTGCAGGAAGGCGCTGCATACTTTTGAAGAGTAGTGTACGTTTGTACCTGCACTCACATTTAAGGAAAGAATTGTTAATGTATATGTGGCCAGTATGTTATAGTTGCTAGTAATTTTTGTTCAGTGGTTATGTATGAAATATGTCATTTGTTCATGTACTGTTGCAAATTGCAGTAACTAGACATTTTGTAAGGTCACCATTGGCTCCCAGTGGTTTCAAATAATAATAAAAAAAAATGTTTATTCAGGTAAAAATACATATATATAAAATGAGTTACAAAAAGAATGTCAGTGTTTTTTTAAAATGTAAAATGTAACACATACAAGGGGAAACAGCTTCAAGCTCAACAAGCATCAGTATAGTAAAGAAAACAGTAGAAACATTTCACCTATACGGTGAAACCCATGGAACTGTTTACCCACTTAAGCCTTAATAAATATCACTACATTACTGCAGTCCAAAATCCAGTTGGACAAAATATCTCAGGGAAAATGGAACTTTGACAAGCTGCTGGCTTCCTGTTCTCATCAAAGCCACTAGATAGATGATGGCCCTAAGGTAAATTCAGGTAAATTTGATTTTGTGAAGTGGAGTGAATTTTTTTCTAATGTTCATCATCCTTCGAATAAATTATATTAATATTCCTCCAGAATGGTGCCTTCTCAGTTCCATCTTTCATGGGATGGGTAATGACAATTTTATATGTGTGTGTCCTGTATATGTATGCTTGTAAGGACAACTAATAAACTGTTTTAGTGTAGGTAGTGTAAATATGATTATTGTTTATATAATAAATACTTCTCTTTATATAGCCCCAACTTACTTTCCTAAATGTCTTTGATGATTCCTGCACTATACCAATGCTGACTACATTTAAATCATTACTTATGTTGATTACTGAGGCAAAACTCGAATGATGGCCAAACGACACTGATCAGTCTACTTACTGCAAGACTTCACCCCTTTTACATGATAACAGTATAAAATACAATACTTGATATATAAGTATTGTACTTTATGGTCATCATATCTTCAGCCATGTTATTGTGACTCATCGTCTGCATCCTGTGTGTTCTTTAGAAAAGGATTATTAGAGTTGGGCAAGTGACATGCTTGGTGACGGTACTGAGGGAAACTCATTGAAGCTATCGCTAAAGAGACAGTACCCTCCAGCTGCCTCTAGATAGCAGACATATTACTACATGGTCTCCAGACCCCAACTAAACATTCTTTCTGGTGAATACAAACCACATGCTGCAAAGAGGAGACGGTGAGAGACCAGGTCCAACCAAAAATCATTGTTCAGAAAAGATACATATATTCACAGAGTTATTTATGAGCTATTATACATTCGGTTCCTTGAGGTATCACACATTTGAAAAAGAAACAAAGAAAAAGACATAAGTCTTATCTTACAGCAGAAGACTGTGGCACAGCCGGAAGCTGTTGAAGAGCTAATAAGAAAATAGGCATCCCAACACCACTGACAATGGAAGGGAGCTGTAGAGATTTCTCTACAGATACTCGTTTGTGCTCTAAATGCCTTGTGCATGGATCTGACCACAAGCCATACCAAAGAACAAAGACATTAATTGCAAATATGCAATTATTATGAATTCTAGAATAGGCCTGGGGGCTGATTAAATTTAACCACCCTATGCAAGAGCTGAAGTTACTATCAGTGATTTCCATTCCGTACGGAAATTGCTGTATGTGACTGATCCTTATGGGTCTTCAAAACTTTTTTCAATGTGCACCTGACAGGACTTTTAAAATGCTTAACTTAAGGGTTAAGTGCCCAAGTGAGCCATAACTTTCAACGGGTTATGAAAGACTAAGCCTTTGATACCAAACAGTCGATATGCTTTAAACCCTCCATACTTATACGGAGGGTATATAGGGGTATATGTTAGGTATATAGTGTTAGGTATATAGAGGGGTATAGGCTTTATACCCTCCATACTATCTGTTGTTACACGGTATAGCAACAGATAACCTGTTTCTGCACTCTGTTGTGTAACAGACTGCTCTTCGAAGCTGGACCCTTCTCGATGGAAGTTTGGTTGCAGTACCGAGTTCTTAATTCCTCTATTCCCTTCTCGTCATTAGTCTACAGCATTAACAAAAAATACGTCCTCCATACTTATTTAAAATTCATTATACCTAAACTTAACAACTTATAAGTCACTGGAGAAGCCGGGTAAGTGACGCAGCAAGGATATTCAGTAAAGTGAATGAACCCTAAGGAGGAGTTAAGGAATTAACCGGATTAAATAAGATAACATCCCATACTGGGTATTACAGAGAGTGTAAAACAATATTATAGCATCCAGTTTTAAACCCCGGTATTACGCTCTCCCTACTGGACAGTCACACAATATATATTTATGATAACACAATGAAAGGAAAGCTAAACTCTGGGCCGCCATACACAAATAATTACAACGGGAGATGGTGTTAACGCCTCCACAGACTGCAATTAAGCTGTTTATAGCTCACGTGTTAACTCGCCTGTCGCCCTTATTAACACACGGAGACCCCCCTCGAACCTCGACACACAAGCCAGGACCGTTGTATCAACGTTGATGACTCAACATGCTGGAGTAGCGTTGGATGAACGTTTAATCAACATTTTTCAACGTTGATTATTTGTAACAAAACATTTGTCCACAGCTGCCAGGGAAGGAAGGTATTCGGCAGGTGCGGGCGTTATACCGGAAGCTACAACACAAGTACTGAAAGCGCATGTGGAACTGATTCAAGTTCAAGTACGTTTATTGAGACAATAAGATACCTCTCAAAAATATAGATTAGCTTAGGCTATTTCTACCCCTCTTGTGGAATTGAACTGGAAGAAAAGAAAGTTGCGTTAACAAGTCCGCGGGCGGGTTGCCAGGTGACTGACATTGACATAAAAAACAGGTGTGATTGAGCCGCTGGAAACGACATATGTGATGAAGTCTTAGGAAAAGCACGTGTGCTGAGATTACCAGGAACGACATGTGCGTGAATGATCGGTAGAAACGCCACCTGTGATAACCGGGAACGACAGACAAGAACACAACAGAAATTAAAAACTTTCCTTTTCTCTGTTTGATTGATGCAAGAATATTGGTAAATATTTACTCGGAAACATTACAGTGGATGTAAGGCACAGCAGGGCGGCCTGACACGAAGAGAAGCTGAGGAAGCCTAAGGTCCGTCATGTTGAGATACACTTTAACCAGGCAAACAAAAAAACAGTGGCATATAAACCCAGCTTTCACAAGAAACTCTCGCCCGGGCGTGTATCCGCTGGTGCCCCAGGTGGTGGGGGCCGATGGGGTGGGGAGGGGGTTAGTGGGGATCGGTAGTGGGGGAGGGAGAGAGGCAGGGAGGCAGCAGGTGACCAGGCATCACTGCGGTGTTGCAAGTCAGTGCAACGCTGACCGTTGTGGGAGGGTGAGTGTACTGGGGACTCTTTTGCATCTGCAAGAGAACGCAACAATATCCTATATCACCTCTCACTCCCATAACGTAGTGCAATGGTTCTAAGACGCGATACTTCGTGTTGCAAGGATGTGGAAATCCAGTACGATATCACATGTTGCCGTTTAGAAACCATAGTCGTGTTTGTGCATAACACATATTTATTTTGATAAAACAAATCAAAACATAAAATAATCGAATATGTTGAAGCTGCTGATGTGTTTCCACATTATGTGTGACGACCGCTAGGCAGAAAACTTTCTCGTGTGTAAATAGTGAAACCAAACAATAAGTGAGCCAGCGAAACATAACGGATTCAACATTTTGCACTTGTTGGAGACTTCCGTGTGACACATAACCATCAGGTATGACGAATATGTATACACAGTGAATAATGCAAGAACTGGAACTAGGTTTGTTACTGTATCATCGTTGGTGCTTTATATGGCTATAAAACATCACAAGAGCTAATTATATCACGTTTTGCAATATCGGAGTTAAGCTCGTTTTTTAGATATTTTAGATAATGTGGGTTAGGTTTGATATTGGTCAATAGTTGATAATATCAGTCTGATTACTTTTATGGTGTGAGTCTACTCTGACTTTTCATAATATCAGGGAAGGCTGGGCGTTCTAGCGATTTATTGTAGAGTAATGCTATGGCCAGTCTACACCACTTGAAGCTATTTTGTTTTACTTAGGGTTAGTATTTCAGAGTGGCTGCCTGCTTTAGCTTTAAATGAGCGAAGTGTATAAATAACATGTGAAGAATTTGCTGGGGATAGATACAGATAATCGGGATAGTTGCCTGTGAGATAGTTGCCTGTGACACTTACGTTGGTTTTGTAAAGGTTGTTCCAGTGGGTAAGATGAAACTATTGACTTCAGTGGTAGTGTCATTGGCTGGAAGCATGTTTTCCCCGTCTCTAGCAGGGTATGTCGATTTATAATAATAATAATAATAATAATAATAATAATAATTTACTGTGTCGAGGGACAGAAAGACAGAGTGTCTGACAAACACTCGTGCTTTATATAAGATAAACATGTCTTCTGACAGACAGAAGACACGTTTGGCTTATATCACCTGAATGCTCTACATTAGAGAAAGAAACGTTAAAACGAACATTGGAGCTCAGTTCCTGGGCCCATTATGTGCCTTTGCAACCGCTCCCCCAACTGATCACTGGATACGTGTTTGAGGTGCATAATAATGAACTAAACCGAATAAATTGATTCACCGGTAGTGGAATAATCAGGGCGAGGGAGGATGGATGAAAGTGTAGTGTCAGGAGCCTGTGGAGGTGTGAGGAAAGAGTGCGCCTGGTGCAACATTTGCTACGCCTCAAAAGCAATAGTTGCATGCAGAAATGGTGCCCAAATAACGGTCAAGCTAAAAACTTGAAGAAAAAAGTAGCGGTTGCAAGAAAACAACACTGCTAGCAGCAGTTGTGTTGTTGTTTTTTTTAGATTCAGATACGCGGAACAAAACGTTTCAAGTAGCACGGGCTATGGTGAGCCCGTAGTGGACTTACCTGGCACAAGAGCTGTATGTGTATGCCAGAAGCAGGATGTTGCGGCCCCGAGACGCTGTCTTCCTAAACCTGTTTAGTGCACGTGGAATTCTACCCCCCCCCCCCACCCCCACCCCCCACCCTCTGGGTGGTTGGTGATCCCAAGGATGGGTGGCGGAGGGAGGGAGGTCCTGGCACTGGGGAAAGCGGCTGTGGGGTCGGGGAGGAAGGTGGGGGGAGAACTTATGTTGTTGGTTTAGAGTCAGCTGCTCGGAACAAAAGTTCCAAGTAGCACGGGCTATGGTGAGCCTGTGGTGGTCTTACCTGGCACTGGGGCGGGGCTGTAACTAAATGAGTAGAGGAATGAGCGCCTTATGGAAGGTGAGGAAGGAGTCTCGCTGAGAGAAAGTTTGGACGTTCCTCCTTACTCCCCCCCCCCCCACACACACACACACATTCTTGATTTAGACCTTGCTGGTGCCTCCAGAGTCCAGACGCTCGTCCACCCAACCCTCCTCCATGATTCAGATGACCGACTACAAGAATACGCAATAACCGTACTCAATGACAACGCCAAATGCAGGAACTTACCGTGTGTAATATAACGATAAATTATCACAAGCTGTGTTAAACACTTTACATGATAACATAGTATGGACTCTGAACACGTATGTTGTATTTTTTGTGATCTAGGTTACTACTAGGCTGTTGTTCTTTAAGATTCGCTACTTGGAACAAAACATTCCAAGTAGCACGGGCTATGGTGAGCCCGTAGTGGACTTACCTGGTACAGGAGCGGGGCTGTAATTAACTCTCTGTACTACTAGGCTTAGGCTATAAATACCTCTTGGAGGGGGGGAGAGGTGTTCTGTTTTAGGCCTATCCACTGCGTGATGACATATTACTTAAAATCTTTGACATGTGTCCCAGATTGGCCTAGTGTAGATCAGCCCGTATTAGCGAGCGTCCCCAACGTCAAGCAACTGTCGTACTAAAGTGCCTTATCCTAATTTACCAGAGGATCCATGAACAGAAAACGAGACATTATGTCAATTTCGTGAGGCGCTATCATTTTCGAGTACGACAGTCTTTGGCCTTAGATAAGGTTTACGTCACAATACTGTGTTATTACGAGGACGGGTTGTGTAAATACTACACACACTGTAAGCTTACACTGCACACGTTTCTTTCCTCTTGCCTTTCGTTACTGCCCGAAACGCTTTGCGTAATAGTGGCTTTAGGCATTGTGTGTACTAGCTCTATCTATAAATTCATCAATATTCGTATCACCCCTTGTATGTATGTATGTACTTTACCTAAATAAACATTTGAATTTTCTTGATCTCATGACCGTGGACCGTAACGTGAACTAAAACATTGTAGGTTAACTAGATCACTACATTTGTAACATATTCACATATATGAGGCAAATTAAAAATGTAACTAATTTACCACAGATGTAAATTGGTTCCCTGAAGAATAATGAGGTACAGTTTCTGAACCCATTATGTGAATCTATAGCATATCCGTCATTACCCATAAGATGGACGTAAGGGCCATAATAAACTAATTCAACTAAACCTAAATTAGTTACTGCTATGATGTATAAATTAACTAGTAATCAATGTTCCACAAAAAAAATAAAATAAACTTTCTCCTTGCCCTCCCACTGCCATAGTAGGCTACGTGGTCCAATATTCCCTGCCCTCTAGATCGGCGCCCTCTAAACCCAGAATGTCGGAGCAGTTTTTCTTGCCGGACAAAAAACTCAGTTTCTTGTAACACTCGAACCTGTTACCCTCATTCCTAGGTGATGTTCATCCCACTTGTAATATGTATATTGCTGGGTTTTTTTTTTAAGAACTCTAAGATTGAATTTGATTCAGGCTGGATCTGACCTCAACTAAGGTCAGATCCTCACCCTCACACTTGGTTATAAGAGAAGACTGGCAGAATTATATACATAAATTAAATTTACGGGTATTTCACCAGATGATCCCAAATACTGAGTGAAAGCTAATATGTAATTTCTTTGCAGATCAATTATGGAAAACAAACCGTGATAATTGCAATATGTTTTAATAGAAAAATGCCAGATATGGACAAAAACATGTGAACGTTAGAAATTTAGAGCTGTGTAACATGCTATCTACCTCATCACTATCCACCACATCACTTTCAAAAATGGTGACGAAGGTGACTTTAGCGACTGTAGTGGTGATAATGCTGGCCGCACCAGCACACACCTTCTTTTTGGACAACCTACTTGAGGACGTCGAAGAGGCAATCTATACCACAATCGTCAAGCCTGCTGGAGGAGTCTTACTTGGGGGCGGCACCGGAGTAGTGTACAACGCTCTCAGCTTCCATTTTCTCCACCCATACATAGAGAGAATAGGGTCGAGTGTGATCTCTCAAGCCGTCTATGCCATCAGCGGGGTCGTACAAGCCATTGGAACTATTATAGTGGAAATCGTTACAGCGTTCATCTTTATAATAATAGAAATCATCACGGCGGTTATAGAGGTGAAGATACAAGTAGTATATTACGCCTTTAGGCTTCTAACGTCGTTTATCATTCCGGGAGTTGGCAGAGATTTTAAGGAGGGCGACGAGGTGGTTGATAACGGCAGGCACACACGCTCCGCTAATGAGTCAGGTGAGTAATAATGAGCATGATTACTTATATGTGTTTTAGATGATAGATCTTAAAAATGTTATCTTATTCTGTTATTATTTTCGTTATTATCGTTATCTGTTATCAAAAATTTGGATGATAATCTTAAAAATGACCCATTATCCTTTACCCAGTTATCGTATCACCTCATACGCAGTGCTTTAGAAACTACAACTTTATTTTTTTTCATAAATATATAGTTTTGTTTATAGCTTCAGTGTATCCTTTGGCTCACCTAATGCTGAGTAATAATTTTTTTTATTAATCTTTAGTTACCCAATAATGCACTTAAAAGTAACCTAATCTTTTTCCCCCTTTTTTTTTTGGTCTAGCTTCTAGTGGTAAAATGAAATTGTTTCATTTCCGGTACCCATTAGGTATCAGCCTCTGCACTCTAACATGATAACAATTTGTTTTCCAGATGGGGTCCCACGACACTAAATATACTCTTACAGGATTCTAAAAAATCTTGTAAATAAACTGTTTTCCTTTTAGCAGTTTTGTAGCCATATAATTGAATGCCAACCTAAAGTTGTTCGTATATTTACACTATCTCGACCTTTGACCTGTATACCTCAGAAAGAATTCTACCTTGGTACCTTGGCATCACTGTCGGCTCTATCAAGGGAAAGAAAGAGGAGCTCAACCAACTCATAGGGACATGTAAAAGTCGACTCAGGCCACTGAAAGTTGTGACCTATATTAGGCATGGGGCCTCTATTGCCCTGCTTAAAATTATGTACACAGCCTATGTGCGCTCCGTCATAGACTATGCCGCACCAGCTTTATGCACCTACTTCCAAAGCGACATGAAAAGGATTGAGAGCATACAAAATGAAGCCCTGGTAATCATTCTTGGAGTCCCCAAGAACTCCCAAAACATCTAATTTACGGGAGGGGTTGTCTCCCCAGTGTTAAGGGGGAGGAGATTGATAGAGAGAGTAAGGGGGGTGAGAGGAGGAAAGATTTAGAGAAAAGGGGAGTGGCAAAATTACCAACAATTTCGGGAGAGACAGACCCGGGCATAGCCGGGATGAACAGGGGTTAACGGATGAAGAAAAAGTGGCGAAGAGTGGTAGGGCGGTAGTTAAGTGGTGGTTAATACCAGGGAAGGTGATGAATGGTCGAGAAGATGTGAAGAGCAGGAAAGAAATGAATTTAAAGAGATGGAAGAGAGAGGGAATATTGAGAAAGACGTGGGAGTGGAGAGATGTGAGAGAGACCCAGGCGCCGCCGGGTCCCTCTCCTAGTATATATATATATCAACCCAAGAACAACCAGGAGAACAATGTCTTTCTTAAACCTCTGAAAGTTATTAGAAAGAGAATGAATAATCCCCAGTGTTAAAAGCAAAATCAGGGAACCGACTGCTAAGATAGCCAAATTTAGATAGCCAGAGACTTCCAATACAATGACATTGGAAGAGTCGTCAAACTCCTGTGGATGTTGGAATCTATGGAAATGATCGAGCAGATATGCTTGCTGCTGACGGCGCTTAATGAGACTACATTGAATATTTCATACCCAAGACTCTGCTACAAATTGGAGGTATTATCAGGCAAAATCACCGTAACAAGGTAACTGAGGAAGGGAACTATCAGGGGAAAGCGACAAGCCATTAGACTATATAGCCCTTGGAAGGGGGTCAGGTTAAGGATTTGGGATGAGACGATGGGTGATGGGGGGGATTGTACCCAACCACTTGAACAGTCGGGGATTGTGTCCAACCACTTGGACAGTCGGGGATTGAACGCCGACCTGCATGAAGCGAGACCGTCGCTCTACCGTCCAGCCCAAGTGGCTGGACATAACTGAGGAAAGAAGGATAAAAGCACAAACCAGTGATTCTGTATGCTGGTACAATGCAGTTGCAGCTGGCAATCCCAATTTATGGACGAAGATAGAATACTTGAAATCAATCTTATGATGGGACAAAAGCTTCTGTGTGATAACAAAAACAACATTGTGTCAGTTGAACTGTTAGAACACATACTTAATGGAACCAGCGAGTCTAAGTGGATTCAAAGAACAGCCACTCATATTAAATTGATGGGACTGCACAATGAAAGAGTACAGCACTTCCTTCCACCCTGGCAGGTAGTACTTTTTGACATCCTGACGCCTGCATAACTCACCAAGAAACTAATCACAAACAACCCTCATGCTCAGCTTCCTGCTAAATTAAGCACCGTGGAACACATCCACAATATACAAACTGAAAACATCGCACAGACCATATACCCTGAAGGATTACTCAATAAAGCTACCGGGAAAGCAGGAAGTGCTGTTATTGCTCATCAGCCCGATGGCAGCACAATTCAAAGGAATATAAGAATTAGTATGGGTATCCACAATGCAAGCTGAGTTGGTAACAATACTGTTAGCACTCAAAATTATTGATAACACCAAAGTAGACAGCTTAATTATTTCAGACTCCCTTACCTCACTACTAGCAATAAACAGTTTGCCATCAAGTAATAACGTGCTTGTCTCAGAAGCCAGACATAGATATATAAGCATACTTAGCAAGAGGGTAAATATAAAAATGTTGTGGATTCCTTCTCATCTTGGCCTGCAGGAACATGATAAAGTTGGCGCCCTTGCTAAGGTTGCAGTAAATAAAGACAGTATTGAACGGAATCTTGAGTTATCAAATAGGTCCCTTAAAAGTGTCATTAGACGAGAACGCCTGGATGGATTTGAAGAAAGTAGAACAGTGTAAACTGGAACTAGCAGGTCCATTGTTTATCACAATTGAATGTGTGAAGTAAAACATGTGTATGGGGCAAGTAACAAAGTCAGCAGACTAACAGACGTTGTCACAGCTCAAATAAGACTTGGTTACAAGTATCTCTGGCAGTTCGGCTTGTATAGGGATCTAGATGAAGTAAAGTGTAAAGTGTGTGGACAGACACACTCGAACACTATATCTTGGATTGTAATAAAATTGAGCCATTTAGAGATAAATCTAAGCTCACGCTGTATGATATGACAACCTATCTTATTAACAATGATAAAATACCTGAAATCTTTGCACTGTATCCATATTTCGCTTCCAGTAGATAAACGACGTATGAGATTAAGAAACAAGTAGTGTATTGTGAAGACTAATAATAAACAGCAGCCTTCCTTTATGCATGTATTAACATAAAATAAGTGTTGAGCACCTACCTTTACACGGAAGAAGACACTGGTTCAATTCCTTGCTGCTCTAATGGAATGTTTACAGCGCTTTCTTTTTTTATGCTATGTGCAGCGTGCATGAAGGTCTTCTGCTCCTGGTGGCTGCACATCACCTAGTCACTTCTCCAACCCACACTCAAGCCATACTGTGGCCTCACTGGGACACACATGTAAATGTAAATGTTCAATGTAAAAATTCTGTCAGATAACAATTAATATTAGTATATTTTATGGTTTCCTGCATTTTTCCAGATAAGGTGTATTGTTTCTATTGCTAATTATTTGTTACAAATACTGTATTTCCAGTACAGTACGTGTGTAAATTATTTTGATAGCTGGGCTTTGCACTTGACTGAGTGCAGGACTTTTTATAGAGAAACTGTAATGTAATCAGTTAGAAATCAAATGTTACCAACCCTTCCTCATCGATCATATTCTCTATTTAATTACATATTAAGGATCCCATTGTGCTCATTATTTTAAGTTTCGTTTAGATTGAAGTTGTCATGTTTATTTGAATAGTTGCTAGTTCTAGTGTCAATCTATTGGCATTAAATTTGGCTTAATTATAGGATAACTTTGTCACCTTGCAATAATCTTTGGAAGCTGAGGTCTCACTGCTTGAATATAGTAATGTAGTATTATAGTTTGCAAAAAAAAATAGTCAAATTTGAGCCTCTGGAACTCCACAACGTAGCCTTGGTAATCAGCTGATTCACAGCTGATTCTCAAATCATACTTGTGCAACCAAAAATAATTATTTATCATTTTATAAAACTGAAATTGGATAAAAATTTGTAATGTTGAACATTAACTACTGGGTAGACAGTTGATATCTAATAATCACATAACACATTTTTCTTGCAAAGCGATGATCAGTTATACAACACCCATATGTTACAGCAACATCATGACCAAGCTTTGTAAATGTAGTACTTTATTGTTTGTTCTTCTAGATGTTACATAATTTTACTAAGGTAACATGTGTACTGTAGTGCTCTACATTTCCCAGTAATTTGTCATTCATTTATGCTGGCTATACATATTACAAATGCATTCCAGATAAAAGGTAAATAGTCATTTAAGTATCCAAATTTGTTTGGATACTTAAAGTATCCAAAAGGTGTAACTCTTCCCTCTAAAGCTCTCCTACACATTCTGCAAAAATAATAAAAAATTATATTACATATATAATTACTATTCCACACATTTTGGAACATCTGGTAATACCTAAAAAGTATTTATGGGTTTAGTGTAGGCCTATATACAGTTAAAACATATATGCATTTAAAGAATAACCTTAACTTTACAAATTTTAACCCAACAGTAACAGTGTCGAGACACCATGAATTAGAACTCAATAATCTGAAGCAGGAGTTCGAAAGTGCAACTCAACACGACTCTAAACAATGTCTTCCTCTTGTGTTCTGCGACATCTATGCCAACACTGATGACCACGTCTTCATTCACGAAGCAATATTTAGGAAAGCCTTCAGGTAGGACCCCTTGATTGACCTTAGTCTGCAGACATGGATTCAGTTAATCTGAATCTGTAAGACTGGGTGATGAGAAGGTAATCATCAGGGTAAGGCACCAAGCAGTATGCATGTAGCACTTGGAAAGGATATGTAGACAATGTGATGGAACAGTAGCCAACCACTTACACCATTGGGGATCAAATGCCAGTGCAATTACCCATGATCACAATTGTTTGGAAGAATTGTGATTTTTTTGTGTAAAGACCTTAGGAAATTCATTTCTGTACTGGATTAAATATTCTCCAATTACTTTCAAAACATTCTTGGTTCCATTCATCTGTCACAGTACTATTTTGCAAAGCAATCTGGCAAATCCTTTACATTTACTTCATTCCTTATCCACACCTTTTAAAACTTCCACACTGATGTCCTTGCCTTATTTTTGCATAATTCTTCTACCATATTACCTCGATCACACCAGCAAAGCCAAATCACAATCAGATTTTTACTTTTTAAATATATTCCATCCATCACCATTTAAAAAACAGTACACTCCATCTACATCTTCCTTTCTCACCAGCCAATATTCTCTTTCAATTTAAAGCTCTGCAAATGCCTTCTAATAGTCAATCATGTTGCTTATATTTATTCCTGTTTAATTTTATTTCTGCAATAGTAAATAGTTGCATTAAACCATTATTTAGAATAATTTATGATATATTTTATTTGCATTTATATACGAACCACAGAAATTGGGTAATACATTGAGCCCATAATATTTGGGAGTTAAAAATAATGCATTCAAGATGCATTATTTGCATCCTTTCTGTAGCATTATACAGTATGCTCCTTTCTGTAACCTCAAGAAAGGAGCATATTATGTTACACTTATTATACTATTCCTTTTATTCTTAATATAGTGTTAAATCATAGTTTATGGGTTTAAAGTTTTAATTTATCTCTACCTGCAGATCCTACTTTGCCAAGAAATCAATTCCGGATTGGGCAAAACAATATGTTCGTGCAGCTGACATAGGAGTCATTACAAAATCTTCGGCTTCCTGTAGAGAATCATATCCATTATGTCGCTTCTCTGCATACTACCTGAGGAAACTCATTGCTAAAGCAATGAATGCAATAGGCTAGACTAATTTATTGCAGGCTTATTAATGATTCATTGTGATATATTAAATAAGAAATACCCAGTAATCACAATAATAGTATTAAATAAACATGAATATTTTTTAATTATGTGATTAATTTCAAATACTGTAGATATCAATAAAAATCTTTATTGATGTATATTTAAACTATTTTTTCTATTAAAACAATATTTGATTTGATCACCTTTAGTTTGTCAGTTTAATCCTCAACTGGCTTTTATTATTGTTTATTTCTATGCTGTATAAAGCTATAACAATTGGATATGATTTTTTGTTAACTCTTAAAAGAATTTAGTGTCAATTGTATGTTCATTGATTATTAAAGTACTTGTTATTTTGTTCTCAGATTTAAAGATTAATTTATATGCTTGTTTACCACTCAAAATGCTGTACAGTATAGCATTATAAAATTCAATTATAACTGTCAAGTCTAAATTAAACACTATATCCCATTGTAATGTACCGTAGATATAAGTCAGTGACAAGGTCAAAAGTGTACTGTACTGTGCTTTCATTAAAGCTGCAGAAAAATAATAGCTCATTTCAAATATGAATTAAGCCAAAAATACACAAGAAACTTCTCCTTGGCATCTTTGAATTATATAATACAATTGTCATGAACACTTTCCAAAATACATTAGTATCTTCCATGTCGCAAGTTTTCCTTTGACAGAAGAGATTTTAAAGTACTCAGGCAATGAGTTTCAGGAAATTTTGTGAGGTTTACTCACTATGTACTGTTCAGCCAAATGAATTTTGGTTGTTTCTGAACCCATTTATGCCTTTAACCTATTCCACTTACTATCCACAGGATGGGTATGGGGTTCATAATATAGGAACTATTACCAAATATATATATGGATAATTATTTTGAGGGGAGAGGGGGGGTGAGGGTACTTGCTCAATTTCAGTTTCTGTCATATCAATATGAGGAGATATTTTCCTGATATTGAACAGAAACTTGTCATAAGTACCATGACAAAGCCACAATATATCCTATGGATGTTAAACAGTAATGGCAATACTAACACATCATAATGATTAATACATTGATTGAAATATTAGAGTAAGTTTAAACTACAGGATTTAAATATCCTGGATATAAATAATATTGTAAAATTAATCATGGTAACAATGATAAATTATTAATTGTGCAAAAACTACTTTATTAAATTTGCAAGCAATTCCAAAGTAATTATCAATTTAGCCCTTTTATTTTTTTTTTTAAGAAATCCTGCTCCTTTAACAACATGGCTTTAATCGGAAAACAAGTTGCCCATTCATTACAATAATTTTATATTTACTTTCCCTCCCACATAACATAACTTGCCTTCAGTACATGACACTTGTAAAGTCATGTATCATTGTTATACACTAAAACTACTGATGATAGGAAATTGTTTGAGTATTTATAAAGTAGTGAGAGTATGTGACAAAGCATTGCAAGTTCTAATTAAATTCAAACAATAATAAACTATATCAAGAGCTCAGTCTAATGTTTTGAAATGAGCTGCCACTAAGCAGGAGTCCTCATCTTTGATTATGAACAAAAGGGTTCCAAAATCATAATTGTTTTTAAATTTATATTATAGATTGGTTACCCTTAGCCTTTGTCTCAAAAATTGTCATATACTGTATATATATATATATATATATATGCAAAATAAAACGCCAATGACCTTAAAATTTGTATATTAAGCAGTACAAATTTTTATAAAAAAATTTATTTACAATTGTTGTAAAAAGGGTGATATACAAAAATATTTGTATTACATCTTGCACACCTAAATAATTTTTTTCTGGAAAATGCAAGACATGATTTAAAGTTAATTGCTGTTGAAGTTGGTTATAATATATTTCACTCTTGCAATATATGAGATGCAAATTACTCATGAGTGCCTTTTTTAATTTACATTCTATGTATCATTAAATATAGCAGACACTCAAGACATATTTGTTTACACTCAAGACATTAATTTAAAATATGACTTACAAGTGACGAGAGAATTAATAACAAATAATACTAAGCGAGTCAAAGTTTGATGAGCAATGGCAGCAGCATTACTCTATCTCATTCTTCTTTAAAAACTAGGTGACAAAGGTGTCTTGTTCAGAAATGGTAGCAAATTTGAAGCGACTCCTGGCACTCTTTCACAGCCTCCTTCTGTGCACCAGTAACCATATGGACAACATGTTTCCATGTCACCACAGCATGTTGCCTATGGGAAAAATAGACCACAATGAACATATTAAGCTTTTATACAATTAATTCAGTCAGATGTGTCACAATAAAAGACAGGACAGAAGACATTCCACTTAAAAATTCATAGCAGTAATTGAAAATCTGTTAAAGGCAATGTCTTGATTGTCCAGATTAATGAATTCCAAAGTGTTCTGTCGCAAAGATTTCCTTTAGTGCCATAATTTAAGTGTCTTTTTAGCACAAGATTTGTTATTTAGTACATTTAGACATCAAATATGGAAGAAAGCAATTTAAAAACTCTTAAATTTTAATATTTATTGTTTATATATATATTTATATTTAATGAATATAATGATATTCCTGATGATTCGAATCCATAATTTATCCAAACACAAGCTCAATTATTTCTTTCACATTAAAAGTGATTTTAGTTGCCCATCAAATTTTGGTTTGTAAGGGAAGAAGCAACTAATGTCCAGGTGCCAAAAATACTTTTAATTACTGTTTGTCTGGTCATCAAAATTGTAATTTGGGTCACAAAAACCATTCAATAAGTTTGCCTTGACCTTCCATTAGATCAGTAATTCCCAAAGTGGGCAATACAATCCTCTAGGGGTAAGCTCGGAGTTCCGTGGGGGCACAAAGACACCACGGGACAGCAGAAGCATTCTCTAGCTTTAATTATAGACACATGTTAAAAAGTTCACAGTTGCATTTTCATTATATTTGGTGGAGCAAGGTTATACTGTGGTTGTTCAACATCTGATGAAGCAAAGAAATCAAATTCAGATTGCTGAATATGGAGATTTTAAACTTCTGTTCAGTAACGTTAGATTCGACATTGGAAACTGAACATATTATCAAGGTTGTTCACCATATTAACAGGGCTGACAAGAAAGGGATTTGTTTGCAATACCCCTCTATTTATGCACTTGTGTACTGTATAAATTAATGACTTTCATACTTTGTAAAACTGGTGAATCAGATTTTGAATAAATGTGTAAATATATTAATGCTAATGTTATAAATTTTGTTTAATTAATGTCTTCCTTAGTGGGTCACATACATTGTTATTTTCCCTTATAATTTTTTATGGTAGGTAGGGGCAATATTTACATCCATGGCCAGCAGTTACAATACCAGTCTCTTCGACTAAGTTCCAGGCTCAATTCTCAGTAGTCAAGTTTATGTGACTCTGGACTGGTTCTTAGAAGTGAAAAATTCAATCGTAATAATGGCACTGAAGGCTCAAACTGAGTAGGGGGCACTAGAGATGAACTTATAGAACCAATTGGGTGGGAGTACAACAAAGTTTGAAACTCACTCGGCTAGATAAACTGAAAACTACTAAAGCGAGTAAAATTATTAACTAGTATTTGGAAGAATACAATTCACTAAACAAAAAAAAAAGTTATCTTACTTGCACCATTGGACAGCAACCAAATCCACCACTAGCTATTTCACAGCAAGTGTTTCCATCAGGACACTGTGACTGCCTATCAGGGCATACCACATTACTGATTTCACCACTTGGCATTGCTAAGGCAAGGCTTTCCACCTGAAAATCAAGATGAATATTATTAATTCTCTTTTTAAAATTACTAGTTTTGCAATAAAATTCAAAAGCAATTCTGTACTGTAATTTGAAGAATACTGTATAGTTATGCTGCAAGATTTAGTAGGAACATAACTTATGCTTCAGATATGGTCATTATTACATTGTTGTTCTCTATACCATATTTGCATGAATATTAGCTGACCATCAACTATAAATCAGTGTGAATTTCAAACACATTTCATGGAAAAAAAAGACTGCAGTGAATATAATGAAATGCCTCTTTCTGGCAAAAAGGTGGCCTATGTGGCTCCCAGTAACTAGCAGCTTGAGATAGTTTCACACATATAGGTCAGCTCTAAGTGTTCTTAATAGCCTACTGGAGTTCAGAATCTAAAACCTGGTCCCCCTCACAGTGGTACAGATTTATAGTTACCCCTAACTGAAGACAAACCCCAAAAAGGGAAGTGAAGCAAAACAACTGCAAAGATCACAAAGTAAATATATAAAGCAGCAAACAATTCATCCAGAAGTTAGGTCATACCCCCTCCTGTAACAGCTGGCTACCACCAGGTAGCCCCCTATAACAACTACCAGCTCCCATGTCAACAAACCTCATTCCAGAGCCTAAGACAATGAACTGGTAAAGGAGAAAGGGAGCAGGGAGCCAACGAGATCCCTTAAGAGTTTCATTACATAAACTCTTCGTTTCCGGACGGGGGCTAAACGGTGCATCTCTGTAGCTAACCACGCAAAGAAAATTGACTCACTTAGATCAAACTCCCCAAAAGTAAGATACCAGTACAAGACACCTTACCCAGAGCAACACAAGCACAGAGAGGACCAGGGAAACTGATTAGGTAACAAGCACTAGGGCACTGATAGATCCCTAAAATACCAATACCTAGCCTAAGACATTTTAGAAAAGACAGCAGTCAAAGCCATAAACTTTTGCAATGTAAGTAACATGGTTGCAATACCCAGCACTGAAGCCAAAACATACAGGCTGCCCCTAGAGAAGGACAGAAAAAATCCAGGTGCAAAAAATAGGATGTCAAATCCTCCTATAATTATGTAATATACTGTACATGCAAGTTATACTCCTACAGTATAATTGTGATGAAAATAGAATGTAATTACATATAATTCAAGTTGAAATATATTAGTTTTATAGAGAAATACTATCAAAAACAAAACAACCAGCATTGAATGTAATGAAACGCCATTTTCTGGGTGAGCCTCTGAGGCTCCCTGGAGCCATCAGGCTAATGTGAGATATTAGACCAGGGAATTGGTCTATGGAGTCCGACCTACCGGGGACCACAAGCAAGAACCCGACCCCCTCAAAGAGGTTGCAGGGAGCAATGGCCCTGGAAAACCCCAGTGATTGGGGGTTTCCTTATCTGCCATCGATCGGGGTCAGGCACCCAGAAAAGTAGGCTTATTAAAACAAACCTCACCGGGATTTTCCAGGGCCATTGCTCCCTGCAACCTCTCTGAGGGGGGCCAGGTTCTGGCTTATGGTTCCTGGTAGGTCGAATTCCACAGACTAATGCCCCGGTCTAATATATCACATATTAGCCCACTAGCTCCATGAGCCACAGGGGCTCCCCACAGAAAAGTACAATTACCAATATCTTCCCAAATCCTCATATAATTACATATTAGATAAATAAAATATTTTCCTACAGAATTATTGAAAATTATAGTAATTTGTACTAATGTTATTACACACAATTCAAGTTGGAAAGGTATTCGATTTACTGTATAGCAAAATATGACCAAAAACTAAAAAGAAATATTAACCCAAAACTACTCATCTCATATAATTATGTAAATAATAGATCAAATATTTTTCTATAGTATTATTGGTAATGAAAACTATGTGAATACACATAACTCAAGCTGGAAATATACTAGTTTTAAAGTGAAATGCCATTTATACTCGGTAATGCTTTATTAATCATATGGGGCCCACCCGTATCTTAGTTAGCTGAATATTTGAGTTAAAAGTTTTTTTTACAATGAGTGTCCAAACATTAACAAATTCAAATTTATTTGGGTTTCTCATTTGGCAGAAATGACAGTAACATGAATATCCATTAGTTCAAGCACTCAAACTCTTATTTATTTGGGCTTCCTGTTCAGTGTAACCTTTTAACCAAAATCTTTATTTGGGTTGAAAGGGTAACAAATTTGAATGTGAACACATTCAGATTACTAAAGAAATTCAGTTACTGGAATCCAAATTACCAAGCTCTTGCAATACATTAAATAAATCCAGAATGCTACTGATGTGTGCAATGATGCATGAATAGTTAACAAAATCAAAGTTTAGGCATTGGAAAGTTTATGGGTCTGGTGTGAAAAAGATCCCTTACAAGAATACATTTTGAAAGAATGAAATTTTCTCACTTCAAAATGAGTATAAGTCGCTTTCTCTTTTATATATAGTACTTGGTTTATACTTCTAGTAAAACAGTCAGAAAATTATGTGGCTGGTTTTTATTTTGGGAATGGAAAGTTTCACTAAGTGGAGGTACCAGAAGTACAATCACAAAAATGGCTAGAAGGCCAAATAACATTAATTGAATTAGGTTCCAATGAAATTTGAACGAGAACCTTTGGCACATAGAAGATTTTTTGGCACTGAAAACTCAATTAGCAAAATTTGAAGACTAAATAGCAAATTTAACATTTAGTTGTTAAATATTGCTCAGTCGGAAAAGACGTGGTTGTGATAATCCTGTGCAACCTGGTTGTGACAGCAATGTATAGGCTTATAGACAATAACCAAGCATGACTACAAAAAAACAAAAACTATTAAAATTAAGCCATAGATAAACCTACCTCTTTAATCTTAATTGGTGCCGAGAACTGATTCAGCAAAAGTTCAAGATTATTTGGAGAATCTGCTCTTCTCCTGCATCCACCATTAACACAATCATATCCATGGGGACAACAGTGTACTCTATCAGGACAACAAGTTGCCTATAGGTAAAACATAAAAGCAATAAATAATACAAATTCAAGTACTATGGATCTGGAATATTTCTGGACTAGAAAAACTAGTGGAAACCTTGTATCCTTTTCATTCTAGCCCTTTTATTCTCTCCCCAAACTCCTGTTCTGAAGGCCAGTTATCTAGATAAAACATTTTTGGATGTTGAAACTATTTTTTAAGATGTATTTGGCAAAGCACGTATATCAGAGAACAACTTTTATTGCCATTTAACATTAGCAACATAGCACAATGAAAGAGTTACAGTAAACTATACATATGAATGTAAAGAATCTAAAATTAAATTCCCCTTGTAGTCATTCATAAATGAACCAGCTACTGCTGAATGATTCCCTCCATGAGCTTGCAGATGTGTGAGGCCATCTGCAAGCAACAAATGGTCGTGCTAAATGGAAATGAATCTGAATGGAGAAATGTGATAAGTGCGGTGCCACAAGGGTCCATTATAAGACCTACCCTTTTTCATATACATCAATAACATAGATGAGAATATTAAAAAACACATAAATCAAATTTGCAGACAACATAAAGACTTATGGTAAACTGGGAAATAATAATAATAATGAAACCTTACAAAGAGATCTACATGAACTTCACAAATGGTCAGAAGACTGGCAAGTGCTTTTTAATAACGACAAATGCAAAACCATGCAAGAGGGGCACGACAACCCATACCACGACTATCAAATTTAGAGCATTACATTTAATAGTATTACGTTTAATAGCATTAAGGTAGGCATGACAGGATGGATCTCATTGAAACTTTTAAAATACTGAACAAGTTAGAGGATGTTGATCTGGATATTTTCTTCAGGTCAGAGGTAACACAAAAAAGGAGCAGTGATTTCAAGTTTAAAAAGCCACAATGAGAACAGAAAATGCTTTTTCACCCACAGGGTTATCAACCCATGAAACCGCCTACCCGCCAAAGCCATAATTGCCAAAACTGTGTTGAGTTTTAAAATATACCTAGAGAAGATCATCAAGGCAAATAGGAGGACCTTCAACAAGCCACCGGCTTCCTGTCCTCATCGAGGCCACTAGGGTTAGTGGCCTCAGGTAAAATGCAACAAAGGTTCTGAGTATATGTGAGAAGCACCTTTCTGAAGAGCTCACTTGGTAGAGCTGCTCAGAAAGATGATCTGCTGCATTGTAGAACAGGATTATGAACAAACAAGAAGGGTGACAGTAGTGCTGGAACCACAGGGGGAACCTTTAAATTCTCAATCCAACTGTGAGATCTCTGAAAGCTGAATTAACATAACTCTTAAATCTCGGTAAAACCCTTCCTTGTTATCACATATGGCCATCACTGGAGCACTGAAATCACTAGTTGGTCAACTGAACCATCCATCAGTGCTACCACTAGATGATGGCACCCTACACACTGAAACAAACTTCTGAACACAAAATAAGGTGTAACAAAAAATATATCCTTCTCCAATGTTAGGCCTTGTTGAATGGGAAATTTTGCATTTGCAATTAATTATTCTAAAAAATATAGGGTAGGTCATAATAATGCAACAAACAGGAAAATGTATAAAACATGGAATTTGAGAACAAAATGCATAAGAAATAGATCTCTATGTTAATAAAAACAAATTACTTTGTGACTTACAAGAGGCATGGGGCAACATCCATAGGCTCCACCTCCAACTGGACAGCATGTTTCTCCATCATTACAATGGTATTGTCTATTTGGACATACTATTCCCACTTCACTATCCAATTTAGTTTCTGAACTTATCTTAAATTCTGGCACCTCAGACAGCATATGAGCCTGGAGGGATTGGGCAGGAACAGACCATTTCAGATTTTTTTGCTGAGGAAGAAAAATCTTTTGTAATTCACATATAATTTATTACTTTTAAGTACGTGTGGGAATGTTTCTCTTTCCTCTGGAAACTATTTCAAAAGGGGTGGCACCAAGTAGGATCTTCCCAAACATTGCAAATTTTTATTGGCTATCTGAAAATTATTGTAAGAACCATTTGAAACATGTCAAAACATTGAATATGGTTTTAATGAAAGCAAGATGTGATTACCACTTGCTTGTTCTAAGAAGCAACAAATATGAAAAGAATGAGGACTGCTTTCAGCACGCCAACACAAGTTAGCTATTATTTGGGACAGATAAGAAAGAATAATACAAATTGTAATGACACATTTCTTTCCGAGTCAATCCCTCAAATGCTCTCTAGCCAAAACCCATATGGTCAACACAGAATTGTTTTAAAAAGGTTAATATTTTCTTTAGTGTTGTTTTGCTAATACAATGAATAGTGGACCAAATCTTTCATAATACTGTTTTAATCTGGGTAAATACTGTACAAAGTTTATACAAAGTTCATTTGAGGTACACTACCTTTGATGAAGCTCAGAGATTTAAGTGTTACCATGTTTACCTTTACTCAGTAAATCAGAAAACTTACCTTTGTCAACCTCCTCTCTTCAAAGATCTGTAGTTTAAATGGGAACAGCCTAGCCACTGATCACAATAATATGTATTCATACTATTGATTATTAGCCAAAGATTTTATGTTATTAATTTGAAATTATTGTTGATACAGTAATTTCAGTAGTTTGCGAGTACAATTATAATCATAGGGTACCAAACAATTCCAAAGACAGTAGTTGAATAGCCAGGTGACGTATCAAAATACTGTACATTCAAGTGGAGTTACATAATCACAAATGGATGAACAAAATTTCAGTAGGCCTAACACAGTTAACTCTGATCTTATACTGAACTATTCAAGTATTGCAGCTGTGGTGAAACATCCAGTGAGATAGGAGAACAGACAGCATAACTGCTAGGATTGTTGTGGCAAGTACATACATTACTGAAGGCAAACATTACATGAGAGTTTAAAGTGGTTATTGTGCTTGTAATAGCATAACTGAGATAGGCTGCCCAAATGACCATTCAGTATACAGTATTTATATTTGTGCTTATTTTCATAACAATTCTTGAAAGCTCACCACATCACAGGTTCCAATGGTGGTATTGCAGGTGGTTCCATGGGGACAGCAATGCATTAAATCTGTGCAACAGACAGCATCAGCATACGGGCAGCATCCAAAACTTTTGCCAAGCATCTTGCAACAACTCATTATGCTTGGGCAAGGGTGACCATCAGGGCACTTTCCTCCAGGAACTAATGACACAACAAAACATTTATTATACAAACATATACAGTATATGGAAAGCATGCGATTATCAAAGAAATATTAAATTAGTAGTAACTTTATTGTCGATAAAGTTTTGTCATAATAATTTCTCAACTTGGTGTTTCTCTACTCTGTTGTCAGCACTTTATGCTCTCTTCAACAATAAATTTACATTACATTTAGAGATCAAATTTGCATTATTTTTTGCTTCTCTAAATGATTTGCTATAGGCAATGTATACACTTTAAAAGTCCATCAAGCGTGAACCTGAATGCACCTTTTCAACTTGTCATACGAAAGTTTACACAACAAAATTGAGACAATAAAATCTAGAAAAAGATTAATTTTCGGAAAAGGAATATAAGCGGAAACCTGTAGATATATTTCTTGTATAAAATGAGCACTGATGTTCTTCACATGTTTCGAATAAATAAGGCTTTGACAGTAGCAGTCAAGTAACCAATAAAGTACTAAACAAAACTACCTGAAATAATAAGCCAATTTTGATAAAGCGGCATACGGTAGTAAAGTGTAAGCCCACCTTCTTGTGGTAACCGTGCAAATATAAATATTTGAGTGAAATCAACAGGACAACAGTTACATTATTATATTAGGTTTGATTCTGTAGCATCCAGCTTTCCTGAGAAATGGGTTTTCTTCCAACGGTAGTCCCAGTTCAATGGATAATTGTGTAGAAATAGTGATGTTACTTTATTTTAGAGACATTGCTCAATGTCTTTTCCCACTAGTTGCATGTTAAAATTATTTTAAACTCTCCCCTGCACTCGGAAAGTTATATGGCTCAATTAGTATAATGACCTTTCACTAAGGGTTGAATGTTTCAAGCTAAGTTAACAAGTGATCGTGTTCTGTGGATACCATATAGTCACATCAAAACTTGGACAAACAAAATAATCTTACATAATCCTTATGATATTCCTACCATGTTGTTGTTTTAGATTCAGCTATTTGGAACAAAAAGTTCCAAACAACATGGGTTATTGTAAGCCCGTCATACTTATCTGGCACAGATGTGCTCGATAATTCCTATCAGGAATACATAATTAGCACATTTGGCATGATTGAAGGTAGATACTCTCCACATCTGAACCTATTACCTTTAAGCTCTCTTGTATAGAAAAAAAAATCCTTACACTATACTATGCACATCGCTAACTCTAGCCACAACACTGCTATTACATTAGTATTAAGAAAATACTACAAATCTTTTTACAATAGCAACTGAAATTGACTAAACCTGAGAGAATCAGGAAATGTTTGTAGGAATTTTCATAGTTAACTAAATTAACCAAAGATTTTTATTAGTAAAAAAATTTACCACTAACAACTAAATGGTCCATTTACAAGAGAACCTTTTTTATTATCAACATAATTAAATGTAAAAAAATTTCAGGCTGATATGCAAAAACATTCTCCAGATAAACAGAGAAAACAAAAATATTAATGTGAAAACTATAGGTATTCCTACAATGAATACCAAATAATTATGTGGTCAAAACATGCTCTGGGACAGCAAAGTTAGAAAACTCAGTAACAAAGCCATATTCTTGATAGTTGGTAACAGATTTAAATGCCAGAAAGCTATAATTACCTGTTAAATCATTTTGAACTTGATTTGTTTTAACTTTCCTGCTAGTCATTTTTGAAGACTTTGGCTTCAGACGATACGCATTCATGGAAAAGTTCATCACCTTATTCTGAAAATAAAAATCATACGTAAGGCACTCGCTTCATATTTAATAGAGCCAGTCTACATAATTTCAATAATTCTCTAAAAAGACTTACTTTATATGAAATATTTGTACTGTACAATATATCAAATACTCATATAAGGCATATACACCAACTGTACAGTACTGAATACCCTTCTTTTATATTCTTACCTTGACCTCCCAATCATGACACCATTCACATATACATTGAATGAAGGTTACATTACACAACCCTGACATACACCTATGTTAATATCAAACATGTCATACATTACACAAATAATTTTTTGACCTACACATACACTACTTCCAACAAAAGCAAACATTATAGCATTTAACACAACTCTGCGAGGCCGTCTTAATAGCATTATGGGCCCCTAGGCAAACCAGTGTGCTGGGGCCCCTACAACAACCACTTACAGGAATAAAAAGTAAATGGTCGATAATATTAAACATATATTTATTTTTTTGGCACTTCAATAAAATTGGTGTTAAAACATTAAAAACATGCTATAGAGCAGCAACTAATCAACATGACAAACATTTGAACAATACACAAGACTTGAAAACACAATAATACTCAGTAAGCTACACAGACTAGACGGTACTATATGAAATTATTATGAACTTCTTATTATAACAAGCATTTGCGGCATTTCCTTTTAAAGAATTGCTTTATTATTGGCTTGAAGTCAATGGTCTTCAGAATGACCATTTCCATGCACATGAGTGAATGCCAGTTCAAACGATGCTGCCCCATTGTGCTATGAAGCTATGTTTCATCTATCAAGAAACATTCCACAGGCTCATAGCCTTTAATGTATCAAACAGTAAATGTCAGTTGATATGTGTATGAGATGTCTGGAGTGAAATCTACACTCACTGAATTTTGACTTTTACTTCTTCAAGAATAGTACAAAATAAAACTGTTGTCCCATTAATTCAATAAATTCCTCACAAATATTTGCAGATAAATATGACGGATTCCCTTGTCCAGGATTTCCATACATTGAGATGTTCTTCCAAGAAAGAGTCAAATTCACTCAGCAACTCTAATATACCTAAATAGTTGCCATTTTTTGCTGACCCAATAATCTGATTTTCTCCATGAAATGGCAAACCTCTAGAAGCAAATAAAGTAAATTACAGAAACCAAATGTGTCAACACTTTATGCTAATATTCCCACTCTGAGCAATGTTGTTAAAGTAATAAAGAATGTACATTTCCAGTTTCTTTATGCTTTATCAAATATGCTGTCATGCACTTTTGATGTTCTCCGTTTTCATGTTCTACAATAGCATTGCTGTGCATCCAGTCATTGAACCCCATGTAGCAAAGGGAGATTCTTTCTTGGACAATAGGCAACATACAAAGCAGAATAAATGACTTTGGTATGGTGAAGAAAAAAGTAACCATTCATGTTTTGCATACTCACCATTCCGCAGTTCACGTTTGAACACATACTTGCTCTGCCGATAACTCATAATATTGCGCAAGAACGAGAATTAACCGCATAAAACCACTTAGAAGGTCTAAATGTTTTTTTTGTATAAATGAATCCAGAAAAATAATGGATCAATACTTACATAACAACCTCCAGTTTTTGGGTTACAGTTAAAGTTTTTTGGGCAGCAGTGGAATGTGTCTGGACAGCATGTAGCACCATCAAATGGACAACAACCATACTTTCCATTGTACATCTTGCAGCAAGTAAAATCTCCTGGACAGTTATGTTCATCAGGACATTTTGTTTCCTTCAAGGTTTCTAAAAATATAATACAAGAGATACTTTAGCATTAGAAAGTGGAAGTACTGTAACTCTAAGAAAAATCAGTATAACTATACACCTGACTCAACATGTAGTTTAGTATTACTGAAACTTTGATTATAGTATGTACATACTATCAATTATGGCTCAATTAATCCAAGAATGAAAGAATGACGAGCAATATCAGCATATAACGCAGTATATGAATGGAGATGATAAATAATATCACTAACATTTTGACTTTTCATCCTATTAAATCTTACCGATTAGATTAGTAATCGGTAAGATTTTATTATCTGATTAGATATTACTACAATCGAGGCCATGAATGTGGCTTCTGCTATTATCTGATTAGACATTACTACATATTATTTCTCTCAGTGTATTAACATTATTCTTTTGGATGATCACACAAGTAATATTGGCTCTTATCTAATCTGTATTATACTGTATAGGAATACTTATGAATATCCTTGTTTAAAACTGTATGTACAGTAAATATTATCTTTTAAATAAATTAATAGCATAGAAATGGTTCTTACAAGCTTCAGCCAGTCTAAGAACCCATATTACCTTCCAGTTGCTCTGGTTCACTGATCTCTGTCTGGTGACCCAAAGTGTTACTTGGAGTATTGACTTCCTCAAGGAGTTCTGGCTGCACAGGAACTTGCCAGAAGAATTTAAATGGAAATCCATCCTTTACACACGTTTGATGGGCAACGTCACACTGCATATCTGGAACAAGTGGAGTTTATCAACAAATATTAACATGTGATAATAGAAAATACATAAAAAGTGCTCATCTGCACCCTTGTCCATGCAGACTTTATAAACCAATGGCATGGAGCAAAGGATGTTTATATCAATACTTAATTTAAAATACAGTTGTCTCTTGGATACAAAATGATTAGGGACAAAGGCTTTCTGCCAATTGATTCTTCTGGAGAACAGAATAAAACAGATCATAATTAAAGATCATATATAACTTAAGTATTGTAGGCTTCAAGGCTTTAACATTATACTTCTCAAAATACCATATGTAAAAAGTGCTATAAAACTTCATAACCCAATTAAGAGCTACCTTTACTTTTACCTCGACCATGGGGTGATTTCAAGTATCAACATCCCTGTGGCCTAGTCTCTGCCCAGGCTTCCTGGTTGGTAGTCTGGTCAACAAGGCTGTTGGATGCAGCTGCTTACAGTCTGGCATATACCGGGTACTTTGAACCAAAACTAAAATATCTGAAATTCAAGTAATACATCTTCCTACCGAACACCTAATTCCAAAGAACGAGGGTTGTGATAAAAAAGGGCAAATATAATGCAATGTAAGCAAACAGACCAGTAAATATAAATGGTTGAATGATTCCTGATGAACAGCCAGCCAGTTCTCACAATTTAATGCAAAATTTGAAAGTTTTCATCTATCCAGAAGAGTATAAACCTAAGCAACCCACCCCCTAACCAATCGTGGCAAATTAGCCCATGGAAGTGTTAACATTGCACGAATTTTAAACAACATGAAGCCTCCTCATTTTTACACTGCAGTAGATTATCAATGTTGGGGTGCATTAAAGTTTGAGGATAGATTTACTCAGCAGCTGTGTATACCATACTCAGCTTGTATAAATGTTGTACAGAACTATATGTGTAATTTCAGTTTAGTAGCCAACAAGAAACATTTCCACATACTTCGGTCACTTTCAAAGCCTTTAAAGACAGCACTATTACACTTTTTTTTTTTTACTATAAAATAATTAATTTAAGGCATAATTATAACTTCAATTGTCAGGGGACAGGAAGCCTACATAGGCCTATAGACCTCCCTAAGTGAAACTACATACCGATCTTCCCCAGGATGCAACCCACAACAGATGCCTAACTCCGAGATACCTAGTTACTGTTGAGTGAATAGAGGTATCAGGTGAAAGTAAACATGCCCAACAATGCAATCTGGGCCCCATTATTTCATCAAATCTCTAAACAAGCTATGGTCGCACTGCGTACATTTGTGAGCAAAGCTTGAAGGGTCCCCAAGCACATATATCACTAACTCTATGACCCCATTAGAGAATTCAAACCCAGGCCACCAGGAGCCTGTCTCTCCACCAAGAGCACTGGTACCATGACTGCTACACCAGCAATTGTTTATAAGTGTTGGTTGGTCACAGAACCTATCCATACAAGTTTTATGATCAACCAACACCCGCTGCAGTCCATCCTCCTAAGGCTTCCCAACGGTAAAAAACTGTCGAACTAAAGTGCCCTTATACTAACCTATCAATGGACCCAAAACAGATAATAGAACAGTATTTCAATTTTGCAAGCTGCTACCATATTCTAGTGTGATAATTTTTGACCTCATGTCAAGTATATTTGCAGTCTCCGTGGTGTAGTGGTAAGACACTCGCCTGGCGTTCCGCGAGCGCTATGTCATGGGTTCGTATCCTGGCCGGGGAGGATTTACTGGGCGCAATTCCTTAACTGTAGCCTCTGTTTAACGCAACAGTAAAATGTGTACTTGGATGAAAAAACGATTCTTCGCGGCGGGGATCGTATTCCAGGGACCTGCCCGAAACGCTACGCGTACTAGTGGCTGTACAAGAATGTAACAACTCTTGTATATATCTCAAAAAAAAAAAAAAAAAAAAAAAAAAAAAGTATACGTCAAAATACGACATTTTATAAGGAGGACAGGTTGCCCGATGACTCCCTTTTTTTCCTAGTTGAGTATGCCCTTTATTAATTATCCTAACAAAATAGCAAGATACAATGTCTTGCATTGTGGTATTAAACTGCTCAAGGCAATGACAAATATTTAGGTCATACAAATACAGTATTATGAATATGGACATGTGACTAATAAAATTAATAATTTTGTAAATCTAGTTTAAAGCAATTGCTAACACATTTGACAAAAACAAATTACATACTCTGAGGGCAGCAATGTACATGGTCTGGACAACACACAGCTTGGGAAAATGGACAGCATCCATACTCTTTGTTAGCCAGCTGACAACAAGTCATGTATTCCGGGCACCTGAAATAAATTACAGGAGCATCAGTGCTTTCCACAGTTTGGCTAAGTGGGAGTACAGTATACTGTATTTGCTACAGTGTTGCATTTGTGACTGCTCTTCTAGGAAGGGTTTAGGTTTGGAGGAGAGGAATGGTGCATGTCTGGAGGAGGGAAACCATGCAGCTCTTGAGGGGGGAAAAGTGCATGTTTGGGGGAAGGGGGGGGGGGGGAGGTGCAAGTCTAGGGGGCAGGAGTAGGATACAGGTTTGGAATGAAAAGGGGCAGGTCTGGAGGATGGGTGCAATGCAGGTCTGTAGGACAAGGGTGAAGGTCTGGAAAAGGAGGGGAATGCTGCTGGAGAAGGGGAGCCATGCAGGTCTGGAGATTGGGAATACTGCAGGGCTGGACGAGGTGGAACAATGCAGGGCTGGAGGAGGGGAACATTGCAGGGCTGGAGGAGGTGGAACAATGTAGGGCTGGAGGAGGTGGAACAATGCAGGGCTGGAGGAGGTGGAACAATGCAGGGCTGGAGGTGGAACAATGCAGGGCTGGAGGAGGTGGAACAATGCAGGGTTGGAGGAGGTAGAACAATGCAGGGCTGGAGGAGGGGAACAATGCAGGGCTGGAGGAGGGGAACATTGCAGGGCTGGAGGGACCAATGCAGGGCTAGAGGTGGAACAATGCAGGGCTGGATGAGGGGAACACTGCAGGGCTGGAGGTGGAACAATGCAGGGCTAAAGGATGGGAACATTGCAGGGCTGGAGGAGGGGAACAATGCAGGGCTGGAGGAGGGGAACAATGCAGGGCTGGAGGAGGGGAACAATGTAGGGCTGGAGGGGAACAATACAGAGCTGGCTGTGGGGGAACAATGCAGGGCTAGCTGGAGTGGAACAATGCAGGGCTGGCTGGAGGGGGAACAGTGCAGGGCTGGCTGGAGGGGAACAATGCAGGGCTGGCTGGAGGGGAACAATGCAGGGCTGGCTGGAGGGGAACAATGCAGGGCTGGCTGGAAGGGAACAATGCAGGGCTGGCTGGAGGGGAACAATGCAGGGCTGGAGGGGAACAATGCAGGGCTGGAGGGGAACAATGCAAGGCTTGAGGAAGGGAACAATGCAGGGCTGGAGGAGGGGAATGCTGCAGGGCTGAAAGAACGGAACAATGCAGGGCTGAAGGATGGGAACAATGCAAGGCTTGAGGAGGGGAACAATGCAGGACTGGAGGTGGGGAACACTGCAGGCCCAGAAGGAAGCGGTACAGGGCAATTGATTAACTTACTTGACCAATCCTCCAGGGCAGAGGTTTTCACTCGTATAAGACTCTACTAGCACGGCCAAGCCCAACACAGTGCCGATGATGATATTCCCCACCATCATGCTGCTTCCAGGTGCTGTCAGGGGGCAACATACATTGCTTTATTCTCTCACATATAATCTTACAAACAATATCACACACACACTTAGCTCATGGACAACGTAATTTTGTAAATTCACACTATTTTGTGTAGACAAACATTATTGCTGGCTACAACATTTATAAGATACTTACAGATCTAAACCGATGACACAACCGAAGACTACTAATTTCAATTCACGAATGAGGGATTAGGTTACAGCTAGGAAAGAGCTTGCCCGGCAACTGAGGTAGGGAGTGCTCGCGCGCATTTAAGTAACCCCTCTGATGGACGCGTACGGGACGTGTAGACCCTGAATTGCTAACTGCAGGTCGTGCAGAACGAGTCTAATTCCTGGGATAATTCACTCACCGGTTTAACCGGAGATGTCTAACCTTGTCCATGGAGGACAAAACATGCATATATGCTAGTCACCATTGTATACGTGAATGGCTACATCTGTGGTAGAAAGAAAATGAAAGGAAGAAATGAGAGGAGGAAAAAATGTATATAAACTCGTCCTGCACACGTTCACCACAACGGGTGCTGCACCGTTCGTTTCGTTGGACCTAAACGTTTAGGACACGATTCACAAATTGGCTCAATTTGTTGCCTCGTGCATGTTCCAGTGTTTCCTTTGAATTACTTACATATAGCCTACATGCTTATCGAAACTCACCTATACTTATGTTTTTATATTTGTCAATAATGTATATGTATGAACACGTTTACACATTTGATTAGAAATTTTAATTTACCTAAGGCTGAATTGCTGATATTCGGTTTGAGGCATATTATAGTGCAGTTTTAATTACAACTTATCATTCTAGATACCCAACTCACAAAACAAAATGAAGTACAGTAATGACATTTCGATCCGACCAGCTGGACCATTATCAATACATGTAAAAAAAAAATTAATAATGATCAACAATGAACCAAAACGTTGTCACTCGCTTTATTTTCAGATTTGTTGGTTGAGTATTCATTTTCAACCACATTATTGTGACTCATTGTGTTTATAGTTTGAATTATAATTTGTGGCTCGTTATTTTTTGTAGTTTACGTTTTAAGATATAACGACCAATCAAAGATTTAGCTCAGTAAATTAGTCTTGATAAAATTGTTATAGTTGAATGTATCAGCAGTATTATACAGCATAATGGGTTAAAGAAATGGACTACAATAGTCTCTTAAGCTAAGCAATTTACATATTCGTTTTGATCATGCACCCATAGTTTTATTATTATTATTATTATTTTCTACTACAGACGTGGCCACACATTTACAATGCTAATCAGCATATATACATTTTCGTCTGTCCTCCATGGACAGAGCGAGAGATCTGTTAAACATATAGTCCAGGGATTTATGGAACAATCAACCACAGGTGGTTGTAGTGCTTTTACAGTGGGCGGAGGAGGAAAGTTCACCTGTTTATGAACTTATGCTACGTATAATGCGTGCACGCATTATATCTACAATAAGCAAACTAGAGATATTTGGCTTATATTTCTGGTAGTACGTATATATATGTGGATATGTGTACGTATATGTATATTCACCTTGTTGCATATACGAGCATATGTGTGTGTATTTGTATACGTATATGTACGTTGGTCAGAATTGCATTTCACCTTTGTAAAAGCACGTTAATGACGCTCTGTAAAAAAAACACCTTGAATAAACTTATGCAGGACAGACGCAAATCTGTGTATTTGTTTGTAAGTTAGATTAGCATTTTAAAAGCACTACAATCACCTGTGGTTGATTGTAGTGCTATTGATTGTTGTTCAATAAATCACTGAATTATATGTTTAACAGATCCCTATCCCCTGTCCATGGAAAACAAGAAAATGTATATATATGCTAGTTAGCATTGTAAATGTGTGGCCACGTTTGTGGAAGAAAATAATATAAAAAAATTGAATTAAATACACATTTCTTGTACATTTGTGATAGCATTATCTCCAAATAATTTCGTTACGTCCCTATGTAATCACAGTGATGTTAGGAATGTCCCTTATAATTACTGTGTCAACTTTAGATACATATATTCGTTTGGGTGTAAGGAGTATGACAAACAATTCCAGAATGAATGCAGTCCCCGTCTGATTGTGGTAAAGCACTCGCCCAGAGCTTCGCGAGCGCTTTGGCCTGGGTTCGTATCTTAGCCGGGGAGGATTGACTGGGCGCCGATCCTTAACTGTAGCCTCTGTTCACTGCGGTTCACCCAGCAGTGAATGGGTACCTGGTTGTTAAACGATTTGGTGGGTCGTATTCCGGTTAAAAATTATGATTAAGGACTTGCCCGAAACGCTGTGTGTGCTAGATGCTTTACAAGAATGCAAGAATTCTTGTTCTTACATTAAAAACTCTTGTTCTTACATCTTACATTTTATAAATAAATAAAAAGGCCCAATTATTAGCTCACAACCCTCACTCACGTGAGGATTGTTGTTGAAGTGCAGTTGTTGTTGTTGTCACAACAACTGCACTTCCGGTAGCGCTGATGAAGTAAAGGGCACCCCGTGTGTAGTTTGGGAGAGGGTACGCTCTATGTTTTACCTGATTTACCTGAAAGCCACTAACCTTAGTGGGCTCGACGAGGATAGGATGCCGGCTGCAATATGTCTGGTTTACGGCATTGTACTTACTAATCATGGGTTTATCTTTATTAATCTTTTTGGGTGGGATGGAGGAAGAAAGTAATTTTGAAAGGGGTGATTTCCCATGAGGCAGTTAAGTGCTGTTGTTGCCTCGCATGGTAAAACGTGGTCCAATCAGAGTTCAACTGCAGTTTGAATAATTCATTTTGAACGATGCTGACCTTCGATAAAAAATGCTTGGAGGGCGTCTGTGCAAGGGTTGTGGTGGGTTTGCTTAAAGTAAAAAAAACTAACTAAACAACAGGCTAAAACTTTATTATATGTGAGAAGATGGTGAACATAATGTTAAGTGTAAGTCGAATTATGTGATATGAGAGTCAAGTACCAGATGTTTGGACTAAGGCTAATGTATTCACTATCTACAGTATCTATAAGAGAGAATAACTGTCCATTTGTCTGCCCAAGGTTGGGGGTCTGACCCTTGGGAAAAGCTTCACAGAACTATGCATGGTGATTTGAGTGTATGGGAAATGTAATTAGGTTATGACCTTATGAGTGTCATAAGGTTATAAGGTGCCTGAGAGTCAACCCCCCCCCCCCCCCCATTGCCCCTCCTTAAGAAGGAACGACTCCTATTCCAAACACCAGTGACACCTATAAAGTCTGAAATGAGGGTTTAGTTGTCAATAGATTTTTAAAGCCATTTCAGCTGTTAATATTATTCCTACTTGCACGCAACGTAACCAAGTTAGGTGAGGTGATGGAGGATAAAACCGTCAGTAGTTTCAAGGCATTATATATGACAGTGCTGGGAAGAAGGGGCACCACAAGCGTGGCTCTCATCCCATAACTACACTTGGGTAATTACATTTTTTTTTAACTATGTTACATTATTCCATCTGGAGAGAGAGGGATGGATGATGTGGTACTCTTTCTGCATGAGGAAGATTTGCTAAAGGTTGCAAATATTTGATAGTGTGTACAAGAGAAGAAAGTTGAAAAACAATGTTGAAAAAAGTAAAATTATGGTGTTAAAAAACAGGAAATGGGGAGGTCATGGATTTTGTTGGAATATAGTGAAAGGAATTTTATTACAAGTTATGATAAACAGAAATAATATTCAAAGGGCGAGACATCACCCATTTGTAAAGTAGTCTTACCAGCATAATCATATACTATATGAAACCCCCTCATCCACTGTTTAATTACCATTGGGCCAAACTATTATAATTAGGCTTGTATCGAGGTCCCCCAAGATTGAACTGTACTGACCTTTCCCAGGATGCAACCCACAACAGTTGCCTAATTCCCAGGTACCTATTTACTGCTATGTAAACAAAGCATTAGGTGAAAGGACTCATGCCCAACCATTTCAAGGCTTCCCTCCACCCCAGGTTTTGAACCCTGGATCCCTGATTGTGAGTCGAGAATGAAGTCAACTGTACTATGGGATCCATGCAATGTTTTGGTGTTTTTACTCTTGGGATACATCTGTTCCCTTTAAGCGGGTAAACATATTGGAAAAAGACTAAACAAAGTACAGTACAGATTGTATATTTATATTTTATATATATATATATATATATATATATATATATATATATATATATATATATATAATGCGAACAAGCCTGAATGGTTCATCAAATGGTTCAAGCCAATATCCAGACATGAAATTTACTGCCTGTAATGCATTTTTCTGGATATCTACCCGTGTATCATATTACAAGTGAAGGTCTGAACATGTCTGAAAACAAAAAAGTAAATCAGTCATATATAACCTCTTTAATTCGACAATGCAAACAATAATTTAATTTTTCTAAGAGCCTTGCATATTCATTGAAATCCAAATAATACTCTTATTTGTTCTGTTTTCCACTAGATACTTTTAATGTTTCAATATATTACTGGCATATATTTCAAAAGTTCCTTGCATTTTTTTATGGTCTCATTTTTCACTGATGCAGGCACTATCCAGTAAATTTTTTCAGTGCCAATGTCTGGCTACCAGTGATTTCATTCCAAGAAAGGATAGAAACTATACTTCCAACACCGATATAGGCTAAGGAAATTAAGCTTGAGTATAGAGAGGTAGAGTGATATAGTGCAAGCACTGGAAATATATTTTTTAAATCAGCTGGTGTAGTCCCAGGTTAGGTAAGTATATATGTGGTATAGGAATAGTGCTGTACTGAGAAAGGGTTAGCCTAGGCCTATGAGGAATGTAGTATGAGCAAAAGGAGTGATAAGAGAGAAAAAGAAGGAATAAAGTGTGGTTTGGGTGAAGCACAATACACTTAGGTGATACTGTATGGACATGTTAGCATGATGCCCGAGAGCAGTGTAACAAAAACGGTGTTCTTTGGTAAAATAAAAGGGATAAGATGGTAAGAGGCAGATGACCAACATAGTCCTATTTCATGTAAGTGGGAGAGCAGGGCAGTATATGAGAGAAGGGTTGAGGGAGAGGTTAAAGAGCTTGAAGGAGTAACAGGTTTGTATAGGGAAACCTGGGGAAATTTGCAGTGTCGAGGCAAAAGATAATAGATATATAGACTTCAACCTATTCTTAAGAGGGATGCATTGTAATAGACCTGTTAGCCAAGGACTACAGCCCATGATCATCATAAAAGAAATACATATATATAATTTTTATACTGTATACCTCAAATCCAACTGAATTTATGCAAACATGCCATGCAAATACTGTAAAAGAATCGAGAATACAGACCTCCCTGTTCAGTAACTAGATTTTTCACATACTAAAGGAACAATAATAGCAATAAATATGTTATTGTTTTAACAACTACAAGTCAAAGGTCGTACTTCACCAGTCAAGACGCCAGAGAAGACGGCAACACGGTCACAAGTCATGTGGTTCCCAGAGGCGTCGCCCAGACTGGTCGTTTCCCAGTAAATTATTTACAATGCAAAAATTATATACTACATTAACTAACTGTTATTGTTCACAAATTATAATTCTAAAAAGGGTACACATCGCATTATCTACTTAAAGGAATGCTATAGAACATGCCTGACACCATTATGGTTTGGGGAATATATGTATATATTATTATCTCTTCCCCACAGTGCTATCAACTGCCAACAGATACACACACACATATATGAGCCTACATGAACTTCATGCCAGTATATCCCAAGATAACTTTAATTACGAGCAGGAATAAGACAACCAGTGAGCCCGGTGTTTACCTCTGCGAGGACAACACCTTCACTAGCCGACAACCGACATAAACAATGCGTGTCCGGTGTGCCGGGTCGCATCCGAACGGACCGAACCCACTCAATAATGAGGTGATACCCTCACCGCTCGGTGACTGTATCGTAGCTGCCTCGCTCCATCCTTGTTCGATTTTGGATAAAAACCCATGAGACAAATCCAACCACATCGACGACCTCATATTTACTAATAATGTAACACTAACGTTCATTCATCAGAGCATTAGGTTGGGTTTGATCATACAGTATAGTTCTATACACTATACTGTATAGACAGTGGCTACAAAATATGACATTCAACTTTTTATATAGTTAATTACATTTTTTTACTAGGTCTACTCTAACATTACAAGAGGTTCATCTGGGTACATAGTTTTTATGTCACTATGTTAGTATTTAGAAGTTAATTTCCTCGCAATAATATTCCTACCCCACTCATTTTTGCAAACTACATTATTAAATTCCATTTACCAAAGAGCATTGTGCTAAAATTATAACTCCTTCATAAATATTAAATTATATATTACAATACACGTGTTAATTTCTAAATCACTGCAAATTATTCAATACATACTTTATCTCATTCACTAGTTTCAAATAAAGTGCGGTACTTAATCTTATTCTTCATTAGATGTAATTTCCTGTACAGTATTGGCGCTGTATTCTAGGATTGGCCTGCTGTTGGCTGTGTTAATTGCCTAACTACTGACCTTGCCCAGATTGTAACCCCATAATACTTGATAAACTCCTGGGTACCTATTTACTGCTAGGTAAGCAGAGACATTAGGTGAAAGGAAATATTATAATTCCAATCCATTTGTCCCCATCAGGGATTCCCAACTGAGTTGAGAACAAACCCAACTGTACTACTGAAACAGTATAGGAAGATGCAATTTACTCGGCCCTCTCTCCTGTCCTATTATGGTGACTTTGACGTTGGGCCATCAAGCTTGTTACACATGGTTTGCACTGCAATTTTTGTATTATTATTATTTATACTGTATGTACAAGAGTTCTTACATTCTCGTAAAGCCACTAGCATGCATAGTATTTTGGGCAGGTCCTTTAATCTTAATTTTCCCCTGGATGACCCACCAAATTGTTTAACAACCAGGTACCCATTTACTGCTAGGTGAACAGAGGCTTATAGTTAAGGATTGGCGCCTAGTCAATCCTCCCTGGCCAGGATACCAACCCAGGCCAATTCTCTCACGAAGCGCAGGGCGAGTGTTTTACCACTGTTCCACGGAGACTGCCGAGGCAGTCTCAATTTGATTAACCTCTGATGATTACCTATTCTCCTTAATTATTTTCTATAGTACAGTATTTTCAGTGAGAAACATGTTGATATTCTACTCTTTAATTTTAGGCTTTCAGCCTATCTTTTTATTTTTTAAGGGCATGGGGTGCATGGTTTGTAGAGATATGGATCAGGTGTAGATGTTGTAATATGGGTGGTGATAAGTGTCCTTGTTGGTGGATGGGTGTTTATAATTAGACAGAAATGTTGCTATGGTCATATGGTGGCCAGACATGCATACTGTTGATGGTTGAGGAATTAATAAAGGTATGGACATAAGTGTTTTGTGTGGGTGGAGGAGAAATATTCTAGAGTACCTCAAGAGTGAAAGATAGCAGGGCAATCATAGGTGTCAAGAGTTGAGGGTGAGTTACGACAGGAATTAAGGATGTTACCAGGCATTTGGAGAGTTTAGTACTCTCAATATGGGAAATAGTTTACAGTACTTCTCAACTGGTGGTCAAATACATTTTATTACAAAAGTATATATATATATATATTTTCAAATTGTACAAACATTAATGGTTAGAAAGCAAGTTATAATCACTGTATATTTATTACAGACTATAAATACAAAATGGATAAAAAACAAACATTTATCAGTTGCATATTAAAGTACAGTACATATATCAAATGTATAAAGAGGCCATAGATATACAGTACTCAGTTTTCCTGCACACCAATTAATGAAAAAATAGTTCTGGTACAGGTGTCCACAGCATAATAAATATAAATACGAGAAAAAATTTAATCATTAATTTATTTGGAGTACAATACAACATTGACAAAATTAAAAATAAGAAATGAACAAATTGAGAAACATGTGGTTTTAGAATAAATTATAGTAAGGTATGAAGATGTCACAAAGATGTGGAGAGAAAAAGTGCAAAATTAGCTATATTGAAAGCATACCGATATAGCTTGAGCATGTTGAACGATTGGATGGTAGTAATCTGATGAAAAGTGTATTTAAGGCAAGTTGAAGGTAGGAAGAGGAGAGGAATACCAGGAAGATGATCAGCAGACATGGTATGCACATGATGAAGCATGGATCAAGTGTTAACATTACATAGGATATCTTAAATGAATAAAATTGGCTGGGTGGAAGCAGTTTGTCAAAAGTGTATGAATTTATTTGTATTGTACATGACAACTTGTCAGCAGCACTGTACACCTGCCTAGTGAAGTTGTGGGGTACTGCTGTTGACAATTATTGGATTGAATTGCTTACTTATCAGTATCTTACTATTAAGTGCTTACTATTAGAGTAGCATGTGAACTTACTGTATGATAGGAATAAAAGCAGCCAGTAAATTTGTTGCTGATGTGAGACTATTGAAAGTGAATGTAAATAAAATAGTGAAAAACAATGTGACACTAAAGTTTGGGTAAATATAGGAGCATTGAAGGCTTATTGTTGAATTTAAATATCTCGTTTGTGTGATTGACAAAGAAACTGACAGTAGAATGAATAAGGATTAGCTAATAAGGAAGAACTGACAGGAAGATGAATACAGGGCTGCCTATAGGAATGGCAAAATTGAGCAGTTGGGAGGGACAATTCAAGGAGTGCAGGTTGGATTTAAAATAAAGTATGGAATGATATTGCACTGAAAAAAGCACTAAGATGGTATTACCAGGTAGTAGTATATAAAGCAAGCTAATTTAAGGGGAGATCTAGTATCAAAAGAATTGAGACAGAACACAAAACAATGGGTATAAATTGGATAAGTTTAGATTTAGGAAAGACTTGGGTAAATATTGGTTCGGTAACAGGGTTGTTGATTTGTGGAACCAATTACCGCGTAACGTGGTGGAGGTGGGGTCCCTCGATTGTTTCAAAAATGGGTTGGACATGTATATGAGTGGGATTGGGTGGTTATAAAAAGGAGCTGCCTCGTATGGGCCAATAGGCCTTCTGCAGTTACCTTTGTTCTTATGTTCTTAAGAAGGCACTAAATTAAGATTATTTATTGAGTAGAAAGAACAAATCACAAGAAATTTTAGCAGGCTACATATGTTTGACAGTATGAATCCTTTATATTTCACTATAAAGTAGCAGAAACAGCTGGGAATTATGTTTGCTATGTGTATGGTGATACTAGTTCTCTGATTATCAGTGAGAATGGATGGATTCAGTTTAAATTTTCTATAACCATCTCTTTCCATACTAATCTCCTATCTGCTTCAAGCAAAAGCCTCCCCACACAAAGAACATGAAATGGGAAATTGATGATAACTACCATCCTTTTACACTATTTCCACTTTGATATCCTGGAAGAATTGCATCACCACACTCCAATACCTTGTCTCCTTCACAGATAAGGTGTTCAGTACAGTACTACTCATAAGTCATCACAGACAAAATCATTCATGAGCTCCCTCGTAGAAAAGATAGTGTACCAAAAAGAAATTGATTAAAATCAGCAACATCATGAACATACAGCGCAGGACAGTAATTGCTAAACCATAAGCAATACAATTGAACTATTACTTTGCACTTTCACTAATATATCATTCTTCTTGTTTATTTTTTCCCTTTTTCTTCTTCCTGGCGGCCTCTTCGTCAATTGGGGCTGGATACTTGAAAGGAATAACTTCCTTGAAATCTGAGAAAGATCAACAGAGAATAATCTAGTTGAAACAACATACTTGTAATATTTACCTAACCATCTTTCTTGTCAAACAAAATCAATATTGTGTACTTTTCAGTTTTATAGCATAACTTCCAACTACAGCATTTTTCACATTATAGTTTAAATAGATAATAGTATAAACGTACCATCGGGCATATACTGCTTGATGGCTTGAGGGACAATAATGCCATCTTCAGTTTGGTAGTTCTCCAGCAGTGCACAAATCACTCTCGTTGTGGCACACATCGTAGCATTCAGCATGTGAACATATTCAACCTAGCAAACAAGATGAGACATTTAATTATGGTATAACGAACATTTATTGCAATTTGCAAACTATATATATATATGATATTAAAGGAAATTATAAATATGAATATGTAAAATGTTTCTAATTATGGCATCCTGTTGCTCCCTAATGTAAGCTTCCCTACTTTAGACCAGACTGTCCTTAGCAAGGCAGAAACAACACATGTGCTAGTTCAGGGTACTTTTCAAACTATCTCTGAAAGGTCAAAACAAGATGACAAAAGGCAGCTCCTATCTGGCCTAATATCTACAGCAACACTGAGAAATAATTCACAAATGAATGATATCCTTTTATTTAGAGGGAATTGCCCATCTAGCAAACATAATAAGCTCTGATTAAGTATTCATTTATCACTAGACACTCGAACTTTTTCAGAAATAACTATGTATGTGATTATTAGAAAATATAACTTGCCTCAATATATCAACGTCTAGATAAAAGCACTCAAACTGAATTTCCACATAATGAATAACCAAAAATAGTACAAATACTGTTCAGGTAAGTTAACTTACAGCTGTATTCATCTTCTTGGTTGCTCCATAGCGAACCTTAAGTCTCCTGGATTGATAATCAAGACAGTTGGAACACGAGACCAGTTCCCGATATGCCCCTGAAGAAGTTATCACATTAGTAAAATTTTACATATATATTTTGCTTTTATGTGCATTTATGTGAAGTAAAGCACACGACCTAGGAACATGATCTAACATCTAAGCACATGATCTAGGAAGTAGCAAAAATACTTCTGTGGATATTTTTTTAGGGTGTTTTAATACTAGTTTCCTGTGATGTTCCTTAGTGAGGATTGCACATGTATTAATTTCAATTTAGTTTTAACTTAATTGTGATAGTGGTCACTTAAATACCTGGGCTCTGAAATTGCTGATATGAATTCTTATTATAAATTAAAAATTTTACTGCTATTTTAATACTACTGTACAGTGTTTTACCAATGTATCACTTAAACCGTAAGCCAAATACTTTATAATCTGTCTAAAAATATAAGTGACAAACTGCTGTACACCTGTTCAGTCCAGCCAGAATTGTAATGATTCATACAAGTTATTACAAATAAAGTCCCCATGTCTAATCAAGTCTAGTAATGGTGTTGGTTCTATGGCACTGCAACTGTATGTAGTGTACAAGATACAGCAAACAAATGTAATTTCTTATCAGATACTGTATCCTATTCTTTTTTATTTGCTCTTGCAATTCTTCCAGGCTGATGCCTCCTCACCCCATGAGACTTGGAAATGGGGATGCGATGATGACGTGGTATTTACTTTGTTATCTTTATATCACTTTTCTTACAATATCTTTCCATTGTTTCAGGGTAAATGACAGTACTGAAGAAGTTTTAGATGATTTCAGCTTATATAAACTCACCTGATCCAGGGAAGTAAGCTTCAAGATCAAGTTTTTTAGCGGCAGCATTGTTGAGTTCCCCAGATACTATGTTGACAATTCGATAAGGCAGACCCAATTGTTGACATAATGCCTCTGCATTTGTGATCATTTCTTCCATCATGATCCAGGAAGCATTGTCATGAGGAGATGTAAGACAAAACTGTTCTACCTGAAGCAAAACCAAATTATTGAATTAATAATCTGGTTACATGGTGTATTATATAGTATGAAGCTGGCACATTGCTATAGCAAAGATGTCATAATCTTATGTTTGAATGTCATTTACTTATTTAAAATATATGCCTGCTAACTAATTAAATGAGTGAATGACTGGGACAGTAATGAAATATTTTCCAACAGAATACACCATTTTTCTTTCCCAAGAAGTATTCAGGTACAAAAAACTTCTTTATTGGCCTAAATACAATGTAATCACAATAATGTAATATATCTATGAGATGTATCAATACAACAGACTACTACAAAGTCTAGGGAATTAAATTTATGAACCTAAAAATAGACATCTATAATCAACAATAGCTAGACATTTACAGTTTATTAAACCATGCCTATGTTTATTGGGATAGAAGCATACAAAGTTTCGAAGACTAAATTTCCAGCTTGGCTGCATCAACTGTTGCAACTTTCAAGCATATTCTGAAAACAGGCAGATACTGTACTTACAGATAAGCCAGTTTCCCACATGCAGATGCAGTAATGCTATTCAGTTTAAGGCCTAATACATCTACCTAAGGCAGTCCTCCCAAAAATTTAAGTTATCCATACTAAAATATCTAATTACAATTGGTTAAAAAAAAAACTAAGATGTTATTCCTAATTACATACATCCTTCTTACCTTCTGAAACTGATGTACTCTGAAGATTCCACGAGTGTCACGTCCATGAGATCCAACTTCTTGGCGGAAGCAGTATGACAAACCAGCATACCTAAAATATGGTATCATTACACTTAACAGCTTAATTACTAACAAACTTTACTGCAGTGTCATTTCACCAAAAACAAACTTAATTGTGTTTAAGCTCAATATTCATATCTTCCTATGTTATCCATAACAAGCAAGGCAGATTATGAAGTACTATTAAAACTTGCAAGTTCTTCCGGTACATTATATGTACTTCAGATATTTTATAATCTGTATACTGTATATTAACTATGCCTCCAACTAAAGTTTACTGTGGTCTAAATAGAGCACAATCCATGGAATGATACACATGATGTCCAAACTACACATTAGAAAATGAAGAAAAGACAACATTTCGGTCCAGCCCAGACCCTAATCAAATCTCAAGAATTACCACAGTTATCTAAAGTAAGTGGGTTTACAGATCTAATGAAACATTCTACCTCAGCTTATACTTACACATGCATGGCTTAATATTTGAGACACACATATGACTACTGGCAGGATCAACCAGGTAGCTCAGTAATCCTACTGTTATAGTAGTGTCATCATCTACAATGACACACATTTCAAGTTTTCTGGGAACCTCTTCAGCAACATTACGGCACATTTCAACTTTTAACTATTTTCTCAAATACAAAACTGTACAGTAACATTCTAATAATTTAAAACTACTTTTTCTCTATGTCAGGACTGACTGCAGGAAATCCGATTCAGATAATAGAATAGTCCCAAATACCGTACTGCCTCTGAATGCTATTTTAAATATTTAGGATTTAGATATTTTTATCAAAATTATCTGAAACCCTTTCAGCTTTTTAAGATTTGGGTGTTGGTTAAAAGCCCTTTACTTCAGATATCAACACTGATACATATTCTCTTATTTGTCATAAATCACAAATGGCATTTAATAGTCCACAATTATCCTATCTGAGGATTTGCCAAGGTCATCAGGGGGAATTCAGCAGCAGATTACAGGTTCTCTACATAGAGGGTCTGCAGGAACTGAGGGGAACATAATTTTATAAAATGATCAGTTCCCAAAGAACTCTGGCATTCAGACGTTCAACCTTACATCTTCGCTGAGATTGATACAGTCTAGAGCAAATTTAAAAAATCAAACATTTAGGCCCAATAAGCTGAAGAAAATACAGTATATTCAAAATTTTATTTAGATAAGTTCGTGTACCTTTATACACGACCTACACACAAATTTTGTACAAAGCACTAATACTTTTATATACTTACTTAATTGGCAGCTGGTCTGTAGGTATCCACTCATCACGGTGGAAGGCAGCAATTGGTTGTTCTGACGTGGCAATTAGATATTTCTCATCTACTTGGTCTGAACCTGGAACATCACCCTTACCCAGGACCTAGCATGAAAAAAAATCAACCAATGAATGTAAGGAAACCCTTTTCTGATGGGACCCTCATTAGCATTCCATCCAAGCTCAGACCAACCAAGCCTCAAGGCCTCTAAAGTCTACCTTGCCAACCAGGAAATCGGATCAGAATCTGGCTCTTTCTACAAGTCAAATGAAACTTAGGAATCAGAGATCAACTACCTAAAACCGAAGAAACGCCTGCCAAAGAGCATAACAACAACAAAAGAAACCACTGCTTGAAGTAAATTAGGTACCCACAGATAATGTCAAACAATCATTGTCTAGTTATGATGTGCTTGCACTAATTATGATGTGCTTGAGTACAAGATGGTAACCAAGGTCACCCAGGGTCCCAGTCAGCCCGCAACCCAAGCCGAAATAATCTTGAAAAGCTGCAACTAAACAATGTCAAGCCTGGAGTTGGATGAAAAAATCATAAAAATCTGTCAGAGAACAGAAGCTTCCAAAAACCACCAAAGGATTCAGATAAACCAGCTACTAGGAACATCATGCTCACAGGCAGATGTGCCAAGCACGAGGAAAGCATTTTGGCTGAACACAGAAAACTGACCATAAACATCCGGCTAAGAAAGCATAAACAGACCCGGACAAGATCAATCACCTACACAACCCAAGCACACCCTTGGCAAAAGTGCAAATCTCCAACATGAATAAGGAGCATGTGAAATAAAACATGACCTAACTACTACTACTCATCAACAGGCACAGGGATAGCAACAGTGCTATCCTGAAGTGAGGTGAGTAGAGGAGTCTGTCAACAGAGCAGGAAGCAGTTACCTCTGGTGAGGCAGGAAAAGCACATGCACTTACCTTAGAAAGGAACCGTGCCCCCCACAGTTGGAGCAACATATAAAGCCAGGTAATCCAATATTTTTTTTTTTTTTTTGAGATATATACAAGAGTTGTTACATTCTTGTACAGTCACTAGTACGCATAGTGTTTCAGGTAGATCCCTGGAATACGACCCCCACAAAGAATCGTTTTTACAACCAAGTACACATTTTACTGTTGAGTTAAACAGAGGCTACAGTTAAGGATTTGCGCCCAGTAAATCCTCCCCGGCCAGGATACGAACCTATTACAAAGCGCTCACGGAACGCCAGGCAAGTGTCTTACCACTACACCACGGAGACTGGTGTATATGGATCTGGTAATATATGGATGGCATATTTGAATTAAATTAGAAATAAGAACAAAGCAGTGTCCAGCTTACACAACTAATGTTCCAGGGATAGCTAATACAATTTGGCTTTAGCATGAGTCTAAGGATGGGCCCCAGTCAGAGGTGCCATGCCCCTGAAGATATTAGGGAAGGGGGTGAAGTGAGGCTGACTGGTACCCACGATGACCTGGGCTGCCACCTGGTGGTGGTCAGGCACAGCACAGTTAGGGTGTTTATACTGAAGCGACAATCGTTTGACTTCTTGTCCTAGGATACCTAATTTACTTTCTAGCACTGGTTTATTTTGTTGTTGTTATGCTTTCTGGTATGGTTCACTCTTGGTTTTGGGTTGATCTCTCATTTTTAAGTTCCTCTCACATGGAATGCCAGATTCTGACCGCAGCTTTTGTTAGGCAAGGGTGGGGTCTCAGAGGCCTGGTGCATCTTCCTTGGGTTTGGCTTGGCTTGGCTTAACTCAGGGAGCTACTGAGACCCCTCCCAAATAAAGATATAAAATGATTATTGAAGGTGCTGCAGTTATACATCTACCCTGACTCAAGTAATTTCATGAAATAGGATGATATGCAATGTCAAAATTATGTTTTACAACTACCTATAATTATGTAAACAATAACTCCACACACTAGTTATATATGTAAACAAGCCTAGCAAATTTACTTCATGTGCAGATTAATTTTTATATGAGTAGAACCCAAAAATTTATCACAAATTGAAATAATTAAAATACCAGTTACAGAAGCACAAAAAAATAACAAAAGCTTAAATGGTAAGTAAAAACATTAATGGCATCTTACTTTGTAAAGTTCTTCATCAAATTGAGAGAGCTGTGCTACTTCCTGCATAACTTCTTTGCGCATGAAAAATGGGGTAACCATGGGAATGTAGCCCTTCTTGTTGAGGAGACTTAAGGATAATTCTACTATTGCACGCTCTAGGAACACTGCTGGACCCATCAGGTAGTACCCTCGACCACCTATTAGGAACATATGCTTCAAGATAAAATTTTCAAGAGCTCAAAATGCAATGGAACAAATGAAAATCCAATAAGGGTCGCCCATGAATCCTACAGATTGGGTGACCATTACCATATCCAATACAGCATATAATAGGAATGCATGCACACACACACATACATAAAACTAATATATTTTCAATCACAGGAGATGAAGGAATCTCAAATTTATGATTAAATATAAGTTATAGATTTCCCATCAATAAGACAAGGTATTATAAAATTCATATAGATACCATAAAGAAAAATTTCAAATTAAGAACATTAAATGCACAAGGTATCACCAAAGGTAATAACCACATGTAATTACAGTATGCATACAGATACATTACTGTTAATGTACAGTACGCACAAAAGAACAACAAAGCAAGTGGTGGTGGTTGTGGTCATGGATGCCACCACCATCTACAATTGTACGATAAAGTACAGTACAATAAATGCTAGAAAGTGCTGCAAGGAATACTTGCACCCCTTTATCATACATACAGATAAGCACATAACTTCACATCACTTATACAAACCTGATGTAACAGACCCACGCTTAGAGTCTGATCCTCCAATCATGGAAATGAGATCAACATGTGAATATTTTTTCTTACTTTCTTCTCCAAATGTCCTCACCACTGCATTGTTGTCCTACAATAGAAAAATTTTTCTATTAAAATAATTAAGACAGTCAGCAAGATATTGTTTATATTTATCAATCATTTTCTATTTTTTCACAAAAACATTTACACTTATACAGCCCATGTATGAACATGACCATCTGTCTTAATATGCTGATAAATAAAAATAACTACAGTAAATTTTATGAACATTCTGAACTAATCTGTGATCAATAAACGATAACTAACCTCATCGTTGCTAACAGGAACATCATCATATACAATATTTCCAATTTCTTTGAGGATAGCATCCCTCTCATTCTCAGTCTTCACTAGCTCCTCATTATTCTCAGCCATAGCTTCATCAACAAGTTTTTTCACCTAGGTGAGGGATTATCATTATATACACACTCTAATAATGTACATAGACATATTAATTATATATAATAATATATATATAATATATATATATATATATATATAATATATATAAATTATATTATATATATATATATATATATATATATATATATATATATATATATATATATATATATATATATATATATATATATATATATATATATATATATATATATATATATATATATATATATATATATAGACATGTAAATACTATAAGCATATTAATTATAAAAAAGAAAATGCTGTAGGAGTAAAACTTTTTCTAATTATCGAGATACAGTTGATAGGAGTGCTGTAATCTATTTAAGGAGAATTGTAGTACTGTATACCCATTTACATATGAAGGCTTTCCAAGCAAGGCAAATTATTTTATTCAAGCAGTACAGAGGGATAATGAACTTCGAGGAAACACAGCAAGATCGACTGTGGTGTCAAAAAATGCAGAGGCCAAGGAGAAATTTATTCTGCTTACGAAAAAGGTGAGTAACAGCAAGATTGTCGATAGCTCAACAAATCATGCAAAGGAAGCCATATACTGTACTTTTAAGTTTGATTTGCACATTTTTCCTTTTAAAAAGAACATAGTCCCATGCAAACTGAGACCCACTTGTACTGCTGTGTATCTCTAAGCTTGATACAGCCCTTATAGTATCACCTTCAACTAATTTGACTCAATGTGGTGTTTCTTTGCTTTACTAAAATCTACTGTATATAACATTTATAAAGGTTATATACAGTAGATAAAAATAAAATTTTATGTAATTCTTTTAATTAACCCTTACACAACTTCAACATGTACTAATTGCCATGTGCAATTTTTTCTCCAAATGATTTGGTAACTAATTTTTTGTCATACACACTGATGTAATACAGTATTTTTAAATAGCTGAGCAGCACAAGAGGTAATTATACAGTAATTGAGATATAAATAGTCATACAAATACTGTACTTAATCCTCAGGTAATTGGCTAGTAAAAATGTGTCTGGGTCTGTTCATTCAACTGAGACTATCCAACATATGAATTATTATCAATGCTATTAGGGAACATGTGCATTAAGTTTAGTGAAGTTCTGCTTATTCATTTTCACATCACACAAGACATGATAAAATTATAAGAAACCAAGTCATCTCCAAACCTTATTAATAGGGTTGTACTGCCCAAGTGGAAAATGAAGTTTCATTTTATAAACATGTTATACATTTTGCAAGTTAGCAAAACATTTTAGTTATTCTTAAGTTACTGATAAAAAAAATTTGCAAAAAATATTAGGAATACCTTCTACTGAGGGTTCTCAGAATTTGTTAATACACTGGAATATAGTAACCGACCTCCTTCAGTTGAGAAACTGTAAGTGGTCGAAGAAGATCCATAGTGAGCTCTGTTAACTTTTCCTTAATCTCATCTGGAACTTTTGTATCTGTGCCTTCTGCTTCTTTAGCCTTAAAGAAGAAAATTAAACCATGACAAACAAAATTACAATCTTTAGCTTTCACTGAATAAATCTACAATATTAAGAAATGATCACTTTGCTAGTTAGTTAATGTCCATGCAGTCACAGTTATGATAATGCTTAGCAATCCTTAAACAAAACATTAACAATGTTTTGTTTAAGGATCTGCACTCCCCAAAATATACAACAAAGTGAAGTGGTGGAGGCAGACTACATACACAATTTCAAATGTAGTTATGATAAGAGCCCAATAGGCTCGGGAACTTTTACACCAGTTTACACTTTTACACGGTTGAGAGGCAGGACCAGAGCCGAAATTCAACCCCCACAAGCATAACTTAGCTAGTACAACATCTCCTACCATGCTTATTACAAACTCGGGAAAAAGCCTTAAGGCAAAAGCACAAGTAACATGAACCTAAAACCTGTTCATCTTCATGACAAATTGACAAATGATGACAAATTTACAAAACAAAACCAGTTGCAATTTAGACTAACATTTTTTGGTTAACAGCATACAAACTATTAATACTGTATTTCATATTCTCAGTTCTTAGACATGTCTGAAAGTTTTTAACACGAGGGCAAGCAAGAGTTGTCGTGAGTGACACATCTCAAGATATGAACAGAGTAATGCTATGAATATGGGAACTGTAATAAATAGAATATAATAAGCGCAGGCTGAAGTAATGAGTGAAGGCTGGCGACTTTCCTATTGGTGGTACAGTAGCATATGTTAAAGTCTGCCATTTAGTGTTCTTCGATTTCTTTAAGTTAAAGTAGCAGTTAATAAAATACAGACATGCCTGATTTTGGGGTTCCTGGGTGATATGTCAAGATTCACAGCTGATATAAAGGGAAAACTGGCAATTTTTTAAACTTGACAAATAGTCTGGTAATTACATCTATAAAATTAGACTGTACAATACTGTAATTCAACTTTGAATGGATTAAACACAAAAAAAATTATTAGATTTAAAAAATTAATAAATCTTAAAGAAAATTATAGAAAAGTAACTTGTATCATAAAAGGAGAGTGCAAGTCAATAGTTTGACAAGTCTTTAACATTGAAGTTAGTGTCCTTTTGGGTACATCCTAAATACCAATACAGTAGTTAATTATGAGTATGATAAGTATGAAAATATAGCTACAGGTACTGATGAAAATATATATAAATATGAAAATACATATATGTAAACAAATATAAAAACTTGTTTACAGTACACTGCATTCTTTCATTAACTGGGTATCTGTTGACATCTTTTAACCCATTATGAACACAATCTGATGTACACTGGAAATAAACTGATACTGACAACAAATAGCTACATTCAAAATACATATACTATCCTCAGCATTCTGCAAACCTAGATATACACCTTCATTACCCATCACCAAGGCTTACCAGAGGGACCCTGAAGGGAAGCTGCTGAGGCTCAGGCAGAGCCTTTATTTCCGCAGATGAGAAAGAGGTTATGTGATTGTACCATCGACACACTGACGGGCGAGTGTCAGATAATGGGGACACTGACAGTCTCCCTGCCAACTGCGGATCAGTTTGGCAAGGCATATGCCCATGAACGTAGCTGTACTGAGTCAGATGACTCTCCAAAGCATCCAGGTTGGGTGCCACACACTGTGGTTCTGTCTCTGGTTCGCTCTTTCCCCTCGCTGCCTGGCATGAAACCACAACTAACCTCAGTCCTGATTAACTTTTCATCCTCTCTTTGGTAATCTAAAGTTTTTTAATTAATGCTATAAATCATGTACGTCATCTAAATATTCAGCAAAACAAATGGAAATGTTTGAGAGTACTGTATACAGTAGGGAATTTTGAAAAGGTTTCAAAGGTATCATTCTAAACATTTAGAAAATGTGAAATATTGCTTTAAATTTCTGAATTGTATTGCTTTTCAAGCAGGAAATCAAAATTGTATTAATTCTTTAATATAGTAAATTATTTTGATATTTACTAGTTGTTTCAGAGCAAATAGATAAATACCTACAACTTTATTGCATGTGAGTGAAAAAGTAAGACTAGTAGGCATTTGCAAACAAAATTATATCAAATATTATATCAGTGCATTTTTACACAACATGATAAATAAATTAGAAAGCATTTAGTTAACTATGAAACTAGTACAGTATAATACAAGACTAAGTATCTGTTATTTGTGGAACGAATAAAAATTGGACAAGACTGAGATGATGAGCTAGGTAAAAAAAATTTTTATTGGTTATCAGAGTCAGTTATGCAATTTTCTAAACAGTTTTCTTTACTGCATATGTATGATCAGGTATCAAGTTTGTTCAATTGCTAGTTCTAATCATACACATCAATTACTACAAAAAACAAAAAAAAATCTTTTATTATGTCCCTGAATGGGGGGGAAAGGAATGGTGCCCAACCACTTGGGCTGGATTGTAAAGCAAGTCTCACTTCATGCTGGTCAGCATTCAATCCTCGACCGTCCAAGTGGTTGGGCACCATTCCTTTCCCCGTCCCATCCCAAATCCTTATCCTGACCTCTTCCAAGTGCTATACAGTTGTATTGATTTGGTGCTTTTCTCTGATAATTCTCTCCCTCCTGGGGTGACAGAGATGCATAGTAATGCTGTCATTTAGTTGAGAACAAACACTCAAGCTGAGAGGGTGAGCAGAATACTGATGCCAGCATAATTGGATTGAAGTTAAATCCTTATAGCACACACACACACACACGAGAATAAACCTGGGAACCTTAAATGTGGCATTGCAAGCCCAAAGAAAGTTTCCCTGCATCAAAGAGAGGGCCAGTGAGAGGGAATAATGTATGAAAGTAACCCATCCACCACGGGTTAGAGCACTTGAATGAGAGAAATGTACGAGTGTGTGGTAAGAACCTCCAGAGTAACATCTGCACCACCCCTTGATGCCAGGAAGAAGTAAGGTATTGGGACGAGAGATAAAATTACAAATTTGGTATGCACTATATGCATATAAAAGAATGGCATTCAATGACATTTTTTTTATTGTACATTATCTGGTAAAATACAGCACTAGGTAAAGCTTTAGAAACTGCTGTAATAATACCTACTAAATATAAATGAAGATTTATATACCCATACTGCACATTATATTAATAAAAACAAAAAATATATAGTAAACATGAAAGAAATTAGCAATATTGCAAGAAAGGCACGAGGGAATAAAACATTAATATATCACCAAATGGAAAAATACTGAAAAGTATATGAGAAAAATCGTATGTTCTGCTCACCTTTTTTTTTTCACCAACAGTCTTGGATATAACGTTCCCCATTCTGTTCAGGAGGTCGCCTTTGTGACGTGCTAAAAAGATATGGGAATGTTTAATTGCAGGCATTTATCTACCAACATAACATTTTCTACTTTACACAGGCAATAATGATTACTGAATGAACTACCTGTATGTGGAGGCTGACTCCATACACAGTTTCAAATGTAGATATGATAAGAGCCCAGTAGGCTCAGGAATCTGTACACCAGTTGATTGACAGTTGAGGGGCGGGACCAAAGAGCTAGAGCTCAAACCCCGTAAGCACAAGTAGGTGAGTATAACTAGACAAGTACACAGGCTACCTGTCCCCACCCCCCTCCTGACAAAATGAACTGTAATTAATTTGCTAAAATTTATTAACAATGACAATTTTCACAAGCAGATATCTGTACAAGAACACATGTTAATAATAATAATACTGAAACCTTAACAGATGATGAAATATTTACCTGCTCTCCATTTTGTGTCTAGTTCAATAACAGTATCAACACTTGTCACGTCTTTATATCTTCTCTGCTGCGATTGTCTAACAATATCCGGGTTGCCCCCTTGATCAACACGAAATAACACAATATCCAACATGATTTAGGGCTTCAGTCTTCGCCCAGCTGATGTAACCCCAGCCGCGTCGTCTGAAGTAAACTCTTGGTAATAGATGTAAACCAGACAGCAGTCTTACAGTTACTGTAAGCCTCTAGCATGAACCGGTCAACTGATATAAACGTTTCGCAAGAGAGTTATCCAGCTTCAGTAGATTTTCAGTAGGAGTCGTCCAGCTGAGGCTTACTGGTGGCGGGGGATGTGAGTGTGTGTAAACAGACGAGCGCCGGGGGCTGGTCCACGCGGCCCTCACCCAATCCACGAGTCGTTCTTAACACTCACAACCCTCGCCACGGTACACCAATCCGGATATATTCAGATTCAGATTCAGATTCAGATGTTTATTCAGGTAAGGTATATACATACAAGTGATGTTACATTAATGGATTGATATATAGATAGAGCTAGTACATACAATGCCTAAAGCCACTATTACGCAATGCGTTTCGGGCAAGAAAAACATTAATATCTAGAACTTAATACTAATTGAGCATAAAGAATAAAAGATGTTGAGAACAAATACAAATAAAGATAAAAAAAAAGGGGGAACATGACTGAAAAAGCAGCACAAATACAATAGGTTGACAAACAGTGTTGATTAAAAAAAAAGAAAAAAAAAAGAAAATAACAGACATGGGTTGACAATAGAGGAGTGAGGTAGATTACAGGGAATTTATTAGGTAGTGTTTAGTTTTTATCTTAAACTGGTTGAGAGAGGTACATGGTGGTATATGATACCACCATACCAATTGACATCATATTTATATTGTTAATGCCATTACCCTCCATCTAATTCCTCATGTTGCACGTAAAGGAGCCTTTAAAGCTACCCTTATCCGAGACAGAAAACGAAAAATGCCTTTTCACCAACAGGGGTATGAACCCCATGGAACCGCCTACCCGCTGTTGCCGTAAATGAAAAAAAAATAACTTAAATTTGAATAAAATCCATCTGGAAAAAATCATCAGGGCAAATAATTTGGTGGGGGGGGGGGTCCTTGACAAGCCGCAGGCTTCCTGTCCTCGTCGAGGCCACTCGTCTGTGTATAGGCCCCATGCTAACTTTCACGTCCCCTCATTTTTCCTGAAAATTTCCTCTAACTAGATTTTTTTTATATAAAAATCAGACTTCAAAGAAACTAGGGCAGACAGAAAACCTATCATATTCTTTACCATCTACAGTCCACTGCTCTATCAACAGAGCTATCGAAAGGGTTCACTTACCCCTCACACCTCCATAATAAAGTGTCAATATATACAAAATGTATTAAAAATGATCTACTACTGTACATTTTAACCAAATATCTTCAGTTTGCCAACTGTAGGTAGTAAATGTGCATAACTAACTTTTCCACCACTGCTCACTGGATGGGGAGGTGGTGTGCAGGATAAGCAAATCAAATTATGAAACTATTTCACTGCATATATAAGCTACTTAGCTTTAAAATTGCTTTTCGTCACTTCTTGAACCCATTATTGACATACTGTAATATAAATTAACAGGCTCAGGTACACACCAATGTGATGCTATGCTATTCTGTTCAAGAGGGATTATATATTATAGATCAAGTCAAGCCTTAAGTTCATACAATATCACTATCTTACAAGATGGTAAGTCATATCTGGAATCAAAGAAAAATATGGGATATGTGGCAAGTAATTGTAGGTAATCTCCTATCAATAAGCATTTCAATTGTCAACTCTTACAGTTAAAAAAAAAAAAAAATTCTCAATCTTTAATATTTAATGCCAATTTTATTTCTTGGGCGATTATATATTTCAATGTCCAGCCTTTAACTTGTTACAATCTGTGTGATATCTGGTGGACTTGTACCTCATCAACAGGTTGAGCTTAGTTAACAGTTCTTATGGTTGTTTTTGTCATTCATCTGACTTTTTCCCCCCCTTTTTCCTTTTACTTTATTGTAAGTATTTTTGTATAAACTTAGTGCATGCTGACCTTTGTGAAATTATTTATTCCATGATGCTTCAATGTTGGGCTCTTCTATTACCTCCATTCACAAGATTATTTTTTGTTCATCTTTCACTCCTAGTCTTTTCCAAAGTAGTCATCTGGTTCTTTATTTGGGTTTGTTCTATGAATTGTATTCCATCTCTGGATATAATGGTTACATGTTCAGTATCGGGTGGTCTACTGTCTTCCCTGTATTTGGTGGACCATACCCCTCTCCTGTTGCTAGCACAAGATTATAGGTACTGCTACTGTTTGAGATTTGTCTCATGTTGCAAGAATAAAGGAAGTCCTATACTAGGTCAAGAAATTGCTTTTCCCCTATTTGTGGATTTACCTAATCCATTGTTTTGCGGTTAAAATCGCCTATTATAAAAGCTTGTGCAAGCTTTTGCCTTTGTCACTTGATGCAAGTCTATGACTTCATCTACTGTTATATATACTCCCATATATATATATTTTTTTGGGGGGGGGGCTATGAATTTGCACAATACTGTATATATACACATGTTTGCAACAACATGAAGTTTGTGAAGCATGATTTGACAAAAGTGAGTTGTGATGTTTTTAAGAGGATTGTGCACTGTAAGATAAACAAATTCTTTCCTTAGTATTGTAGCCTGTCTACAAACTCTTAGTGGGCCCTGTTTTCTAAGATTCAGACCAGAGCCTAAAAGCCTCTTTAGAAGAATCAGACAGATGGGCACCGAGAAATAAAATGAACAGCAATATTTATTCTCAAAAAGGCTATAGCAACATGCAGGCAAGTAAAAATGCAGTGACTTAGATGTAGGACACCTATCGAATGAGGGTTAACACTGGCATTTCCTAGAATAGTATAGAGTTGAATGCTATATAAGCTTAGTTTGTTGCCGAATTATAGGCTTATCAAACTAACAAGAGTTAAGATTACTACAGTAGTTTACAGACCAATTGGCCAATATACATTAGGCCTCAACATTTTAGAGGCAAACTAAATTGTGTATTGTATACACACTGAGAAGTGGGGTAAAACTCTCTGGAAATGTCAACCACATGTGCCGACAGAGAAAACAGGGCAAGGTGAAGGTAATGGAGAAAATCGGTTTATATTTTTGTGTGGAAATAATTATAGCAGATGAAATGCCGACTTTTCCCTTTATTTTATTCAATGGGATTTTTTATTGACTACATTCTATACACAATCTTATGTTTTCTCCATTGATTAGAAGTGACACGATTCAAGTTTATGAGGTATTAATGCTGGTTTAATATGTAACAAACTTTGATGGTGCTACCAAGCTGGCTTGCTCATGTTCATAAATTTTTACATAAAAGTTTCTATACATTCCACACATACTCCATCACAGTTACTCTGGCTTTACCTTACCTCATAATGTAAAGTAATAAGGAAAAAACACTAAGCCATACTGTGCAAATCCCTGCTCTGATGCTTCTGCTGCCATTAGTTATACTACTGACAAGTTGGTTTATTGTGCGGTATGTCTTGTTCACAACCCTTTAAGGACAGTAATAAAAAATTCAAATTTCAGAGTATTTATTATTTCACTTATATTATTAATAATCCTCGTCATGAAAGTGAGAGCTTAGTTATTTCAATTATAATAATAATCCTAGTTATGGAAGTGACAGTTCAGTTATTTCAATTATAATAATAATCCTTGTTACCAAATCAAAGTGACAATTCAGTTTTGAATCAAATTACTGTATGTTAAAGGGTATCTTAGCAATAACCTCAATAAAATTTCTGGCCATGGTGCAAGTCAATATATTGGTCAATTAATGCATTCACCATGTCTGGATTGTCCTGCTGCACCCAATGACTGGCTCCCTCTACAAACTTTACATCGCAAGATTCACACTCTTCTGCCGACCTGCAAATCATATTAAAAATATAATTATGGCATAAACTCTCCTATCTCAATCAGCAATGCAAAATTAAATAAAAATTATGCTACATGTGACAAAACTTAAAGCCTGCCAAGGGCAGATTCCCTCATCCTATTGCTGGATGATGAACATTATAAAATTCCATCTATTGAATGATGAAGTGTTTACGCTTTCTTGCCACTGCATATCTTCAAGTTACTTAATGACTTCCATAAATCCCTTAAACAAATTAATTTATTCTCTATTTTTTATCAATGGAAAAAGACAAAAAATTCAAAGCTAACTTATTCCATTCCACTGCTCCATAATGTATGGTCATTACCATGAATTAGGAAGTATGATGCATTGCATCAATGCCACAGGAAGTTTACAACTATGCAGGGTCAAGGTTCTATAGTTACTGGAGAAAACAAATCCAGCCAGGAATAATGTATGTACCTTTCCATGACTAGTAATCTCTCTCCAGACTGTACTCTCAAGACTACATTAACACCTAGATATAACAGCCAAGGTGGTGAGGAATGAAGAGAAAAATAATTTAAAACATTTAAATCTATAGTATTAAAAATCAATTACTAGGTACATAGACTTTTTCCAATCTCATACCCCTTTGAACATTTAAGAGATTTTTTACTCCAGGTGCTGATGCAGTAAGGGATGAGGGTTCTTTCTCCTCCTGTGTAACCAAAGAAGTTAAGGTTCAAGTGGAGGGGAAGTTCTGAGAAATTGATTTTCACTTGGAGAGACTGTAGGGAATGTTTGAGCCAATATGAGGACCAATTTTCTCAATTCCTCAAGATGTTGCCCACCAAGGTCCTTTTGAGAAGACAAATTGTGTCTTCCCAGCTTACTTCCGAGGGAAGTGCATCTTTGACCTGTGGGCGAGGAACTTCCGAGGCGAGGATGTCCTCACAACCTCCCTCATTTACTCACTGCACTTTACTTTCCTTCCTTCATATTTCCCCTATCCTGACATTAAAACCGAGTGGTAGACACCAAAGTAGGGTTATACTAGGAGTAATACTGTGCAGTGTACTGTATTTTTCTGTAACTTCAAAAACAACTCTTAAATAAAAAAAAACTGCACTACATGGGTTTCCAATTAAAAATATCAATGCAGAGCAAGGGTTAACTTTTTCAGATGCTAACCCCTTTTCTTTATCACCTCTTTGTCTGTACATCAATTTGGTTCCAATCTGTGCTTACCTCTTGGAAGCTATGAGAAGTTAGATTAGCCCTTTATGGAAATGCCTCCTAGCCTTTTATTGATTTATACATCATGATTTAGCCATGATTTACATCATTAACTGATAATTCATTGCATCAAGGGGGGGAGGGGGATAGGCAGCTAATGTATGTATACATAGGAGGCTTATATCAAGGTCAAACTACTGACCCTCCACAGGATGCAACCCCACAGCAAGCAAACTTCTGGGTATCTATTTATTGTTAGGTGAATAGGGCCATTAGATATAAAATGCACCCATTTCTGTCCTGCCCAGGATTCGAACCCAGATTTTCCAATTGCGAGTCGTGAATGAACCTAACTACTACTGGGATCCTGGTGTTGGTCTTTGTCCACTGTCATCCAATGGCTAACATGTCTGTTTTATTCACCTTTATATCAAGTACCTCTTATTCTCCCATTTATTATAACAAGCTCTCAGAGTTCTGCTTATTTGCACTTTTATCATTCTTCTATGTATACCTAATTTAGATTGTGTCAAGAACCCAACCTCAGTATAAAATGACTCTCCCCCAATACAGTATACATTTTTTAAGTCGCCTAACACAAAAGACAAATACTTACTTTAATCAAAACTTCATACAAACTCACTCTAACAACTTTCATCTCTTTATGGTCATGCTCCCCACTAGTAGAGGCACAAGCACACTACAGTATGCTACTTCACCAGTACAGTATATAAAATTCTACTTTATAAATCATGGGCCAATAATAACAAAAAATAAAATGCCCTTAAAAAGAAATTGACACTTACAGTTTAGGTATGGATTTGCTCAGAGCTAGGTCTTCAGTGCCCCAGATGATGAGTGTCGGCACTTTAATCTTTGGGTACACCTGATGAAGCTCACCAAATTTGATGTTACGGTAGTAGTTGATGGGAGGGGTGAGGGCTCCTATTGGAGAATTAATAGTGTTCTCAGATCTATAAAACATTGCTACTTTAAAGCTTTAAAGAATAACTAAGTATTCTCTTTCCTTTACTAATTATTTTTCTTTTTAAGGATACAACCTTAAGAAAATGGTTTAAAAATAGATAATTAAAGATCGATCATTTCAAGTGTAGAAAAAACTGCTTTTTTAATTTCATAAATGTTACAAACCCTGTCAAGAAGTAAAAATTTTCATGTCAAACTACACATTAAAACACTAAATATTTAAATTGCTCAATATTTCCAAAGACATACAGAAGGAACAATGAAGTCTACTGGTAATCCCTCTGAGGACATCAAAAGTCTTTCATCACCTGCCCTGCAGCCTCCAGTGTAACTTTGTTGGTTGAATGCATGACATATCTGCCTTCATTACAAATGCTTCCCTTATGATCTGCTTATGGACACAGTTGAGCAGCAGCCACAAATCAGGTGTACCTTTGTACAAGGCAGACACTAGTTTCTGTTGTGTGTCAATCGTGTAGATGTGGTACATTTTTGTTGAAGAACCAAATTAACTCATAATTATCATGCATGGTTTTTATCCCAAAGATTCCAAACTAATTATGAAAACCAATATGAAGATGATAATTTGAGCATGTAAAGTTGTAAAGTATGAATGGCAATATTTATGGCATGTGCCACCAGGTCATGGCACAAAGCTGACGAGGGCATGGGATGAAATACAAAGTTAAAATACTGTAATTATATCATATTTAGAGCTGATATTTTGACTATAGTTTTGTAAGGTATTTAACAAGAGAGAAACAAGGCAATTTGTAAGAATAGGTTTGTCTAAACAGACTAAATTTTAACTTCAATTATTGTAATAAAGTTGCAGTGAGATCTGACCTTTCTGTGAATAGTAGTATTTGTAAGCTTCAATGACATCATCAGGAAAGGCCTCCACATTATTATTGTTTCCACGGAACATCTTCTCTAATACCTTCAGGTCTTGTGCCCTTATCACCAACTCTGGAACCAGAGGTGTTTGAAAAAAGAAGACATACCTGCCGACCAGTAATGAGAGCTTAGAACATAGCAATAATGTACAGTACAATACTGGTCAAAAGTGCGAGTCGTATTGCTCTTGCCCCTCCAACGCAACAAAAACACAAGGAAATTTATATGTAAATAATGTATTATAATTACCTTTTATTATATGGTTGGGTGGCCTTTTCTATTCTTCATGACTTGGAGACATGAAAGAGCCATGGTGTTCAGGTGGAATTTTTGCCCAGGACTGACAGATGGCCTTCTTGAACTTGGATTTGGAGCCAATGTCTTTTCCCCTGCACATCCTCCTTTACCACGTGCCAGAGGTTCTCAATTGCGTTGATATCCGGGGTGTTACCTGGGCAATCCATTATTAAGGGTACCATGCAATTAAGCCACATGGTGACAGATTTAGTGGTGTGAGCAGGAACACCATCCTAATTAAACATTGGCATGTGCAAGCTCGAAAAAATCCAGAAAATATACACAAAGTAGCTCCAGGTAAACAGCTTGATTTACTCAGCTTTAAGAAGCACAGCAAGCTTGCCAAAACCCCTGCCTGAGAAAAAACCACACCATAAGAAAACAAAATGACGATGTCTGCATGGTTCCCTTCATTAAGGATTAGCCAGGTAACTTAGCACTTTTGCTACCCCGATGTCTCCTAGCAGTGAAGAAGAGAAAAGGCTATCAAGTATTAAAAAGGTAATTATAATACATTATTTACTATAAATTTCCTTGTGAATTGTTTGTTGCACAGGAGGGGCGAGATCAGGATGGCACATACTTTTCTTGACTACTACTGTACCTTCAGGCAATTAGCATGTACATCCCATACAAGCCACATATCCTGCCACATGACCGGAACATGCATGCTGCCAGCCAGCACCACACAAGCAACACATGCACACTGCCAGCCAGCGCCACACGCAGCCAGCCAGCGCCACACATGCAGCACGCTGCCAGACGGCGCCACACACGCAGCATGCTGCCAGCCGGCGCCACACGAGCAGCACGCTGCCAGCCAGCACCACACGAGCAGCACGCTGCCAGCCAGCACCACACAAGCAGCACGCTGCCAGCCAGCACCACACAAGCAGCACGCTGCCAACGAGCACCACACAAGCAGCACGCTGCCAACCGACACCACACGCAACACATGCACACTGCCAGTCAGCACTACTCGGCCCCTGTCATTCAACCAGCACACAAGCAGCCAGCCAGTGCCACTAGACCAGTACTACTCACCAAGACATAAAAATCTGCTTGAATGACTGCCTCAAGCACTTGGTGAAGGCAGTAGGGTGGGGTCCATTGAGGGATATGTGGGAAGAAAACAATTCCGGGTAGAGGGAGACTAGTCGCCACGCCAGAACTGCTCCCCAGTCATGGGCAACCAACGTACATTTATCTTTGCCTGTGTATAAATAATTCTATATATATTTCAATATATTTAAAGTATATCATCTGTGGATGATATCTCTATTTATATAAATATATTTATATATCTGTGGATGATATAAATAAGGTAAGAATGGCAAGGCAAGGGGAACTACATATTCCTGGACTCCCTGGAGACTGACACTGTGCCCAACAGGTAGCCACTTTACAATCATACTGGGTTATCTGGAAGGATATTCTTTGGAATTTGATACAGTACTTAGAAGGCAGTCTTAGATTATGTTAATGCCACAATGGAGCAATGAAGACAGCTGTGACATGATCATAACATACAGGATGGTCAGAAATATTAAGTGTATAAAACAAGCCATGAATTATAATTAAATGACCCATGGGGGGGTTAGGAAGGCATTGCATTAATTGATTACTGTAATTATAAAGACGTGGGGGGTCCAGTAGGATTTTATTTCCACAAACATTTTGGTAAATATAAAATGAGTATGGCTGCAGAAAGAACTAACCTAAAGCAATGACAAAGTGGCGGAGGTCCTGAACCAGGAGGTCCGTATTGTACTGTGAGGTTTTTGAGGGCTTGTCCGAGTTTCCATAGCCACGCATGTCCACAGCCACCACCCTGCAGCACCAGAGTATCAAACTATCATGCTGTTTCTGGTGCTCTAGATCTGACATGAACTTTTATTGAAAAATACATCAATGATTGTGGTGAATTTGGAATGAAGCCTGGAAAAGTGCCACTACTGTACGATTGTGTCATTACTGTATACAAAAATGAGGCACACAAAGTACTGGACTTATCAATTATTTGTTATAGGCAAAATGAATTGATAATAGCAATTAGAAATACATAAATTAAGCCCTAAAGTAATAAAAAGTTAATTTAGATGCGAATGATTGGATAACTTGGATAATATAGCGTTATGGACCAAGCATTGCAACATGGAAGTCATTCAGTAGTTTCATACTGAAAAAGTAGCAATAGTATTATATTTGAGATATCTATTTGATAGGGGGCCCAAGTAAGAAACACCAAGATGTACTGTACATGATCTTTAAGAATCTGGAGAAGACCTACGAAAAGTAAAGAGGACTGTGGAAGGCCGAGCATGGATGAAATTGAAGAAATATTGATAAATACAGCTAAGCTTCCAGGAAGAAAAGAAAATTTCACATTAGTTGTTGCATGGCAACAACTAATATTCCATTTTGTGACTATTTAGGAGTTAACGTGTGATTTAATTTTTTGTGGTAATGTAATACTATTACAATACTATTGTAATGGTAATACTATTGTATATACTGTATGTACAGTATACAGATAGATGAGGTCAGGAAACAACATTAGACAGATGTAAAAACTGTAATTTGACTGGAATAAATATAATTAGTGTTTTAATCTTAATTTCTACATTACATTATTTACAAATAAACAAATTTGCACCACTTCAACCAACATTGTACTAAATCTTGCTCATATCTTTTCCCAGCTGCACTGTATATAAAGAGTTCATAAGTACTAAAGATTTCTTCTGAAATCTTAATCATGAAACCATGACAAGAGGAATTTTTGTTAATACTACAGTATATAACCTTTATCGGTTTCTGGTAAGTCATTCTATAATTTAGAGCAGATTTACTCGCAGAGGTTTTCCATCATGATAATCATGTCCAGATTAAGTTTTCTTGGATGTATCCAAGGACCACAATCTCTCTAATGGGCTTGAAGGGGACAGGAAGTTAGCAGCTTGTCAAGGTTCTCTCTCCCCCCCCCTTCCATGCTTGGAAAGAGGAAAGAGACTAGTACTGTATACATAAAGCAAGTCAATGGGACTTCTAGAGCTCTTAAATTCATTTTAATTTCTTCAAAACAAAACAGATGCTCTATTTGCACTAATTCATATATCCAATTTTAAGCATCTGCTAGAAGTTTTACCTTATGTTTCTCAGACAAATAAATTAAACCAAAATTACCAAAAATTTGAAAATTAAGATCTGAAAGATTACGTTGTGTGATCCGATGATCTGGATTTCACCTTTTTTTATACCGAAATCTGAATTTCAAAGGAGAATTTAACAATTTGATGCATTGTTTAAAGGTATTAGTTATATAGAGGTCTGGAATTTTTGGGAGAACTGTCTGTATGTATGTATGCGTGTGTATGTATATGTATGTATATATATATATATATTATATATACATATATATAAGTGTGTGTTAGCTCATCTGCTGATTTGTGTTTAGTACTCAAGTCTTTTATCCACAAGAGAAAATGGATCAAAATTTTAATAAACTGTCTGTCCAAAGATATTCTAAATTGTTTAATGTTCCCTTGGCTTTCCTGTATATGGGGTGACCATTTCTATGATTTCATCATCATTCAGGTTATACAATGCAGTATAACTGCTATTTAACTTACCAAAAGTTCTTGGAGAAGTGTTTAAGTTGATGTCGCCATGAGAACCAACATTCAGGGAAGCCATGAACAAAGAGGATGAGTGGATTTTGTGGGTCACCAGCCTCAACATAGTGCAGTTTTATACCCTGCTCCTGAAACACAATGTATAGTGGTGACAAAAACTCTGAATACTGTTGATGTATCAAATATAGTTATGATCCCAAGAGCCCCTAACAAATGAGTTTTAGTATAATTTGTTTTTTATAGGTACCATTCCCATCTTTTGGAGTAGAAGCAGAAAGGTTGCATTGTCAGGTAATAAGTCAAAGAAGATAACTACAACAATCTCTAAGCTTATCATGCACCCCATACTCATCCATTGCACCCCATACTCATCCATTGGGCAACAATTTACAGTATACATTCAAGTGAATGCACGACCTACAGTTAACATCTACTTACAGTGACAAATTTTTGTAAAAGCCTATTGTAATCATAAATTTAACTTGAAGTTTTATATGTGTATGTTCCAGTTTTATATAGAATTTATGGTAGAAGATAATGCAAAGGTGTGTGTTATATACTGTACCATAAAGTCCATGGATGCTGTGTGTATGCCTACATGCTTGCTGGAATGTGCAAATGATCTACCTGCATGCACGCTCCTATGTACTCACCTAGTAGTGCGAGCGGGGGCTGAGCTCTGACTCTTTGGTCAAACCTATACATACATGCATGCATAAATGTTTCATTTTTATGCCATTGCCTACAAATGTGATGTATATACCTTGAATGCCATGTAAGCATTTGTGACATACCTTTAGGTTCATGTAAGTATGTGTACCCCACTGAGGGTCATTGAGGATGGATGGTGGAGTCGGGCGAGCTTTTACCTGGAAAAACTGCTTGCCCACCGTGATTCTGCGCCAAAACAATCCCACAACCACCACTGTTGATATAGCCAGTGACACCATCTGCACCACCACACCAATCAAAAACTGAAATCCAAGAAATGTATTGTTATACAATACTTACGAAGGCAATTATTAAAGAAAATATCTTTCATAACTATGATCATCTAAATAGGTACTTCTGTTCTAATATACTGTATATCACATATAAAAATTGTTCAAAATATAAAGCATACTAACTGGGGGATTAAATGAGTAACCTACAATGTGAGAAGTTCCCCAAGCACAGGACAGAGAGGGTAGTGCAGCAAGCACAGCAGGTCAAGAGAAATATTATAGTACACACAAGGGGGAAGAGGGGGTGGGAAGGGCTTCACAAGTGCTTATGATACCCATCCCATTCTCATAAGTGTACATGGAGAGCGTGTGGGGCCACAAATGCACATGGGAGAGGTGGGATGAAAGGAGGGAGATGCCACAAGTACACACAGGTAAATTTATAAAATCAAAATATTTAGCCACCCAAATACATACTACTACTGTATACCAAAGTTCAAAAGGTATATTGAAACAAAATAGGTGCCACAACCAAAGCATCAAGGTCTCTCGACCAGAGATCCTATGTATACAGTGTTATAGCTAGCTATTATAGCTATATAGGAACTCGCCATAATAAATTGCAACAAATATTACAAGACGAGATGTGAGGCTTCCCTTTCCCAGTAAATTAACACTTGCACTCTCCAATCCTTAGTTATTATACTCTTGTTTTCTCATATTTGGTTCCCTCTGAGTAAACATGACCTTATGCATATATATGTACACTAGTTTCATTAATAAATTATGCATCTAGTGATATCCATTCTGTGAGTGGCAGTGGAACAGGTCACAGATTGAGGAAAGGTATCTACACTTTCATAAGGAATTACTGTTATTATACACCATACCTATAATATGATAATGCATCAGTTTCTCAAAACCCATTTCCATCACTGCACGAGAAGCAAGTCTAGTCTGAATTTACCTGAGGGCCACTAACACTCTAGCGGCCTCGACAAGGACAGGAAGCTGGCATCTTGTCAAAGGTTCTCCCCCATTTGCTCTGATTTTTTTCCCAACTGGATTTTAAAATTTAAGTGTTTTAGCATTTATGCCTTTAGCAGGTAGGCAGTTCCAGGTGTTTATAACCGTGTGGGTTAAAAAGCATCTAGTTTCTGTCTTACATTGTGGCTTGTTGAGCTTGAAATCGTTGCTCCTTTGTATTATATCTGACCTTTTGAAGAAATTGTCTGGATCATCCTCCAACTTCAGTACTGTATTTTAAAAGTTACAATAAGATCCGCACTGTCATGCCTGGTTTGCGGTTTTGTTAATCCTGACGCCCTCAACTCAAGTGTTCCTGGTGTGAGTCAACTTAGTTCAGGAATGATTTTTGTCGCCCGGTGTTGTACTTTCTCCAAAGCAGCTACACCTTTCTTAAGGTTTCCATGCTCGCATCCAAGTGAGGCGGTACCAGAGATTTATAGTTAAAATACAAATACAAATCACTACCTTCTTTTCCTTCTACTAGCATGCACTTGCAAACTCTGAGTCAATTATGGGAATAATCTCTACATTTTCGCGAGTCAAAGAAATTGTTACAATGCTCCAAGTATTTCATGTCATTTAGTCTTCAGGGTATTCACCAATATAGTGTTGAAGAGATGCATGCCAATTCTCATATAAGTATTCACCTAAGAAACAAATAGACCCACAGTATATGTTTCTTACAAGTAGTGTATATTATGATATAGCAAAATTACAGTAAGTTAATAACAACTTACCTGCCCCACAGAGCCCATAATTGGTTGTAAAATGAAAACAAATCAGCAGCAGTCTCCCTCGTGAAGCAGTCGTAATGCACTGTTGTCAAGTTCAGCCCCGAGGCCAACCTTTGCCCTGACATGGGTTGCCATATCTCCTTTACTCATATCAGCACATGTACAGCATATTATATTAGTATATATTTTTTACCAGTAAACAATTTTTACTACAGGTAACTACACTCAAGTGACGATTCACAAACCTTTTAAATTTTTTAATTAAATGTAGTTTTAAAAGATGGGGGAACAAGGGGGGGATTTTTATTTGACAGGCCGCCGGCTTCCTGTCTCCGTCGAGGCTATTTATTATTATTATTATTAACAAGCTTAGGTATACACGGAACTGTGCTGTTATACTATTCTATATGAAGGATTACAGAGTGTAGATGAAAAACTATGGCTATAAACTATGGTTACATATAAGTTTGTAACGGACGAGTATGTTACGTTATTTGGTTAGTTAGATACAGAGTTTATTGGTTTTGATATTTATTTAGTAGTCTTGGTTACATCAGTCGGTCTGTTGACAGTGTCGTAGAAATTGAGACGAAGCCTGGAGCAGAGCAGAGAGTTGAGTGAGGCCGGGTGTATGACTAAGGCTGAGTGTATGACTAACCATCCCCATATCACGGGATGTTGTCATACATAGAATCAGGAGAGAATGAAATGCGAGTCTAATCTATTAACTTGCATTACCTTTCTTTGTTTTCACCATTGTTTTATCCATTATAGCATTCTACCATTTATGCTTGTAATTTCCATACAAATGTGATTCTGAAACTTGCTGTGTATTAATTATATTGTTTATAATGGATGTTACAGTATCTATTTTGTTGTCATCAACTTATGCTGACATGTTAGCATAAGTTGGCACTAACGCACTGAACAGTGGAGGAGTAATTTTCTGTTTCCAAATCAGCTATTCAGGCCCTTGAAAACCCAACGTGCAAAATAGATACTAGGACTGTTGCAACTTCCATTATAAACAACATTATTAATACTCAGAGCAAGAGTTTCAGTCTCATTTGTATGGATACCATCTCACATAGGTCTTGTCCAGTATGATGTCATAGGCATGGCAGCTAAAACTGCATATGATAAACCTGAAATCGAGTTGGATATGGACATTCCAATATCTGCTGAAAAGCCACAAAATTTCAGGAAATCAGGGATGACAGAAGAACAGTTACTTACACTCATAGGCCAGAAAGCACGAGTATAAAGAGCTATGACAAGTTTAGAACCAAGAATTATATGTACGGACAGCATTAAACATCCACTAGACAGTGTGACATTGTAATTACCAGAATTAAGCTAGGATATCGATATCTATGGCAGGTGGCTGCAGGTAATGAATTCCCCCAATGGTGACCATTCCAATTGTAAACTATGTGAACAAGAGCTGGGACATACTCTCCAACACTATACCTGTGATGTCCTGTTATTAGTGCAATCGCACTGATTCCCTTGTTATCAGTGATTTCATATCAAACGGTATGAGCTACCTTGAGCTCTGTAGTTACTTCATACACTCACGAATACTGGAAGATATTCTTGTGCTGTGCCCAGATTTTGCTAGTGGAGGCTAATAGATCAACTTCTCATATCATGTTCTCTCCTGATTCCACGTATGACTAACATCCTGTGAGATGGGGATATTAGATGATCTTACAGCTAGTTTTTTATCTACACTGTGTAATCTTTCATATAGAATAGGGTAGCACCACACACACACACACACACACACACACACACACACACACACACACACACACACACACACACACACACACACACACACACACACACACACACACACACGCACGCACATATATATATATATATATATATATATATATATATATATATATATATATATATATATATATAAACATATATATATACATATACATACATATACATATACACACACACATATATAGACCCGCATTTCATATATATTAATCACGTGTTTATTTTCGTGATATACACACACACACACACACACACATATATATATATATATATATATATATATATATATATATATATATATATATATATATATATATATATATATATATATATATATATATATGTGTGTGTGTGTGTGTATATCACGAAAATAAACACGTGATTAATATATATGAAATGCGGGTCTATATATGTGTGTGTGTATATGTATATGTATATGTATATATATATGTTTATATATATATATATATATATATATATATATATATATATATATATATATATATATATATATATATAATATCTAAGCTTGTTAATTAAAAAAACACTGTTAGCTTATCAAATCTGCCCAATAGTACATGAACTTTTCAACGTGGTGTTAGAGCTAGAATTAAATACTCTCCAACACTATAGGTGATTCTTCTGTTATTAATAACTCCAGACCAAATGGCATGAGATACCTAGAGCTCTATAGCGAACTATGGGGTTCAGCTGTAACCCTTTCAAACGCCGCCCACGGGATGGGTATGGGGTGCATAATAAAGAAAGAAATTGAAATGAAGATGGGAGATGTCAGATAAATTGATAGCGAGTTTTTTTATTTATAATCTGTAATCTTTCTTATAGAATAGAGTAGCAGCACGTTAATGTCTGGGTGTAAGCTAGTGAACAAAAACTTGTGCTGATTGCCACGTTTTATACATTCTTTTAAGATAAAGTTAGTCTCACTATATTTTTGTATTGTATATGTTATATGTTATTAATTTATCTTATTGTTTTTATTCGATAAGCAAGTTAATATTTTATTTACTAGTTATAATTATAATAATATATTAACAATATATTGAAAAGAATGTTCAAGAGCATGTTTCATTCCTACAACTTTATTTATATTTTATAACCTATTTGCTTTAAGGTGAAATTTAAACTAATATATCTTGCTTATCATAACATATATGCAATCAATTTTTGTTAGCTCCTTGTACCCCCTTGCAGGAGGCATATGGTTGCACTTGGACCTCTGCATTCGCATGCTTTGGCGAGTCTCTGGCATCATATTCAATCATACATTGAAACAAATAAATTTAACGTCTCAGTGCCAAACATACCCTAAAAAGCTAATCAGCTTAAAATGTTTAAATACAGTGAATACGTTAAATGATGTCTTTAATTTTTATTTGGGTTTTAATCTATATATTGTAGATTTTTGCAGGTGTTGGGGTGAGGCCGTGAGGGTGACAGAGGAGTGTGTTGTGACGGCAGCCGGCCGGTGTTTACATCAGCCTCGTGGGGAAACCGTCACGTATAACAGCCTGTCATAAGGGCGAGTCCCCAGTGTTTCCTCTAGCACCCAGTCTAAGGTAATACTAACCACTTAACTATCTAGACTGGTAATTAGCAGCCCAATGGCTATAGCAACCTTCTGACAGACTAGAACAGCCAGCTGATGGGTTATAGCAGATTGATGACTGAAGGCTATAACAGCTTGCTGGCTGGCTAAACTATAGCACCCTGTTGCTTAGATATGGCAGCATGGTGATTAATTATATTAACTGAATTTACCTAAGGGTCGCCATATCTGGTAGCTTGGTAATTGGCCATTGTTAACCATTAATTTGGTTATAGAATCCTGTTGACTGGCTATGGCAACCTGGTGACTGGCTAGGCTATGGCAGCCTCGTATCTGTAGCAACTTGATTACAACATCATAGTGGCTATTGTCAGCCCATTATTTTCTTGGGATAACTTCTAGAAAAACATGTAAAACAAAAGTTTTTATGAAAAAATAAGATTCGTGAGTCGACTGCATTTACTTGTCAAGCTATTTCATTGTAAGGTAAAGTAATTGGTCTGCTGTTTTTTTAAATTCACTATTGTAATATAGGAGTTTTTTTCAGATGTCTCGTAAAAAACTGGAAGACCTGTTGTCCATAGAGTCATTAATTCAGAAACAGTGGGATGAGGCAAAAATCTTCGAGGAGGATGCCCCAACAGAAGGAGGATGCAGTGGCAAGGAGACGTTCATGGCAACATTCCCTTACCCTTATATGAATGGCCGCCTCCACTTGGGGCACACATTCTCTCTCAGCAAATGTGAGGTAAATACAGTATCATAGTTTTGTTTTATTTATTACATTTAGCAATAGTATTGGAAGTTACAATTCTCTGTTGGCCAGATACTTGGGTGACCCAATGAGGTGTTGGCTGATGAGTTACTTTTGTTATTGTCTTAAATAGATTAGATAAAGGACACCATGTATGGATAAAAAAACATAGGTCTTGTTCTCAGTTATGCAGTTGGGCTAATAAAACTAAAAAAAAATAAAAGTAAGGTTTGCCATGTGGAATTAATTCTGAGAGAGAATACAACTACTGTATGCCCATAGATGAGCTTTGTGGAAAAAGTAATACAGTAATTGCATGGAGTATGCCAAGTTTTTAAATCTGTCATTTGTACTCTGCCACCAAATGCCTTGGTCAACAGTGGAAAAATTGGGATTACTAAACACAGTGCACTGGATTTGTGATGGTGATAATATTGCTTGACTGAAAAATAACCAAAAATGTGAAAGAATGAAACTTTTTACTACAGGTAAACTTTTATGGTTGCCTGCTCAGCATCAAAATGGAATTGACTCCCAGGTATGCAAACATGCATGAGCTGCAAAAGAAAAAAAAATTGTGAAAAAAAGATAAGATATAAATATACTCGTTCAAAAAATGTAAAGCGCCAATAAGTGAACATCAAATAGGATCTTCCTGTACTAAACTTTAGTACAAATTATCATTACAGAACAAAACGGAGTATCATGCTGTAAACACAGGTCCAGGGGAAACAATCAATATAATCATAGTGTATGTTATGCATGGAGTGTATAAATACAGTACAGTATGAACAGGGAAGGGAAACTAACAGTCTCCAGGTGTGGTCACACAAAGAAATGACAATCTTTTCATCACGGGTAAATATTATTCCAGGATAGGCAGTTCTTCCACTTAAAACTGTGTGATGTCTCACTTAATGAGACTATATTAGGCCATATGAACACCAGTCATACTTGGACAAGACCTCAACGATGCAGATTTAAGAGGATTTTTAGCAAGAGGAAGAAAGTCTTTCTGTAATACTGTACTTTAGACTTCCATTTGAGCTGAACCTTGCTTCCTAGTCATTCTCTAGACTTACTTGGGTGGCACTTTTGCAAACTATGGCTGGAATAAACATCCTGGTCTACCTTGACTACTGGTTCATTTTATCGCTAATATTGGTGTGCTGAGGGCTTCATCATTTAGTCAATTGACCAGAATCCGTGCTCCAGCCGTCACAGCTTTGTGTAGTTGGGCTTGGTTATGAAATACTATACCAGGACTACTTTCATTATTCTTCTAGAGGTCATGATAGGTCCCCTGTAGTCTTGCTACCAGTTCTAAGCAAGAGTGTCCTCCTACATCGGGATCCTGAGACTTCTTGGCAGGCTGAACTTTGCTTCTTTCCTCATCCATTGGTTGAAGATTGCATGGTGACCTTTTCACTTGCCATCAGGAGTCAATTTCTTTGGAGGTTTCTCTTGGTAACTTTTTTTTTTGGCCTCATTAATGCAAAGAACTGTCGTATTTTTCTTCCCAACATAAATAAGTACAAAATATAAATAATTATCTGGATTTGCTTTTTGTTGAAAACCTTTTTTATTCTCATCCTTGAGTTCCTTCTGGAAATATTAATAAATATTTGATAGTGTATGCAGTACAGTATTTTGGTTTCAGTTTGCTGTTGGGTACCAACGCATGAAAGGGAAAAAATGCCTGTTTCCCTTTGGACTCCACTGTACAGGTATGTTTCAAGTGAAACTTGATTTTCATTGTTGATGTCTTGCAACCTTAAACCTACATATTTATACAAGAGTTTAGTGAACTGTTGATTCATAAATTGGATTTTTTTTTTTTTTTTAGTTGTCCCCCCAACACAACCATTTAAACTATTCGTGTATCATCAGGCATGCCAATAAAAGCTAGTGCCGACAAGCTGAAAAGAGAACTTGCTGACTTTGGCTGCCCACCTAGCTTTCCTGAAGACAATGATGATGACAAGCAGGTTACACAGCCTCAGGAGGTAACTCTTAAAGACAAAGCTAAGGGTAAAAAGGTAAGAATTAAGTTATTTTTTTCGATGATTTGGAGAAAAGCCTCTACTAACCATGCCCAATTCAACTCTTACTTGCAGTATTTTATATTATGGTCAACTTGTACTCTAGTCATACTGAATATCCACAGATTTTCAGTCAAGACCTAAGCCTAAATCTAGCCATATTAATAATAATAATAATAATTTATTAGTATTATTATAATTATAATTATTATACTGTATAGTTCTCTAGACAATTTGTTCATTATTATATCTTATACTCTGGTCATATTGTATGTCAGTTTATTGTAGGTATAGTAAGTATATCTAATACCCTTGTCAGCACATTAATGTATTCTGTTTCAAAATTTCATGGGGTAGTGCAAAGAGAAATCAGAAAAAAACACAAAGAAAAATATAATTTTTCATGTGTCCTTCTAACCTCTCCTAACTAGTGTCTAAGTTTTATATATAAAATACCACTTATGTAAAAGATTATTCATGTAATGTATCATTAAATACAGCCAAGCTTATGTTTTAAGTTCATTTATGTTCTTTTTCCAGAGTAAAGTTGCTGCCAAAACTGGAGGCATTAAATACCAGTGGCAGATTATGCAAAGTCTAGGGATTGAAGATGAGGAGATTCAAAAGTTTACTGATGAAGATTACTGGCTGAAGTATTTTCCCCCTCATTGTGTAAAGGATCTGAAAAGAGTAGGACTCCACACAGATTGGAGGAGGTCTTTCATTACAACAGATAGAAACCTCTTTTACGACTCCTTTGTTCGATGGCAGTTCATTCGTCTTAAAGAGAGAGGAAAGATCCAGTTTGGAAAAAGGTAATTCAGTAATACTTTATTTAGTCTTTGCATAGCATGTACAGTAAGAATGAATGTTGTCTTCCCCAACATTAGAGATGTATAGTACTGTATTGGTGTTTGCCTAGTTTTGTATGAATTTAATACTGACCAAGCAGCTTTTAAGTAATATTCCAAAATCTGCTATTCTCATCACCCTAAATTCTCCTTTGAACACAAATTAGTAGCTACTCACTCTGCAAACTGAGTCTCCTTTCATTGATGCAAGGTTTTAATTAATTGCTGAGTTTTCAGTATTGTCACTTTGGAAAGTGTATTGTATTGTATCAATAAAGTGTATTGTCACTTTACAGTATGTACGTGGTATTTTTTTTAAATATTTATTTGTATAAGCTGTGATTATACAATTGTCTAAAAATAAAGAGGAATGTAGCATGTGGAAGAATTATAGAAGCATTAGTTTACTAAATGTAGTGGTCAAAGTATGTAACAAGATAGGTATTAGAAGAGTACAGGAATTTTACTGAGAAATTGAATAGTTATGAACACGGTGGGTTCTGTAATATAAGAGGGTTTGTAGGTCAGATAATTTAATTGAGACAGCTTGTAAAGAAAGCACACTAGAAAGTGTGATTTATAGACTAGGAAAAACCTACGACAAAGTTAATTGAAAACTACTTTCAAGTGTAATAAGCATGTATGTATCCTGAAATGAGAATACTGTACAATATGTTATATAAAATAAGTATGTTCCATGTAACAATTGTACATGTTGTTACTGTTTATTTTGCAGGTATACAATATATTCTCCAAAGGATGGTCAACCATGCATGGATCATGATCGGTCATCGGGAGAAGGTGTAGGTCCACAAGAGTACACGCTTGTCAAGATGAGAGTTCAAGAACTCTCAGGAAAGTTAGCAGCCTTGGCTCCAAAGCCAGTGTTCCTAGTAGCTGCTACTCTGAGACCAGAGACGATGTATGGACAAACCAACTGTTGGCTTGGACCAGACTTGACATACATAGCTGTGGAAACAAATGAGGGCGAAGTTGTTTTGTGTACACGCAGAGCAGCAAGGAATATGGCTTTCCAAGGTATGTTAAGTGTAGAAAATGAGGTGAAGCCAATATTGGAAGTTAAGGGCCTTGAACTAATGGGGACAAAACTTAATGCACCCCTTACCAGTTATAAGACTATCTATACCTTACCCATGCTGACAGTGAAGGAAGAGAAAGGCACAGGAGTTGTAACTTCTGTACCATCTGATGCTCCTGATGATTTTGCAGCACTTGTGGACCTTAAGAATAAACCAGCACTGCGTGAGAAGTATGGCATTACTGAAGAAATGGTAAATGTAGAGCCACTCCCAATTATTGATGTACCAGAGTATGGTTCCCTAAGTGCTCCATCAGTTTGTCAAATGATGGGAATCAAGTCTCAGAATGACCGTGACAAATTGCTTGAAGCAAAGGAAAAAGTTTACCTTCGTGGTTTTTATGACGGTACACTTTTAGTTGGCGAGTTTAAAGGGCAAAAGGTGCAAAATATAAAAAAGGATATACAGGAGATGCTAGTGAAAAAGAAGGAAGCCATGATATATCAAGAGCCTGAGAAGCAGATTATTTCCCGATCAGGGGATGAGTGTGTGGTGGCACTCTGCGATCAATGGTACCTGGACTATGGTGAATCAAAATGGAGAGCCGAAACCCAGAAGAACCTTGATACCCTTGAGACCTATCATGAAGAAGTTCGCCGTAATTTTGAGGCCACTCTTGATTGGTTGAAAGGTCATGCTTGTTCTCGAACTTATGGTCTTGGAACTCGCCTACCTTGGGACGAATCGTGGTTAATAGAATCGCTTTCTGATTCTACAATCTATATGGCTTATTACACTGTCTGTCATATTTTGCATAAAGATGTTTATGGTTTGGTGTATGGCGAGTATGGCATCAGAGCTGAGGAAATGACCCCAGAAGTATGGGACTATGTATTTTACCAAACTAATAATGCACCAGAAACGAGTATCAGGAAGGAAGCTTTAGATAAAATGCGTTGTGAGTTCGGTTACTGGTATCCAGTGGATTTGCGAGCTTCAGGCAAAGATCTGGTACCAAACCATTTAACATATTACTTATACAATCACACTGCAATCTGGCCTACTCAACCTGATAAATGGCCTAAAGGAGTTCGTGCTAATGGTCACCTTCTACTGAATTCTGAAAAAATGTCAAAATCAACCGGCAATTTCATGACCCTTTCTGATGCGCTTGACAACTATGGGGCAGATGGCATGCGCCTTGCACTGGCTAATTCAGGAGACTCTGTAGAGGATGCAAACTTTGAAACTCAATTTGCTGACTCTGGCATACTTCGACTTTGGACATTTGTTGAATTGGCAAAAGAACTTCTGGCAGAGAAAAGTTCCATGCGTACCGGGCCAACTACATCAGTAAATGATAAGATGTTTACATCAGAGATGAATTTAAAAATAAGAGAAACTGAGGACTACTATAAAACGATGATGTTCAAGGAAGCTCTGCGCACTGGATTTTTTGAGTATAGTAATTTGTTTCACCAATATCGGGAACGAGCACAAGTTCAGACTGGTTTACATTGGGATCTTGTACATCGTTACCTCACTACGCAAGTATTGCTGCTGGCTCCCATTTGCCCCCACACATGTGACTACATTTGGCAAAAAATTCTAGGTAACACAAGCTCTATTCTTCATGCAAGTTGGCCAACAGCCGAGGAACCAGATATTGTACTTGTTAAAGCTTCAGAGTATCTTGCAGATGCCTCTCATCGTTTCCGACTACGTCTCAAGGCTCATGCAAGTCCTGGCAAAGCTAAAAAGGGTGAAAATCTTACCCCACCACAACCACCATCACATGGTACCATATGGATTGCAAAGACTTTTCCCAAGTGGCAAAGTATTATTTTAACAACAATGCAAGATTTGTACAAAGCCAACAATAATTGCCTACCAGATAACAAGGAATTATCAAAGTCACTGGGAAGCAACCCATCTCTCAAAAAGTACATGAAGAAAGCTATGCCTTTTGCTCAAGCAGTAAGGGAAAGAATGAACACATTAGGGGAAAATGCCCTTAAAGACACTGTGGACTTTGATGAACGTAGCATTTTGGAAGAGAATATCGACTATCTACGTGGCACTTTAGATCTGGAAGGTCTTCAAATGTGTTGGACAGAGGAATGTGACAATGAACGCACTCAGGAGGAGGTGGTTCCTGGAGAGCCTTACCTGACCCTTTCTACAGCCCCTTCTATTTTCTTATCCTTAATTAATCCTCAACCCCATGTTGGACTTTTTCATTGTCAGCTGCCAATCTACGAGAAAGACACAGTAGCTTCTATGTCGGCTCGTCTGAAGAGACGAGAGCGTTTAGTAAAGCCAACTATGAAAGTAAGTTTTCATCGATACAAAGACCCAATATTTGGACCACGTATAATCCCGAATCTAGCTAATCCTCTTCAAGACACTGAAGAACTGAATGAGGAGATTGTACTAACACTGAAAGATAACAATATACATTTTATATCAAATGGTACTTCAGCATTTGTAGGAACTAGAATTTTGTATATAGTTCAGTAAATATAAAATTAAACAAGTGTTGTTTTCAAAATGCCCACAAATTTGGCCAGGCTTTGACAACAGCCTGCTACTGGGAATGCTATTACAACTACTGTACCAACTATCACCTGACCGTAAGTCAAGAGTTGAAATCTCGGTAGAACTACTGTATTGTATATTAATTATTTCACACATTGTAAACTCAATGGTTTATTTTAATTATTACCAATGACTGATAAATGCTGTGTAGGTTTCAGTGTATACTTGAAAAATGCTTTGGTTGCTGTTCATGGGCCAAACGTATTTAAACACTCCTATTAGTTTTTTGTCCATGAACCTGTTTAGATATTAACAGTTGTATAATTAATATACATGTTCTGTACTGTACCATACATGTCTTAACTAAGTAGAGAATCCCAAAACTAATGGTTGGTTTTCTTTACCTTTCAACATTCATAACAATGTAGTCATCTCAAGGCTTCCAGGATACTTTGCTATAAGCTTAATTGCAAAATTGACAGGAAGACAAAGCTTTGCTCACATCAGCTGCCATCTGCAGTGCCTACTCTGCCCTTTGTGAGAATCTTTTATCAAGTCTCTATAGGTCAAAAAACGACATGGCATCCTCACCCAGGGAAAGAATTGCACCATGTTTATCAAGATTTGTGTATTGGTCCAACTGGTGGCAAGTATCGTATAAGTTTACATCACTACAGGGACCTGCACTAGGTCTGTTATCAAATAAATACCCAAAGCATGGAGAATCGCTTGTTGCTCCCAGCCATCAAATGGATGAATTTATTGTAGAATCAGTATTTAGAGGCCACGCCCTTATTCTTTATTAGGTGTACATTCTTTGTCAAAGTATTTTTGAACCATGGCGTCTGAATTGTGTTCAGTGTATACAGGTTTCTCATTTATGGTACAGCATGTACAGATGCTTTGTTTACTTTAGCTGTGCTAGGGGGTTTCCGTGTCTTACACAATCATTTTGAAGTCTTGTGGCAGTGGCACCAGATTGTTCCATACATTCTCTAACTAGCCAACATAATTATAGGGTGTGAAGGATAACTTAATTGTTAATGGAATAATTGCCAGTAGTGCAAAAAGTCTTATTATACCTCAACACTCACAGGATGAGTTGGGTTCACAACCACCAAATCAATGTCTTCAGTAGGTTGGGATGATGGATCATTTTCTCTAATGAAGTCAGTACCATAGCTCTGCCTTCCTACCATCATTGTATTCACACTAAGTGAGGTCCATTTTTCCAATGTGTAACTGCTGCATATATAAACATTCTTTAGCGTTCTCTAATCAAACGTGTCAGAAAAGCCAATACATTACTGGCAAGTTGAATAGTAAAAAGTAAATATAGCAATTTGCAGCAGAAACCAAATACAGTACAGTACTGCATTTTTTTTTAAGCAAATATTGGATCGTTAACTGTAGTTTTATTTTCTTCAGTTTTTAAAATTTAATTCCCCCTGAATGATTCTAGTTACACTGAAAGGGAGAATAGGGCATTGGGAGAGCAAGAGTGTGGTGGGTGTTTTCAGCAATAGTAATTTGGCTTTATTCAAAGTAATTAAATAATCATAAAGCACCAAGCCTGGAAGACTATTTAGGCACCGTCTGTGGCATAATGGTGTACCATGTCATGGCACAGTGGATTCAGAATTTTGCATTTTTAACTATACTTTCCTGTGGTTCCATTTGTGGCAGTTATTGTAGTAGCTCTGCTTGAAAAGTTTTACAGTATTAGGTCGTGTTTCTTCAACTCGACCATCACTATTTACTCTAATTATGATAGAAGTATGAAGTACATGAAGATAGAAGTATGTCTTCTTCAAGGAGACCAAACAGACAGTTATAGACACTGGTCTCATTAGTTCCCCCAATACTTCTATGTACATGAATAGAGAATCTTGCCGATGTGTGTACCATAGTTATTTTTTAAGTTTTTTCTGGCTTATATGATCACAACTAGCCATTTTTCCAATATTTTCTTTAGTAGACATTTTCTTGAACAATGGGGAAGAAATGAATACAGCAAAAATTTACCATCCTTGCATCTTTTAATAAAAAACCTGCCAACTGCAATTCTAAGGTGATGCAGCTGCAACAATACATTGTTAAATATTATGTAAGCAAGACAATATATATGCTGGTATCTAACTCAGTAACACAGTTTTAGCAATACCATGTATGATTTATCTTTAGAAAAGGCAGTGCTAAGGCTGCATATATATCTCTACATTACAGGTACACACAAGGGTAATTATCACAAATTAGAGTACCCATATTGCAAAATGCAATGTATAATATACTGTACTTCATAAACACAGGTCATGCATTCATTTTTTGTTCCCCCACTATCTCCAAATATCTAGCACCAGTTTATTGAGAGAAATTTTCACCACAAGGATCTTGCAATACTTGATTATGAAAATATATTTGTTATTAAATTACCCCCTATAAAATTAGTAATAGGTTATACCAAATGAGAGTGATTTTGTAGCATCTAGATGGTCTGCAGCTTCAAGGTAATTATCAGAAGAAGTCTTGCGGAACCCCAAAATGCAGAAGGAATTTAACATCTTTTTCCACTTTGGAAGTTTATTCATGTTCAATAAGGCCTCTTGAATCTTGATTTTAATGGCATCTGAAATCCAAAACAAGAAAATGCCATTTAATGTTCATATTATGTTATGCTCCCGAAAAAGTGGAAGCATTTTATATAATTAATAATTCATAGTGTCAGAGGGACATGCAACCGGAGTATACATCCATGTTAAACTTATATCAAGGTCACCCCCCCCCACCCCCAAGGTTGAATTACTTACTCCCCAGGGTACAACCCCACAACAAGCCAACTAACTCCTGGGTACCTATTTACTGCTAAGTGAACAGGTTAATTATGTGATGGGAAATGTACCAAACCGTTTGTCCCCACCACTTTATACAAACGTGATGTTTCCTATACCGTCAATTAAAAAATCAAACATTTAATTTCTTAAACTGATTCCATCTAACCTAATTCATTACTGCTGCTTATTTACTGTTCCCTCTCACAGTCACAATGCCAAATGATTATTTAGTCCCGTCTTCAAATTTACACAAATACTCTTAGTCACATTGAACAAATGTAATGATAGTAACGGTCAAGTCATTATGAACTCGCAAATATTTGATTTATTGACATTTGTACTCTTACATCTTATGATATTTTCATTCTTACTCTACCTGTCCTGTAGAGCAAAAATGCACCTCAAATCATTCATTTCAACAGCTCCAACTAGATTTTTTTATGTTCATGCCACAACTGTAGCATCTTGCATCCAAACATAAGGGTAGGCACTTCCACATTTTCATGTAACTTTTGAATAATATATATATCTGCCTATCTTATTCATCCATATTAGGGTTTCTCTTACATCAGCCACCAACACTACTGATGTTCTTTACTCAACCTCTCCTGCATAAAACCTCACACTGTCAATTACAGACCCCATTGATCACATTGCAATACATCATTTTTAGGACTTCAGCATGTACCCCTATGTATTTTGCACACCAAGTTTTCCCCTCTACCACCCTTACCTGTGTACACATCCAATTACAGCAGCCTTCTTTCATATCATTTGTGCAGAAATTGGGAGTAGATTAACTCAAAGGAAAACTGACTGTGCACCAAGTGCTGAATTGTTATGCAACCAGAGGGCCAATGAGTGGTAGATAGTGTATCTACCACTCATGGTAGATAGTGGCACTACCTACCATGAATGCCACTATCTACCTCTCTAAGATCTAACTCTCGTCCTAAGCACATACTGTACTCAAAGCACTCTGGAGAGTGCGAAAAACTTATCACTTTTTTTTTAACAAGTTTCACAAATACATAAATGTGGGATTAAAACCCATACTTATAGCGTTAAGGGAATAAAGCAAGAATGAAAATATGGAAATTTGTGGTGTCTAGGTCAATAAATCATTAAGGTATGGAGTTTATATACGATAGTGAATTTGAAAGTAAAAGGAGAGGAAAACCAAGATGGATAGGTATAATAAGTATTTTGAAGAGGAAGAGGCTGTTGGTGTTGTAATGATATGGGAGGCAATGTGTGCCATATGGGAAGTTGGGGTAGATGAGCCAAGATTATTTGGTCACAGTGAATGAATGATAAAACAAGAATATGGTACAATGTAGATAATGAGTTGATGGAAGAAAGGATGGAAAAAAAAAAAAAACTTGAATGTGTGAAGAAACTGGTAAAATGTTAACAGTGCATGAGAAGCAGCAAGGAACAAGACCTAGCAGCTTTTAAGAGGTGTTATTGGAAGCGAGATGCTGTTTGGTGTGTAAAATATGGTGAATTGATGGGTTTAATATTTTATTTTATTTGTATCTTTTTCTTATAATGTTCTCTTTATTTTCTCTGTGCTGATACTTCCATATCTCATGAAAATGGGAACTGTGGTAACAATGGAGTATTATGTAATTTAATTGATTTTAGTAAAATACTGTATTCACAAAAAAAGAACCTTTTGGCTTTTTGTGAACTAACATCTAGCATAACTTATTAGCAATAAATTAGAAGAGAATTGAGGGTACTATTGTACGGAGAAATAAAATAGAAAAAAGGAAAGCACAAGACTTTAAAGAATCTGGTCATGTGGACAAGAAAGACTTAGGAATTCTAACTTAAGACAAAATGTAATCATTCTTATCTTGAGGTTATCTTTGAGATGATTTCAGGGCTCAGCGCAGTTCTCGACTAGGCCTCATTTTTGTTACACATCCCTGGAAGCAGCCTATAGCAGCTAGAACTCCCAAGTACCTATTTACTGCAAAGTGAACAGGAGCATCAGGGTGAAAGAAACTCTGCCCAATTGTTTCTGCCGGGAATCGAACTCAGAACCTTAGGACTACGAATCCCCGGGCGCTCAACCATGAAGCCCCCCCCACCCTTCTTAGAGAATGCTGTGAACGAACAAAGCTGGTCTAACCTGGGAGATTTGAGTTGACTAATATGGGGTGAGGTGGAAGTGGACCCCATGTCCCCTGGAGATGTATCTCAGGCGCCTGGTAGTAATGACGATTAAGGTAGTTTGCAAATGACAATGAATCGACAGCTGCTGCTTCTGCTTTTTTTGACACTACCATTTCAATGGAACTCATGTGATTCCCAGACACTGCAAGAAAAATTGTAATGAAACCAGTTGATAAAATTAGCATAAACATACAAAATTATCTAGGAGTAACTGAAATTAAACAAACTTGCCAGCATTCCAAAATATGGATTATACTCTGTTATAGCAATAGTTCACCATACTGTATACCCAAAGTTTTTTCCATTAGTAGTATGACATGCCCAATATTTCACCATGTAAAGTTTTTTTACATAGCCAATCTCATTACCATTTATTTTGCCTGCATTATTCATTACAATCATTTTTTCTTGAACTAGTTCACACTACCTTGTCTTTCCAAAACATCTCATTTAAAATTTCACAATACAAGTGAAGAATATAAAAAATGATGCAGTAGTATTGTTGTACAAGAATTTTTTATAATTCTTTTTATCATAACAATACAGGAAGATTAATTTTACGACTCATTAGGAATGCTCAATAAACTTGAAGTGATGCTAATTAAGAGCCATTAGTTAAGACCAAAAGTACAATAGGTAATGCAAGATATATTGTATTAGTGGAAACTTCTTAATGTGCATAGCAAATGGAAAAATTAATGAACATGAAAGTTTCACCGACCAAATAAATTGATGGAGTATAGTTACTTACAAATTATATTGGCTACAGTTTATGATAATTTATGACAAACAATATTTCTTACCTTGAATGTCAGAAAAGAAAGAGGCATCTTCTCCCATCTGCTTTAGTGTGCGCAACATAAGTGTATTACTGCTCAGAGAACCTTCATGGGCATAGACAAATTTACATCCTCGTAAATCTAAAAATTCTGATATTCTTTCTCTGAAATTATAAGTATTTTTATCCAAATTAGCAAGTACTATTTAGTATATTGTAAAAAATATATCACTAGAGCATATCATATATCATACAATAGTACCTGCTCCTGTAAAAAATGAATACAAAATAGCAGATAATTTAAAAGTAAAAAAGCCAAACAAATATATTCTCCAAACAAACACACTATTTAGTACAGTACATACAATACATACAAATATTAAAATACTGTAATTGAATCTACAGAAGGCCTTCTGGCCCATGGTAAGTTTCCAGTTTATAACCAACTACCCTTTGCAATGGAAAACAAACCCATTTTTCAGTCGTCTTCCTTAAAAAGAAATTCACTTAGTCTTCCACCTCTGCAAATGCAGCCAGCATTATTACGAGTCCAGCAAACTCTTAAATATGTACAGAGAATTGTGGATTATCTTGGTAAGCATATACAGTATACATAAAGTTAGAAAAATTAAAGTACTGTACAAAGAAAAATGTAATTTTAATTCATTAACATGTCAGTGTAAAAACTTTAAATATTTTAAAGATGATGACCAACTAATGTGCTATAGAAAATTTAGCATTTACATTGAAGTGACAACATTTTCTGTCGTCTCGTACTACAAACGCTACATATCTTATTTTAATATTTACCAAAGAATATTTCCCAAATTTGTGCCTTTTTAATATTTCAGTTTCCTTCTACTGTATATGCTTTCTTGTGTATTTTCTTAGGCAATTTCTGAATTACATCCAAATGATAATTCATTTGTGATAAAGCCAACAATGCTGGAAAATAAATTAGATATTCAGCAATAAAAAATTCAATGCTATCTTGAAGTCTAACACGTTAATTAACATTTTCAGGGAAACGCAATTTAAAGTGTTTTCTTATTAATAACGTAACATTTTATACAGGATTTTTTTTTAGAACTAATATATTGGCTCAGAAAATCTCAAAATGTATCTGAAGAATTTTCAGGGAAGGCATTCGTAATAGTCATTCCCTCTATCATTACTAAATAGGAAGAGTTCAGAATAAAAATATCAAATAGTTTAAAATATCTGAGCATACTTCAAGAGTATCTTGGTTGTCTAAAACTATCTAGCGAGACATGACACGTTTCAGACTCACTTTATATCTCTGTGTACAACAATATCTGTGTAGTAGCCAAGAACTTCACCCTTGACTGGATGCTTCGTTACAGCTCCTACTGGAAGTAACTGGAAGTTGTTTGTGCCAGACTTAAAATTTTCAAGGTAAGCAGATGTAGTCACAAAGGCTAGAAAAAACAAAGTCATGCTAAACATTTGTCATATAACAAATAAAACCACGAAATTCACAGTTTTATCAGTACACAAGAAATAGACAAGAATAATGTAGTGGGAGACGAAACATGACACACACACAATGAGCCACTCCTTTTAATATTTCAAACAAAACTAGTGTATAGGCCTAATATTATTATTAGTTTTCAGCAGAGAATGCAAATTTTTATATATGCAAATGCTCCAGTAATCAGTATTTACTGATTTTCTATTGATTACTGGATCCAGTAATCCAGTATGCAGACAATCCATTCACCTCTCGCTCTGCAGATTTGCAAAGCGAGAGCTTAATGTAGATTTAAATTTTTTTTAATTTTTTTAAATCAAAAGTGAATGTGGACAAAAGTAAAGTTATGGTGAAGGAGAGGGTGAATGAAATTCTGTAAAACGTCCAAGTGTTGAAGGACTAGAGTTGGCTTATTTCAAATTAATGGATAGTGGGATTGGCAAGAAGAGGGATTTGTGAAAGAAAAGTCAAGTGTAGGGAGAATTCAGGAAAAAAAGTTGCAAATACTGTACAATGAAATTTCTGAGAATTAGAGATTCTTAGCATAATTAAAATGAGCATCTTTGCCCAAGCTGAAATAATCAGATGTCAGATATGACCAGGAGAGATGTGTGAATGTAGTTACATTAACATATTCCTTAAGGAAAGGGGCAGAGGGTATTGTGTCTCCATTTCTGCAAAAGCAAGAAGCCACAGCAAGAAGTGAACTACAATGCCACAGGAGGATATATTGCATATCTTTTCAAAGATTAGTGTACATGCTGCAGTTAACAAGACTGCACAAGAATTTATTGGTTGGCCAAAGATATAAAAGAATAACCATATTTCAGGGCAATGAACACTCTTAGTGGAGTGGTGGACAAAGAAGTGCTTTATGTGCATCTCACTTGTTACATGGAATGTGCAAGTGATCTTAACACCGATAAAAGAATTAACGCACTCATTCTATTAATGCCAGTGAAAATATTTTCCATTACATTCATGCCCTATAAAGGTCTTTGTTTGGATGCATACACAGTATAAGCACACAAATTATCAGTGATTTATGGAAGTAAATGTTTTATCACCTATTAATGCAGTCCACGACAGTCCATTTAAGACTTCTGTAACAGAAGGCAAGCAATAACTTAAATTAGAATCTTTATTCTTAACAACTGGTACAATTCATGCCAATATCTTATTACTGATTGCCCTTGACATTTACTCTTGTAGCTGTCCCTTGCTTGTTTGAGACTGGTTTTAAAACACACTGTTGGCCTCAGTTTAGTTTAGTTCATTTATTATGCACCCCATACCCATCTTGTGGGCAGTAGTAAAAAGGGTTGGAGAGGCACATAATGAGCTCAGGGGCTGAACCCCACAATTCATTTAGCCAAACAAGTTACAAAATTTAATGCACAACTTTAATCACAACAATGGGCGCGAGACCGACCACAAGTAGTTTCTAAATTATGCAACCGACACGTAGAGAGCTTGTGTCACAATTGATATGTCTGTCCTGCACACCGCCCCTCATCCAGTGGCAGCGGTGGACAGGTTACAATCACTTAGTTACTACGTATAGTTAGCAAACTGGGGCTATTTGGCCAAGATTTCTGGTAGCAGATCATTTTGAATTAAATATTTCCACACCTCTGGAACATTTGTCAGAAAGCCCTTTATGCCCCATTGCCTTGGTTGTCAAGGGTTGAAAACTAACTGCAATAGTACTGAATTTGCAATGAGGGCTATTGCAGTTTAATTGAGTTACCTTTTAACCCGAGGGCCACCATCTAATGGCCTCGATAGGGACAAGAAGCTGGCGGCTTGTCAATTAAGTGGGCTTGACAATTATTCGAGATGATTTTTTTCCAGCAATTTTTTTCAATTTTGAACTGAGTACTGTCTTGGTATTTATGGCTTTGGCAGGAAGGCAATATCCTACATGTGAAAAAAGCATCCCGTGTTTTATGCCCCTACCTTGTAGCTTGTCGAGTTTAAAGTAGACTGAATTAATGTCTTCCAATTTGTTAAGAATTTTAAAGATCTCACCGAGATCAAACCTATCATGTTTGCCTTGTAGTATCCTGTGTTTGAGGCCCTCAAGCTTCCAGCATTCCCAAGCCAGCAGACTGTAAGCCCCCCCCCCCCAACTTTTTATCTCACCAGCCTATTAGATATACAGTACTGTATTTTAAAACTAATGAGTTCAGGCAACAGTTTCAACAGAAAAACTTTTACAATTATCCCAAAAAAGAAATTCCTCGATTTTTTTGCATGATGCAATTTTAAGTTAATTTATTGCCTCTATTGTACAGTATCTCAAACTGGTGGAAATTAGCTTTGGATTATTTTTTTACCTTGATTAGTATAAAAATTAAGAACCGCATACAGTATATCAGCATCAAAGTTCTTGCCTATCATGCTTTGCTTGGCAAATTGTAAATTATGACAAATTCAGGGGGTGGGCAGGGGTAGATATATTTATGTATACATAGGTTAGAGAGTTGGAATAAGCCCTTATTCACACTCCACTTGTGTTCCAGTTAGCAATTAAGATCAGTTTGTAGTAGTGTAGTTGCTAAGGATTCATTAATTAAGTTTAGGGTAGTGCAAAAAGCAAATATTTGTAATATGAAAGGCACATTTGTTGCAATTACAATGACATCCCAAACCAGTATAGAAAAAGTATCAGTAATGGTTATAAAAAATGATAGCAAAATATAAAAAAATTCCACAAAGATTACAATTATTATTTAACACAGCATGCATACTGCATAAATATTGTTTAGTACAATACATATATTTTTCTGCAAGACAATATACTCTACTGTACTAAAGATACACTATACCTAGATCAATGCGCTGGTGATCTCCTCGGCTGATGTCTGGTCCCCGACTACGTGAATTATATAGAAGAGTGGTTTGCAAACAAAGTTCCTTTTCCAAGTATTCGGCTATAAACTCGTAGTATTCAACAGGAATTCCAGGACACATGTATGTTCCAAGGTGTAGAATGTTGGTCTCCATGATTAATCTGCAACAAGAGCTAGTCAATAAAGGAACACACTTCAGCACATACATCCCCAGATCTTACAAATTTGTATACTTGTACTGTTTCTGAATGTTTTTTAATTTTTAACCTTAAAAGTCTTGGCTGGTGCTTGCTCCTACAGGCCTAGTTGAAATGTTTAGAAGTTTGCAATCAAGGTATTAAAAAAAGTAGGTACAGTACAAGCAATAATATTTTAATTGATAACCCAACAAAAGGCCCAAACAAATGGGTGGGAGGGAATGTGACTCAGGGACTTTTAGCAAATAAATTAAAATGGGACATATCCCACAACGATATCCTATATTAAATGATTAAAGATATATATTAAGGATTTTTTGGGGAATATAAACTAAGGAAATTGCCTAACACTGGAGCCAAGTTCAAAATTTGGTGGGCAATTGGAATTGCAGGATGAAGACAACATACACAATAATTTGTCAAGCATGGCAATAGTATTAGGTTTTGATTAGTGTGCAATGGTAGGTCAAGTGTTGCACTTACACAGAGTGCTAGGTATAAGAGTATCAAGTACTGTACAGTTTTCCTTGTAGGGGACAGGAAGCCTGTTAGAATTATCAACATCTCCCTAAGCCACCTACCAATTTTCCCCAAAATGCAACCACACCAGCTGCCCAACTACGGAGTACCTATTTACTACTAGGCGAATAGACATTAGGTGACATAACTCATATGTTTGCCAGGCTGCAGAACTTTCAAAATGAAAGCTGATGTCACTCTTTATGCCAAAATATTTAAGTTTGATTTAGAACAAACTTACAGAACAGGACAGTAGTTGAAATAAGAGGGCAGTGTGAAGGAATTGTATCCAATCACTTGGATAATCAGGTATTGAACTCCAACCCTATAAAAAAAGGGAGCCCATCACACAACTAACCAGTAGTCTGTAGTATATGAATAAAGAATATAATCACTATACTGTTACTGTATTGCAATTTCAGTTCTATTGTCCAACTTTTGCCTATACTACAGAATCTTATATAGTATGGGACCTGTAATACAGTAGTCCATGTTCGACTCACAATTGAGGATCCTGGATCCGACTCCCGGGTAGGGTGGAAATGGGGGAGGATGATCATGTTTCCTTTTACCAGATGCCTCTGTTTACTCAACAGTAAATAGGTACCTGGGAGCTCAGCAACTGTTTTTAATTGTTTGGGGAAAGTTGGTAGTCCACCCTGGGATGAACCTCAATACATAGTCTATCCTCCTAAAGTTTATCAACGTCAAGAAACTGTTGTACTAATATGGCCTATCCTACCGTACCAGAGGACCCAAAACAAAAAATGGGACAGTGTTAATTTCATGAGCCACTTTCTTTTTCTAGTATGATAATTTTTGGCCTTAGTTAAGTATACATCAAAATGTGATGCTCTATTAGGAGGATGGGTTGCAATACAAGTTTAAGTACTGGTACACAAGGAAATCACAATAACATGGTCTATGGGTTAAGGCACTCATCTTGGGTTACCCTGGATGCTGGTTTGATCCCTGTCCTACTCCTTTGATTTTCTACTAAGTACAAGCTTCCTGTTCCCAACAATGAGAATTCTTAATATCCTAATAACAGCACAATATATATTTATAAATTTAATAGAGCCAAATAAGCTCCAGAATCTGTACACCAGTTGACTGACAGTTGAGAGGCGGGTTCAAAGAGCCTAAGCTCAAGCCCTGCAATCACTCCTAGGCGAGTACAGCATCCCATGGGTTTATATCCAACCTCTCCTTCAAGAATTAAATCGTGGATACGGTGGAACAATTGGGCATAATGCCTTCATTGATTGTTCCTGTGCACCCAACAGTATTTGGAGACCTGTATTTAATCAATTAATAACAAGTTTGTTTACGATAACCCTTGGACAAGGGCTTAAGACGCGCTGTGGAAGGAAGGGCAGTCTGCAAACAGACAAGGAAAGATTTCTGTTCCAGTCTCCTCTAAAGTATATACAGAAATAATAAAAACCCACTGTCTCCAGGGCAATCAAAATAAAAAAAAACTTTAGAGTTCATCTTGATAAATGTTCGATCGTAGTGCATGTTTATAATATTTTTCAAACCAAGTGAAGCATGACCTGCAGGAGATGCTGTGATCAAATTACACACAGGTATTGTGGCAAAGCTTGTTTTCTAATTGTTAACATTGTGTATATCATTAGGCTAGGTAAGGTTTGAGTTGAGTTGGGCAAGTTTTAAAATCCATCGGCGAACCATTTTGGGTACAAGTTACCTGTATCCACATGACAATCCTTTCAAGAAATGCCCACGAACTATGCCTGGTATTAACTAGATGGTTTACTACTAAAGTTCTGTTTAAACGTCCTGCCACTGACATGTGACAATTAAATGGCTCAATTACACAACTTTTCAGTTGTTAAAACTCCCGCCAGTAAATAAAAACACGAGCGAGGCCTTTGCTCGCCTGCATAGAGATAAGACGCTTATTCAGGAAAAGGTACATATATTGAAAATGAGTTACAAACATAATGTTGGATTTATAGACAGAGCTAGTACATACAATTCCTGAAGCTATTAATACACACAGCGTTTCCGGCAAGTTTTGGGGACAAAATTAGACTAAAACTTAATACTAAAGGCTCATTTACTCTTTAGTACTGCCCATCCTAACTTAACACGCACACATATACTAACAACGTATTGTTATTTACTAGCCAAACAAAGAACAAGCAGAGTGTCGACCACGTACCAAGTGTCCAAACAGCAGCAAATATAATATAGAACCGCTCCCAGCCGTGCAGAGTACACACTACACTTTACTTATCTGCTCCATCTCTCTCACACGCATTGGCAACTCAACCCCAATGTGTCTCATACTTCTCCTACGCTCTTATTTTATCTTGCAGTGCTTGTATTAATTTAATGTATAGTCAATTAATAGTGGTACTATTTAGGCAATGTTTAAGCGTTTTCATCACTTCAAATACAGATTTAAACGAAAAAAACATGAAAAGTAAATTTCACAGTTTAATAAGCCCATCAGCTGAGGTTCATTTTTGTTTGAGTTTCTCACTATGGCTTAAGCTTCGGCCGATATCACAAGAAAAAATTAATACTCATTCTCTTGAAACATTAAAATAAATGAAAGCTATTTTGCTATTTTATTGTATGCAAAAATAATAAATGCCGCTGAGTGAAAAACCCAGTCTTCAGAGACCGAACTTGGTCCCAATCCGCAACCAATTTCAACTGAACACTAGAAACACACAAATATGGATATTTATAATAATAAACTGATTTATTTATAAAATTAAATCGACATAATTAATTTATTAAACAGCACCATTTCAGTGCAAGTATTACAAATAATTAATTAACTGTTCTATTCCAAACTGTTCAATTACTAACTCAATATTAAATTTTAGTCTAAGATTGGTTAGCATTGATGAGATACTCATCAATGCTTACCATGGACAGCCATATCCCCTTTGTAATAACAAGCAAATAAAATTCTCCAAAGATGGTTATACACACTTGCAACCGACTTAGATATTGCAACTGAATTCAATAGCTTCTTTTCACCAATTGGTGCTAACCTTGCCCCCCCAAAATCCCAGAGACCCAGACACATGACTCCTTGATAGATGCCATCAAAATTGCCTCGGTGTGCTTATAGATGTTAATATTTCTAAAGGCATTTAAACTCCTAACAGCTTATGTTCATCCCATACCCCAGGCCAGTTCCCTTGCAAATTTGGGTGAGGCTAGCCCAAAGTGCCTGGCCTCCAACTTCGGACAGATAACCAGACATTCTCTTTTATATGTACAGATTTTGATACCTATTTTACCCACAACTACTCTTATTGATATAATGACTAGATGTGTGTGCCTTATAATTTGGCTAGTCATGACAAATACTGTTTATTATTATTTTTTATTAACAAATAACCTTGGATATACGCAGCAATGTGCTGCCACAATATTCTACATGAAGAATTACAGAGTGAAGATAAAAAAACAGCTATGAAATCATCTAATATCCCTATTTCACAGGATGGTTAGTCATACATGGAATCAGGAGAGGACATGGAATGCGAGTCTAATCTACTAGCCTACACTAGCAAAATCTGAGCGAAATAATATCCTCCAATATTCATGAATGTATGAAGTAGTTATAGAGCTCAAAGTATCTCATGTCTGAAATTATTTATAACAGGGCAATCATAGATATAGTGTTGGAGAGAATGTCCTAGCTCTTGTTTATATAGTGTACAATTGGAATGTTCACAACTGAGAGATTCATTACCTCCAGCCACCTGCTATAGATATCGATATCCTAGCCTAATTCTGCTAATTATAATATTACACAACACATCATAGATCTTTATACGGCTTTATACTTGTGCCCATTAATTGAGTGCCAATGACAGCCTTAGCATAAACTTTTGCTTAATTTACTCGAGGGCAAGTAACACTCAATCGTGGCCTCGGCGAGGACTGGAAGCCGGCGGCTTGTCAAAAGTCCCACCATATGCCCTGATGATATTTCAAACTCAACTTTAGTTGCAAAGTACTATTAATTTAATGACTTATTGAAAATGTAGTTTGACTCAGCAGAGCGTTTGCAGTAAAACAATCGTGATTAAATCGGCTCTCGTTAAAAATAAAACTACCATTATAATTTTAGTCATATATAACAAATAATATGGACTGGCTTCCTCTCGCATATATTTTACCTGGCAACTAGTATCTATATCTGATATCTGATCTGTATCGTTTATTTTAGGCTAAACTTAATATGACATGATCACAATCATTCTGGCTGGGTCACCTTGACGCTGGGGTGATAGCAAGCACTCAAGGACAGAGCGACCTAGTCGTTCACATGTGTGTATTCCCTCTCCGACATCTTCGAAAAATGCAACAGTTTAAATTAATAGATACTCGAGATAGAAAATATTTGATGTATTATGCACCAGAGTGTTGCTGGAGAGGATAAGTTAACAATTAAGTAATTGAGAGGGAGCAGTGCAGGCACTTGTCACGTGAGGCGGGAGGCAAGGGCCGGTCTTGCTGCCTGTGGGTGCCTCCACGCCCTGCTCACGTGCCCAGGATGCTCTCAACATGCTGCTGCTCACCCAACACTGACTTCTCGGGTGTGGGGTCTAGCTCTTTATACCCCGCCCTGAGGTCTAGTTCTACCTGCTGCATTTTATGTTGTAACTTTCCTGACGTTCGATTTCTTTGTCGTATCTGTCCGTGAACTTGTGCCAGAGGTTGGCTTCCATGACTTCTTGCAGTGCATTCCAATTGCTGACCACTTATACATGGTACGAGTATTTCTTTACGTATCTTGGTTCGTTTGCATTTCTAGCTGTTTACTGCTAAGAGAACAGGCTCATTAGGCGAAAGGAAACAACCATCTGTCCTGGCACCTACCCGGAACTCAAACTCGGGGTTAGTTCGATTTCTGTAAGTCGAGAACGAAGCCAATTAACATATTTCTCTGCCCGATGTCAGGAGGGTATCCTGTCCCATAGGATACTTTGAATCTGATCTTCTGTTAGAGCAACTTTATTATTTTGCAATTTGTCGAATTAAAATCTATAGTAGCCTTTTATTGGACATTTTTTTCCAGTGAAAATGCATGAATTTAAAGGGGTATGTTGATTAAGATCATATATATGGGGTCCAGTACCTGAACCTATATATGACTGCAGTTTAAATTGGGCCACTTGTAAACCAGTTAGGATGGATATATATAGAAAGGTCCTTAATAAATTACTAAAGGAAGTAGCCTATGAACCTTTATAAATATTTTTAAACAGACTCCAAAAAGAACAAATTAACGATCTATACACACACAAATTACAATTGCGTAAGTCAATAAATAAATCCACAAGGACCGTGATGAGGGTTCGAAATTAACGACTTTCTTGAGGTGGCGAAGGACGAATGAGTGTCCTTCCTAAAACAAGACGTCTGGCCACCCTAATTTTATGCTGTCATTGATAATACTGCGTGAAGATTAAAAGGTGATGCAGAAATGCTGGCTATTTCAAGGCTAGGATTGTTTACATGACAGCGTAAGATTATCACAGAAGGAAGGGGGGGGGGGGGGGAAATAGCCTAAGTTACTCTATCCCTTTGAGATGTATTTTCTAGTCTCAATAAACATACTTGAACTTGAATCATAGAGGATACTGACTGCGGCAAGGTTAGAATTTTGAACATGGTTGCATATAATTTAATATATTAATAATTTATTGAGTCGAGGTACAGGAAGACCTCCCCCCCCCAAATGTTGAATTACCGCTCCCCCCCTCTCCAAGGATGCAACCCCACAACAAGTTGACTAACTCCTGGGTACATATTTACTGCTAGGTGAACAGGAGCAAGAGTATTAGGAGATAGGAAACTCGCCCAACCATATCTGTTCCGGCCGGGATTCAAACCCAAAAGTCCCTATTATGAGTCGAGAACGAATCCAGCTGTACTACCTGGGTGCCTAACAAATGAACTAAACTAACTACCGTAACCATATATGATACTACAGCATTCGGCTAAACCGAACTATCTCTGTGGTGGATAAGTGTTGGCTAATTTGATTTTGTTAGCTATGTGGCTTGTGAACAAAGCCACATAGTGGATTTGGAACTACACTACACTGTAGTGTAGTGTAGTGTAGTGTAGTGTAGTGTAGTGTAGTGTAGTGTAGTGTAGTGTAGTGTATGTGGCTTGTGTGCTCTACAACTTCCTCGGCAGTGTGGAACGGGAAAGCAAAATAGTGAATAGCCTAATTCCTGCTGCTTAGTAATTTTGAAGGTAATCTAAATCAAAGGGAGCATTCGAATGTGCTTCGCAGGATTGGTAAGTTTGTTTCCTTGAAGGACAGTATGGAAAAGTTACGGGTAAATATAATAGTGAAATTTTGTTGCCAAACTCTTAACTGGGGGGTTTCCATACCCCCTTTCGGTTTATGGTACCCAAATAATTGAGGTATGAGACTATCTCCGAATATTTTAAACAAGTGATGTTAGATTATAATTAGCTATCACTGTTATCCATGTTTTGATTGCACAAAAACAACAATAAAAATGTCATTAGTAGATTCCGTGTGTATTTGTGATTTGCCGTTTTTATGTAAATAAATACGACAAAATCCTTATCATTTAATTTAGGCTGATCTGTGTCAAGATATTCATATGCAAAGTAAAAATTAAGCTGTTGACATTTTCTGAAGTCATATTTGTACCTATGATAGGACTGGTAGTGATAGTGTGCATGTTAGTAGAGATGATATGAACAGAAACTGCAATAAAATTTCTGGTGCGGTGCTCATGGGTTCTATTACACCTACCAAGGAAAAGTTTAAGATCAAGATTAGCATTTAGGAACAATATCTTGTACATGCAAATAGCACATAAGAATGTGTGGAGTGAGTGTATGTTTAGCACGATAAAGGACTTAAACAGGGGGTTGCGTGTTTTCTGGAGACAGAGTTTGTTATAGTTCTGTAAGTAGACTTTTCCAGAGTGATGATGGGCTTGAGGTAATTTGGAGTTATCTTGAGATGATTTCGGGGCTTTAGTGTCCCCGCGGCCCGGTCCTCGACCAGGCCTCCACCCCCAGGAAGCAGCCCGTGACAGCTAACCCAGGTACCTATTTTACTGCTAGGTAACAGGGGCATAGGGTGAAAGAAACTCTGCCCATTGTTTCTCGCCGGAGCCCGGGATCAAACCCGGGACCACAGGATCACAAGTACAGCGTGCTGTCTGCTCAGCCGACCGGCTCCCTGTGGTTGAACCCCATGCACAGATACCGTATTAAGATAGGGAAAGATTAGCGCGCAGTATAATGAGAGGAGAGTAGTGTGGGGAACATAATATCTGACTTTAGAAAATATTCCAAACGTTTTTTTTTTGTTTTTTTTGCTATATTGTATGTGGGTGCTGAATTTCAATCTAATATCTATGTATGGGCTAAGGAACTTTCCTTCATTTTTATTGCTAATGTCTATCATTGTCTATCTGAAGTTGAATTTGATTTGATGATTTACTACCAAATACAATGTAGTAGTAAATCTTTTTTATTGTTAGTGTGAGTTTGTTGGTTGACATCCATGAGTGGACTTTTAAAATTCATTATTGACAGTATTATTTAGTGTATGTGTGCGGTAATAACTGTATAAATGCTAGGATTCGTATAGTAATGACTCATTTGTGAAATGCTTCAGGGTGCAAGTTCTACTCTGCTTAGGCTAGGAGGATATAAGTATTGACTAACATTTCTGTCGCCACTGGATGGGCGACTCTGGCGAGAAATTTGTTTGTGCAAAATGCCTGACTAGCAGTTGCGTAGACGGGGCAAGCTGGCGGCCCTCGGGAAAAAATATGACGGGGAAGGAAATGGCCTAACAGCAGGGCCAGCTGCATGGTGGTCCTGACGAGTTATCGGGCAAACTGGTGGTTTTAGCCGCCCTACCAGGAAAGATGGAGCAAGCTGACGGCCCTGGCAAGAAATTTGACGAAAAAATGGCAGCCCTAGCTGGACGGGGCAAAATGCCCGCGACCCTGGTAGGAGAGTTAACGGCAAACTGATGACTCTGGCGGGAAATTTGACTGGGTAAATTGGCGGCCATGGCAGTAGTTGATGGGACAAGCTGGCGGCCATGGCGGGAGAAACGGGGCAAGCTAGTGGCCTTGACAGAATTGCAGGTCAAGCTGGCGGCTCTAAAAGGAGTTGCCGGGGCAAGTTAGTGGCCTTTGACAGAATTGCGGGTCAAGCTGGTGGCTCTAAAAGGAGTTGGCGGGGCAATTAAGCTAATGGCCTTGGCAGTATTGCGGGTCAGGCTGGCTGCTCTAAAAGGAGTTGACGGGGCTAGCTAGTGACCTTGACAGAATTGCGGGTCAGGCTGGCTGCTCTAAGAGGAGTTGACGGGGCAAGCTAGTGGCCTTGACAGAATTGCGGGTCAAGCTGGCGGCTCTAAAAGGAGTTGACGGGGCTAGCTAGTGGCCTTGACAGGTTGCGGGTCAAGCTGGCGGCTCTAAAAGGAGTTGACGGGGCTAGCTAGTGGCCTTGACAGGTTGCGGGTCAAGCTGGCGGCTCTAAAAGGAGTTGACGGGGCAGCTTGCAGCCCTAACGATAAGACGGGGCAAGCTAGAGGCCCTGGCAGGAGAATTTACAGGGACGGAAATATGGCCGCCCAGGCAGGAGAGTTGACGGGGCAAGTAAGTAATTATCAGAGGAAGGCACCAAGCCGGGAAGGCTGTATAGCACCGGTTGACGGAGCAAGCTGGCGGCCGTGACGGGAGAGTGGACAGGGCAAGCTGACGGCGGCCATGGTAGAAGAGCTAACGGCAATCTGGCGGCTCTGATGGAGCAAAATGGCAGCCCTGGCAGGTGTTGACGAGCAGGGGGAAGGGAGCCGGTAGTTAGAAAGTTGACGGGCTGGTTCGAGAGAGGACGGGGCAAGCGGACAGCCCTGGAGGGAGTATCGAAGGGGTAAACTGGTAGCCCTGACGCGAGAGGTGACATGACGGGGCCCCCGGGCTGGGGGGCAGTTGGCGCGGGAAACATGGTCGGTGACGCAAGGCAGAAAAGCGCGAAAATTAGGTACTACTTTGTGTAGACTTGAAAGTGAATACTGCGGTCAATATATTCATAATGATCGAAACAGTCACATATTAAATTTTTAATTTCCCGGTAATTAGGAACAAATATGAGGCGTAAATCTGTACTAAATTCTGCATGTATGTATATTGTTGCACATGATTAACGACATCAATTGACATGCCAAAATGAAACAATGTGCGAGTAAAAATCATATTAAATAATATTTGCATCAATAAGGTTTTAACCCAAAACATTTGTTGTATCAGATTTTGAAATAGATTTATTATAAACATTTTAAAACAGTATATTTGATTGCAACTTCCTAGACTGTATTAATCCGCGAGGCTGCGACGTCTGACCCGGGAACCGCGAATCTCGTCTTCATTCGCCGTCGTGCCTCCGAACGGATCGGTTGTTGCAGGTGAGTCTCTTGCTGCCTATACTTCTTGTTGACTTTCAGTCAATAATATAAGTATATCATCCTATTATATCATTGCTAGTGAGGGCCCCCAGGATAATATTCAGCGGTTTACATATAACATAAGCAAGGTAGCAGTGAACAAAAGTGACCCTTGGTACTGATGGCTTTAGGCTTGAGTCCGTCCGACGGCCAGTTGGACGGACAACCATCAACAGTTGTATATCTCGTTCCGAATTTTTATATATTTGACATTGATCTTTTAATAGTATTCCCCGCTGTGCATCCAGACAAATTTTACTAGTAACTACCTTGTGTTTTTGTGATTTTGCGTTTTTATATAAATAAATACGACAAAATCCTTATCATTTTAGTTATGCTGTTCTGTGTCTAGCTATTCATATGTAAGGTAAAACCAATTATGCTGTTGACATTTCTGAAGTCATATTGGTACCTATGATAGTATTTTTTTTGTTTTGCAGGGATATTCCGGAGCGGGCCCTATGTCTCTGGCTGGCCCACTAAGTGTTGTTTGTACTTGGACGGAGTATGAGTACTTATGACTCGTATAAAGTAAGTAAGATTTTGTCCCATGTGTTTAAACAACTTCTGCTCTGTTGAATCTTGAGTTTAAATCTTATTGGGTTTGTAACTGCTAGCTGGTGGTGGACATGCTAGGAGAGATATGAACAGAAACTGCAATAGATTATGGTGTATATTTGAGATTCGATCATGAATGAAATTGAGTTGACAGATGATAACAGAAATGCTAAGGTACTGAAGCTAATGATTATGGATATGTTAAGATATAGACGGTAATAATTGAACAAATGCTAGGATTCTTATAGTAATGACTTTATTATTTGTGAAATGCTTCAAGGTGCAAGTTCTCCTCTGCTTAGGCTAGGAAGATGTAAGTATTGACTTATAACATTTCTATCGCCACTGGATGGGCGGCTCTGGCGAGAGATTTGTGGGTGCAAAATGCCTGACTAGCAATAGAGTAGACGGGGCAAGCTGGCGGTCATGGCGGGAGACGGGGCAAGCTGGCGGTCATGGCGGGAGACGGGGCAAGCTGGCGGTCATGGCGGGAGACGGGGCAAGCTGGCGGTCATGGCGGGAGACGGGGCAAGCGGGCGGTCATGGCGGGAGACGGGGCAAGCTGGCGGTCATGGCGGGAGACGGGGCAAGCTGGCGGTCATGGCGGGAGACGGGGCAAGCTGGCGGTCATGGCGGGAGACGGGGCAAGCGGGCGGTCATGGCGGGAGACGGGGCAAGCTGGCGGTCATGGCGGGAGACGGGGCAAGCTGGCGGTCATGGCGGGAGACAGGGCAAGCTGGCGGTCATGGCGGGAGACGGGGCAAGCTGGCGGTCATGGCGGGAGACGGGGCAAGCTGGCGGTCATGGCGGGAGACGGGGCAAGCTGGCGGTCATGGCGGGAGACGGGGCAAGCGGGCGGTCATGGCGGGAGACGGGGCAAGCGGGCGGTCATGGCGGGAGACGGGGCAAGCTGGCGGTCATGGCGGGAGACGGGGCAAGCGGGCGGTCATGGCGGGAGACGGGGCAAGCTGGCGGTCATGGCGGGAGACGGGGCAAGCTGGCGGTCATGGCGGGAGACGGGGCAAGCTGGCGGTCATGGCGGGAGAGACAGGCAAGCGAACGGTCATGGCGGGAGAGACGGGGTAAGCGGGCGGTCATGGCGGGAGAATTATTGGGCAACATGACGGCGACTCCGGTAGGAGAGTTAACGACAAACTGGTGGCTCTGGCGGGAAAGTTGACGGGGCAGTGGCGGGAAAATTGACGGGGCTTGCTTGTGGCTATGGCGGGAGACGGGGCAAATTGGCAGTCATGGCGGGAGACGGGGCAAGCTGGTGGCTTTGACAGGAGAATGGCTGGGCGAGTTGCCGGGCTAGCTGGCGGCGCTAAAGGAGTTGACGGGGCAAACTCGCGACGTGACGGGAGAGTTGATGGGGGCATTAAGGTCTCGGCGGCCATGGTGGAAGAGTTGACAGCAATCTGGTGGCTTTGGCGGGAAAGTTAACGGGGCAACATGGCGGCCCTGGCAAGTGTTGACGAGGAGGGAGCTGGTAGTTTTGGCGAGAAAATTGACGGGACAAGTTGGCGGGCTGGGTAAAGAGCGGACGGGGCAAGCGGATAGGCCTGGAGGGAATATCGACGGGGTAAACTGACAGCCCTGACGGGAGAGGTGACAGACATGACGGGGCGTCTCGACCCGGGCTGGGGGGCAAGTTGACGCGGGAAACACGGTGTGCGACGCAAGGCAGAAAGAGCAGGAAAATGAAGAACTACTTTGTGTAGAGTTGAAACTGACTACTGCGGATATTGTTTATAATGATCGAAAGTCATAGGTAATTAAGAACAAATATGAGGCACGAATCTGTGCTAAATTTTGTATTTATGAAATTTCTTGCAGTTAATAACAGACACGGACAGACCGACAGATAAACAGAGACACACACACACAAAGACACGGACAGACCGACAGACACACACACACACAGACACACACACACACAGACACACACACACAGACACACACACACAGACACACACACACAGACACACACGTACACAGACACACACACACACACACACACGTACACAGACACACACACACACACACACGTACACAGACACACACGTACACAGACACACACAGACACACACAGACACACACAGACACACACACACAGACACACACACACAGACACACACACACAGACACACACACACAGACACACACACACAGACACACACACACAGACCCACACACACAGACACACACACACAGACACACACACACAGACACACACACACAGACACACACACACAGACACACACACACAGACACACACACACACACACACACACACACAGACACACACACAGACACACACAGACACAGACACAGACACAGACACAGACACAGACACAGACACAGACACAGACACACACACACACACACACACACACACACACACACACACACACACACACACACACACACACACACACACACACACAGCCAGAGCTCAACCCCCGCAAGCACAATTAGGTGAGTACACACACAGACACACAGACACAGACACAGACACACACACACACAGAAGAAATATAAGAAAATTCACCTTCGCAAATAGTGGTAGACGGTTGGAACAAGTTAAGTGAGAAGGTGGTGGAGGCCAAGACCGTCAGTAGTTTCAAAGCGTTATATGACAAAGAGTGCTGGGAAGACGGGACACCACGAGCGTAGCTCTCATCCTGTAACTACACTTAGGTAATTACTTAGGTAATTACTACATAGGGGGCCTGACGGCTGAGTGTATACCACTCGGATTCATAGTCCTAAGTGTCCTGGTTCGACCCCCGTAGGAGGTGGAAACGAATGGGCAGTTTCTTTCATCCTGATGCACCTGTTCACCTAGCAGTCAATTGGTATCTGGGAGTTAGACAGCTGCTACAAGCTACTTTCTGGGTGTGTGGGGGGGGGGGGAGAAAATAATAAGTTGATTGACAGCCGAGAGGCGGGGCCAAAGAGCCAGAGCACGACCCCTGCAAGCACAACTAAGTTAATACACTCGCTCTCTTTTCTAGGAAGTGATGTGGTGGAGGCTGACTTCATACACAGTTTCAAATGTAGATATGATAGAGCTCGAGAAGTTCACCAGTTGATTGACGGTAGAGAGGCAGGACCAAAAGCTAAAACCCTTCCAGCATAACTAGGTGAGTGCACACTGTCTGTCAGACAGACAGACAGACATACAGACTCAGACATACAAAGACACACAGACAGACAAATACAGATACAGACAGACACATATACATACAGACACAGACAGATACACATACATACTAACAGACACATACAGACCAAACCCAGGCTATTTCAATGTTTTTTTTATTCCCCTCAAACCTTTGTAGTCAAAATTTTTCTATTTTATGTTTTTGCTCGAAACGCTTTGCGTAATAGTGGCTTAATAGATTGTGTAACTCCTGTCCTTACAATTTGTACATTACTCTTTTGTTCTTTGTACACACATTCTTTTGAATACAAATTGTAAATTGTAAATTTCGACTGTGAACCAACTCGACAGCCCATGTTGTAAGTTAAAAATTTTGGGTATTCTCCATTTTTAAAGAGTAATTTCATATTTACCTATTTGCCGCTAGATGTTTGAAGGCACTTTGTGAAAATCATCATGCCCAAATAAATGTCTGTCCTGCCATTGGAATCAAACCCAGGCCATCTCGAATGTGAACTGACTTGACTGCCCATGATGTATCAAGGGTATCCTCAGTTCTTAGAAGTAAACATTGAGGGGTATTCTCAGGTTCTAAGAAGTAATTTCATATATATACTGTACCTATTTGCAGCTAGGTATATGTATGCACTATATGAAAGTCAACATGCCCAATTAAATGTATGTCCTGCCATGGGAATGAAACCCAGGCCATTTCAGTTGTGAACTGATTCGGCGGTCCATTATAAAAAAATTTAAATGAAAAGGATATTCTCATGTTAAGGAGTAATATAGTAATTAATTAGGGATTATTGTTTCTGCCCGAAACGCTATTCGTGTAGTGGCATTACAAGAATTTAAAATCATTAATGCGATGTATTGTACTCTAATAAACCCAATGTACCTTCATATATATATAAAAATAAATAAATTGATTCTTTCATATTTATTTTGATTTAGTAATTTTTATTTTATCCCATTTTACTTGCATTTGATTTCCTTTGGTTTTCCCTTTGTGTAACAACATGGGTAATTACACACTGACAGACAGACACATGTCCTGCTGTGGGAATCAAACCCAGGTCAATTAGCTTGTGAATTCACTCGATGCCCCATGAAAATTGTTAAACAGTGAGGATGTTCTCAAGTTTTCAAGGAGTAATTGCATATTTGCCTATTTGCTGCTGTGTATGAAGGCTCTGCTTGACAGGCAAATTGGCCAAATAATTGTCTTTCATGCCCATGGGAATCTACCCAGGCTATTTCTTTATTTTCCCTTCACATTTTTGTAAAAAAAAAAAAAAAAAAAAATGTATTTTAAGTTTTTTCCCAAAATGCTTTGTGTAATAGTGGCTTCATAGATTGTGTAACTCCTGTCCCTACAATTTGTATATTACTCTTTTTGTTCTTTTGTATATTCTTTTGAATAAAAATTGTAAATTTTGACTGAACTGACTCCAGGCCATATATGCCAATTTGCTGCTAAGTGCATCTAGGCACTGTGTGATAGTCAACATGCCCAAATAAATGTCTGTCCTGCCAAGGGAATCAAACCCAGGCCATTACGGATGTGAACTGATTTGACGGCCTATGATGTATCGGTGGTATTCTCAGTTTTTAGAAGTAAACATTGAGGGTATTCTCAGGTTCTAAGTAGTAATTTCATATATATATATATATGTATACCTATTTGCAGTTAGGTATATGTAGGCACTGCATGAAAGTGAACATGCCTAAATAAATATCTGTTTGGCCATGGTAATGAAACCCAGGGCATTTTAATTGTGAACTGATATAGTGGCCCATGATAAAAAAATTTAAACAATAGGGATATTCTCAAGTTGTTAAGTACTGTAGTAATTTGATCTTTTCATATATATTTTTATTTAATAATTTTATTTTATACCATTTTACTTGCATTTGATTTCCTTTAGTTTCCTTGTATGTAACAACACTTAGGTAATTACACACAGAATTTAACAAGTTAGGTGAGAAGGTGGTGGAGGCCAAAACCGTCAGTAGCTTCAAAGCGTTATATGACAAAGAGTGCTGGGTAGACAGAACACCACGAGTGTAGCTCTCATCCTGTAACTACACTTAGGTAATTACAGTACACCTGAAATCTGTACACCTGTTGATTGACGGTTGAGAGGCGGGACCAACGAGCCAAAGCTCAACCCCCGCAAGCACAACTGAGTAAAGACACACGTCCTGCCGTGGGAATCAAACCCAGGCCATATAGGTTGTGAACTCATTCGATGGCCCATGATGAAAATTGTTGATCAGTGAGGGTATTCTCAAGATTTTAAGAAGTAATGGTATATATGCCTATTTGCTGCTGTGGATGAGGGCAGTGCATGACTGTCAACATGCCCAAATAAATGTGTCTTTTTCCATGGGAATGAAATTCAAGCCATCTCCAATGTGAAATGATTTTATATCCAATAATGTATCAAGGGTATCCTCAGTTTTTATTTAAGTGTCATGTATACTTATTTACTGCTATGTATTCAGAGGAATCTTTGAAAGGAAACAAGTGCCTGAAAAAGTGTTGGTCCTGCCATGGAAATCAGACCCTACCTTATTCGGATTGGTCAGTTTTTCTATCGTGCAGGTACAGTAAATGGATCGAGACTGACTTGACAGCCGAGGGTGAAAATTTTTAAGCATTGAAGGTATTCTCAGGTTCTAAGAAATAATTTCATATATACCTATTTGCAATTAGGAGTATGTAGGCACTGAGGGAAAATTAATGTCCCTAAATTAATGTCTGTGCTGCCAGGGAAATCAAACCCAGGCCATTTCAGCTGTGATTAGTAACCCATGATAATTTTTTTTTAACAATGAGTACATTCTCAAGTATTTTAAAATGTAATTTCATATTTATTTAATAATTTTAAATTTATACCATTTTACTTGCATT